ATAAATAAACACCCGTGACTGAAGTACAAACATTCGTGCTCATCACACAAATGAATGCCCCAGCGGGTCTCGAACCCGCGACTGCTGGCACAGCAAGTAGGTTCACTACAAACTGAGACAAATATGTCATAATTAGTCAAACTATATACAAACGTATATATTTATTTATTTATCTTGACATAAAAGTTGATAAGTGTATTGTTAAATGCTATCGCCTAAATTAGAGTAAATAAATAATTTTGACTTTAATTTACTCTATAAGGCATATAGTTACATATATTTAACCGATTTTGCTATACAGCTTACATTAACATGTCTAACACGAGCAAAGTTAGAAAGTACACCACTGAATCCTTTATGAATGTTGTAAATCTAGTAAAATCGTAAATTTTGCTGCCTGACCCGACGAAAGGGCTCGACCCTTTAGATGGATAGAAGCCCTTACCATGCTATTTTGATAAGGGACAAAGTCGAATAGTTTTACGTAGTAAAAGAGGACACGGAAATTTCAAGGATAATTTATTTATTCATCAGAAGTTTTAACAAAAAAGTTTACAGCAAAAAGTTTGCTTAATTCTCGATCTTCCGTCATAATGCTCTGTTTATTTTTGTTAAGGAAAAAAGTTTAGATTCGTAACTAAAAAACATAGTAATTATAATACATCTACAATCTACTCTTTCCTAACAGGAAATTGGAAGGTACAAAATACAAGAGCAAGAACAAATATACTGCTCCAGGAATCGAATCTTGTAAATTCAACTGTTTACAACAAAATTATATAATGACACTTTGGTTGTACATTGATGAATTGACACGTCATATAATTTCTTAATATAACATCAATTTATAGGGTTTTCAGCTTTTTGTACAAATACGATGTATTATTTTATTAAATTATTTTTAATCTTGAATTTTAAGTAAAAACTAATTAGTTAAGCGTAAATATTACAATATAGTGCTAAACTCCGTTATAATAAAACACTGCCGGTACTGTTCATTATCTATTTATTCACAGTCACCCAATTTACAATAATCAGGAGCCAACTATGCTTGACCAAAATCAGAACGAAGAGTGACCCCCCACTGACGACATCATGGGTTTTTATAATACTCGTTTTATGTCAAAACAGCAACTAAAGTGTCAAGCATAGTTTTTACAAAATCCAATTGAAATACTTATTAAAATAGAAATTTAATATAATCTAACATTAAAATATAAAATTAAGCTAACAATAGACAATAAAATCATAAAACAATAACTGATCAAATTATTTTCTTCCATTATTTGTTCTCCTCAGTCAGTTCCATCATAAACTATGTGAATTAAGCGTTTTGCTACCAAAAATATGGAGGTACTTAATTCGACTGTATAGGCATATATAGGCATATAGGCAAAGACAAAACAGTTCAGTACCTTTTTCTCCTCTGTTTGTTTGTTTGTTTGTTTTTTGTCAACCTATTTTCTTTTTTATTATTATTAGTTCAATAGACGAGATTTAATGTCATAAAAAAATCAATAATGACTATGGTAGAATTTCGACCACTGGTTGAACACTAGTTTTGCTAAAGGGTGGTATCATATTTTCGAATAAAATGACAAACATCTCTAAGAGTAGAATAATAACTTTTAAATGATTTTATAGAAGGATTACCATTTTTAGTAAAAAGTAACAAAAAGTAATTATCTCGAAGTAATCAATTTTAGCATTACAAAGAACAATAAAGTGGTAGTGGTAATGTCAGCAAAGGTATGGCTGAGGCAGATCGCGGTCTGAACCCATTTAAAATTCCAATTTTGACCCTCGATTAGAAAACCACTTCCTTTCAAATTTCGTATCGCTTTGAATTTTAAGCGTCTTCACTGGAAACTTGCATAAATTGTACCTATATTTACATACTGATTAGGTAAGTCTGAAAACAATTAGAGGCAAGTGTTCTTGTTTTCTGCTTGGCTAATCTGTGTGTGTGTGTGTGTGTGTGTTTATTAATTTCATGATCACCAAATTGCAGAATCGGTCTCGGTGAAATTCTGCATGTTAGGTAGGTACTTGGGTTTTAGGAAGTTAACGATAGGTCCCTGTAAATGAGACAAATATTATGTAAAATTTCTCATAAGTATTTTAAATAAAACTATCTTTTATACACTCACAATAATGTATCTTTTTTTTTACTTTATCAACTTAAAACATATATTGTGTCACAATATTTTATTGCACGTTTCTCTTTTGTATATCGAATGCACGTTTATCGAATGTTCATAGAACTATTTACACACCCTCTGTACTGCAAGAAAACTTGTAGTCACCGCTAAATACGTCAAGGTATGCTTATTTGCCTAACAATCCTTATCAGTATCTGTTACAAGTATTCAGTAATATACGTTTATTACAGAAACACTGATAATGCCGCTTATTAGAAAAAACGTGCAATTGGTGCAATGCCGTGTGAACCCATTCTAAAGGTAAATAACTAAAAAAAAGCTAAATTTGTTTAGAATAAGGTTACATTAGTGGTATACGTTAAATTATAATTCAAATATTACCCCAAAAACATGGTTAAATCTAAGAACCACAACGAACCTCTAATTAATAGTACGATATCAATCAATAACTTTAGTCGACTTATTTATAAGATTTATCCACTTTAAAATTTAAAAGCGCAATCAACTAAGATCAATTCATAAAAAAAACTTCGCTTGTTTTTATGAAATTGTGTACGATATTGAACATCTTGGTAAGCGTGTTTACCACTCGATTATAGACCTTACCGCTGAGTAATAAGAGCTATGTAGGTATTAAAACACCTGAAACCTCGTTCTTGTATTATGTCTCTCTATTTCACTGGAGCTTTTATTAGGGTTCCGGAGACGATAAAATTAGTATATATAATTTTATTGTTATTTACAATAGTTATGCAAATAACTGTTATAACCATGATATTATTTATGGTTACCATGTCGAAATAATAACTATCACAATATCATACGTTTCTCATATAAGATAATTAATATATCAACTAAAGATACTTTCGTCAAATCGTACATTTTGGACCAAAAAACTAAAGGTTTAAAGTTATACAGGTATGTGTAGTGTATCAACTATCTGGTATCCATAACGCAAGCCTCGTAGCTTACCATGGAACTAGATGGTGCTGCGTGTTAATTTCCCAACATACTACTTATTTATTTATAATTAGCCACGCACCCTCGCTTAGCTTGATTCTTCATACAAGCTTCCTCCCCATTTTCACCCCCTTAAGGGATGATTTCCGTAATAAAAGTATCCTATGTCCTTCCCAGGGTCTCAAACAATCTTCTTGCCAAATTTCATCTAAACCGGTTCAGTAGATCCAGAGATTACCCCCTACAATGTCACAACCTCGCAATCTCACAAACTTTACCTGTTTATAATATTAGTATAGAATCAGAACCATCTTGATGAATAAAATTCGTACTTTCCTATCCACCTCCTCTATTTTCCTCGTCAGTTCGTTAGCACTACTACCCGACAACATCACTATATTGCATTCGAGATAGTTTCTTTGGAATGTACTTGCAGTTTGAAGACCTAAAGCATGTGGTTTAGATTTTCGGTTAATGGTTGGTTTAAATTAGTTTTTAAACTTAGATTAACAACGAATAGTTAAAATTAATTTGTAAGGAATAGACGTTAGGCAAAGCTTAAGCAAATATTTTATATTGAATTAGGTATTATATGACGACACGTTTGGCTCAGAATGTAGTGACCCTACTCGCTGTGCCAGCGGTCGCGGGTTCGAGTCGCGCCGGGGGCATTCATTTGTGGGATGAGCACGAATGTTTGTACTCCAGTCATGGGTATTTATATTTATAATATTTATGTGTTTAAAGTTAATATATGTAGTGTATCAACTATCTGGTATCCATAACACAAACCTCGTAGCTTACCATGGAACTAGATTTCTGATATAGTTCTGTGTGTTAATGTACCAACAACATATTTAATTTGCATATATTTTTGCGATTTTTACTCTTTTTGTTTTGTGAATGATCATTTAATCATAATCTTAAACCTTTACTTCGTATAAATTATATGAATACGTAAGCAATGTATCATTATTATTGAAAATGAAATGAACAGTGCACATTTAACTACTATATTCAAATATTTAACTTCCGTTTTGAACCCACCAAGGTTTATTTAGTAATATTTAGACCTAACTTACTAAAACCACTTTGTTAAACAATTATTGGCAAATTACGTTGTCGAGAACTAGTGTAATTTGTAGAGGAACGTGTTACTAAATTGCTGTTCTTGCAACAAAGGTGTAAGCAAATTGCCGATTTGATTGTTATTTTAGCGTTTTCACCACATGTATGATATATTTTACAACTCTAACATGAATGAATTGAAGCCGTTTCCTTTAAATTTGTTATATTTTTCATTTCGAATGGCTGTGTAAATGAAGACGTTACTGCTAAATTAACATGTAAAAATTTAGTAGCGTTCTGTAGACGCGTTTTTATTTGACACTAGCGGCTCACCATCGCTTCGCTCGGGTTCGTCACTAGGAAAACAAAAACAAACCTGTCCCATGGGAACAGTATATTTTTCCGGGATAAAAAGTAGCCTATGTGTCTTTTCAGACTATCATCTATCTCTGTGCTAAATTTCATCTAGATCCGTTCAGCCGTTCTGGCGTGTAAGAGTAAGAAACATCAACACTCACAAATTTTCACATTTATAATATTATAATAAGGATTTAACGGATGAACTAGGAAATAAATAAGCTTATGTCACTTTCATAATTTTATGTATACATATATAAAATACATACATATATCATATATTAAAATAACTATTACAATTTACACTTGCACAAAGGAATAAAACCCGACCCCATTCTACTCACCGAATATGACCATTAAGGCGAGTGCAGACAATTCAAAAGACGCCATAACTTACACCTTCTGAAACATGTATATGAAATACAGTGTTATCTCAGCTATAAACAAAGACACATGGAAATTGCAGCTCTTAAATGTACTTTGGGGATTAAGGTGGGTGCACATTTGAAAAATAAAGGTTTTATTATTATAAGCATGCTGTAACAGTATATTGACAGTGTGAATGAGCTTTATGAAGTAATTTTTTTTATGTGAGGACTTTTTTGTATAATATATTAGGTACATGAAAATAATTTGTCAGTTTCTTGTTTTCTGAGTTCTTGTCCGACTTTAAAGAGAGGAGATACTAAATTGTATTTTTTTTTTTTGCTACGCGATATCTTGTCCTGATTTTAATATTTTTTTATGAATCGATTATATCTTAGGGTTACTCCCTAATTATATGGGACCTTTTTAATTTAAAAAAAAAACTTTTCTCGTTTAGAGGTCAGGCCAATTACTAATCTATTTGTCTGATACATATAATAAGTGATTTCTTATCAAAATACCTATTAAAATACTATACCCACTAATGTTCGTCCACTGGTAAAAAATTTGACTATAATTAATAATTATTGAAAATTTATAAATAATAATACTGAACTATTTTGTCTTTACCTGTCTATATTAAAAAAGTTATTATTTTCAATTGCCTGTTGCCTATTTATACATACGTACTCGTATATAGATACTTAGGTTGATTCCCCATCAAACTTTCATCCCCATTTTCACCCCTTTAAGGGATGATTTCCGGGATAAAAACTATCCTATGTTCTTCACAGGGTCTCAAAATATCTTATACCAAATTTCATATAAATCGCTTCAGCAGTTTCGGGGCCTATTCAGTATAAACAAACAAACAAACAAACAAACAAACAAACAAACAAGCAAACAAACAAACAAACAAACAAACAAACATACAAACAAACAAACAAACAAACAAACAAACAAACAAACAAACAAACAAACAAACAAACAAACAAACAAACAAACAAACAAACAAACAAACATACAAACAAACAAAAAATCATAACTTTCATTTCTTTATAATATTAGTATAGATGTACATATATTATTTCAATATTATGTCTAATATGAAAATTTAGAATATTTAATTTTGCATACGACCCCAACTTTATTTTCCGAAAGTGTCATTTTAAGTACATTAAGTCTATCCTCAGTGTAAACTTAGGTGTCGACATTATCGATATTTTGCAACACCTATTACATCCAAGCTGTTTATGCTGCAATATTATATGCAAAATGCATGACTTGGCTGCGCTTTTGATTTTAAAATTATTACCTTAGAAGCATGGTTTTGTTTAGTTACGAAATTTAAGCCGATCTAAACTTGATGATTTATGATTTGAATCTTCTATATATATATTTACAATTCATATAAGGTCCCACAGCTGGGCATGCATCTCACACCTCCTAAATACGAATCGTATTTTCCGGTTTTGGCTCCAAAAAAAAACTCTTGGTGAATTTTTTAAGCAATCAATTTCATATAATTTGGATCATCACATGGATCACTAAGAAAATAATTTGAAAATCAAGCTATTTCAAGTCAAAAAAGCCTGTTATTTAAGTCATAAAATAAAAATTAAAAAAAAATACAAAACAAGTAGCATCCACAAGTGATCATTAATATTTTTAATAAAATTATAATTATATTAAGTTAAAATTAAACTGTAAACATGATTCAAGGCAATTTTGTATGGATATTCATAGCTTAATTACGTGCACCATCCGACCACCCGTACGTAGTACACGGTCTACTAATTTTAAATACGCAATATACAGCTTTAAAACAAACATCGGTTTTCATTGTTTGCATTTTATATTAACTAAAGCACAATACTTGCTGCGAAAATAACTTTATTGAGCTCATCGCATGTTTCAGCGTCATTAAAAAAAACTGAACAGATTTTGATGTCAATATCATTGATGTTAATAGAAATGCCACCAAATGTAAGGGCTCTCAAAATTCCCTCATAGGAAATGAATCAAAACTCAAAACACTGTAGTGGAATGGATCAAAAGTTAAAATACTGTGGTAAAACTAGCAAAGGTATCGTGTTATCTATACTTACTAGTCTTTACTAATCTATACTAATATTATAAAGAGGTAAAGTTTGTGAGATTGTGAGTTTGTGACGTTGTAGGTAATCTCTGGATCTAGTGAACCGATTTAGATGAAATTTGGTAAGAAGATAGTTTGAGGCCCTGGGAAGGATATAGGATACTTTTTATCCCGGAAATCATCCCTTAAGGGTGTGAAATGGGGATAAAAGTTTGTATGGGGAATCAACCTAGGGACGAACCCGAGCGAAGCGAGGTTGAGTCGCTAGTATACATATAAATTTGGTTATCTGATTAACATTAATTAGTTTATCTGGACTTTGAGATAATATCTGCAAAGAATATCTTTGCTGCAATATATATATACATATATATATATATATATATATATATATATATATATATATATATATATATATGTAAATATTCGAAGCATTTTGTTGATTTTTTTTAATTAAAAATATTAGTCTAGTTATAATTACAATTAGAACATCTTCTCAAACTAGATTTCTGAGCTCCAGCCAATGTATTATTACATATCATATTATTTTACATCCAAATTTGCAACACTACATAGTTTAATAAAAGATTTGTAATAAAAGAGAGCTTAAATTTTGTTTTAGAATAACGATTATATAATATAGATATTTTCTCACCTAAATAATGCATGTTTGGGTAGGTAAGAAATGGTAAACATGCCAATATCTTATTTTTAAATTTCCATATTATAAATCCAAAGAAAAGAACTAACATCAAGCAAGTGTGAGTCTGACTGCGACACCGAGAATTCCGTAGCATTAAAATATTATATTTTACTATTTACAACATTAATTTTATCAACCGCAAAATAAAATTGTATTTTATAGTAAATATTTTAAAAAAGAAAAAAGTTATTTTTACGGTAATGAAAATATCCCATAACTCCAAAACCACTTCATGTACATTGTGATAATTTTCATCAAAATTGATTAAGTGGCTTATTAAATTTTACATATAAATACAGCCTAAAAGTACAAATCACGCCTTAATATCAATTATCTACGTTAACGTGTACGATACTAATTAATTAAGATGAATATTTGTCCTCTAATTAAATGATCTCATGCGTGCGTATCATTCCCGACAGATTCATTTTTAACGACATGAGGTGCAGACGAATCGATTTTTTCCTATATTTCATGGGATTTTTTATTTACGTAAGAATATTTTAAAGTACTAATTATTATTCTTAAATTTATAACATACTAGCGACTCACCTTCGCTTCGCTCGGGTTCGTCGCCTAGCTTACTTCCCAATATAAATTTTCACCCCCCTTTTCACCCCCTTAAGAAATGATTTCCGAGATAAAAATATCCTATGTGGGGTCTCAAACTTTCTTCTTACCAAATTTCATCTAAATCGGTTCAGTAGATCGAGAGTTCAGTAGAGGTGTGTCCTTAGTTATTTTTGTGTCATACATTTTATTACTTTATTTCAAACCTCTTAGGCAGCATACGCCGATAAAGCATGAGTCGTTTTTTTTCTGAGTTCAAATAAAACTATTACAATTTCTCATACTATGAGCATGACGAAATGTTTCTCTTATCGGAATTAAAAGAATAGCCTAAGCCCAGCGGTAATGTACACGTAGATTCATATTAATAAAAGAATTATAAGAATCAGACCAGTAGAATTTTAACCTATGTTATAATAATATTAAATAAACAATTTTTATATATACATAATATGTATACGAGTATAAATTTGCATACTACGTGTATCTCAGAAACAGCTCTAATGATGATCAGGTTTTGTATTTAGATGAGGTTTTGCTTTCTAAAAAAACGCAATTAATAAATTCATGTAAGTCGTCATCGACATGGTCACGTGACGTGTTAACGCTAACACTCAGAGTGCCGATAGATGTCAAAACCAGATAAATTTAAACAGTTTTAATTTACAAATATTAATTTAAGATCAAACAATTAATTTGAATATACGAAAATAACAACTGTTTATTTATAGTTTTAAGTTTTCACTTCTGTCGGCAGTCCTCATGACTACTATTTATATTTTTTTTATTATGTAAAGTGTATGTAAGAGTCTCCTCTGTTTGTCAAACGATTCTCTTTTTTTTATTTAGTAGATATATACGAGTATAACTTTGTCAATAAAAAAAATTTGAAAAAGTTATTTTTTATTAATTAATCATTAAATTCTATTCATATGTATACATTTTCTTGAAATTTTTAATAATGATTATTGTCGAATTTCGACCACTAGACGAATACTAGTAAATTTTAATGTATGTATATAAAAATATCAGATAGAAATTGGAGGCTCCCTTGTCATTTATTCCGCCTTATTTTAATAATTTTAACTTAAAATACATAAGAATATCACGCGAAGAAAGACAATGCTATGTAATAAGTTTCATTTTTTTTTCAGAATGTATCGGCTTGGAATTTAAGAAATGATCTTCTCAACCCGCTTCCGTCCCAAAGTCCTGAAGTACCTTTCATAGCCGTGCTTTTGAAGAAACCGGAACCTGATAATAAAACGTATGACATAGAGTCACTCGATCCTCCGCACGATGAGAAAATATATAATCTATATCATATTTTAAGGGTACATTCATTTTATACGTACATTTTAACGTTTGATAGCATTACATATTAAGAAAGAGAATAACTTTCTCCAGGATCTGGGTAATGCATTACCTATACATACCTATAGTAAAAAATTAACTTAGCGAAATTGATGTGCGCGTTTCACACAAAAGGTGCTGAACCGATTTTAACTAAATTTTGTGTAGTGATAACTTATTACTCGGGTCCACATTGAGAATACCTTTTACTATAGGAAAATCTTTCATTCCCACGGAAAAAACACTATAATTGATTCTACCGAGTCGTCCTTTAAAAATTTACGTATCTAACGCTGGCTAAACCTTAAAATATACATCAAAACAATGTACTATAAAATTGTAGATCTTTATAATGTATTCAGCCCTTTTTAACGTCCCACTGCTGGGCACGGGCCTCCCTTCAATACGAGGGGGATCAGGCCATAGTCCACCACGCTGGCCAAGTGCGGATTGGCGGACTTCACATGTCTTTCGAAAACTTGCTAAGTTCTCTCAGACATGCAGGTTTCCTCACGATGTTTTTCCTTCACCGTAAGGCAAGTGGTAATCATGTTAGAAATGATTCGCACATGAAAATATCAGTGGTGCGAGACCCGGGATTTGAACCCGCTTCACTCGGTTTCACAAGCAAGCGCGTTGCCACTGGGCTACCACTGCCTATAGATCTTTATAAGGCCTATAGAAAAATCTAAAGTAAACTCGCAATAACTATTCATATCTATATAAAACGTACCGCTTACGACGTTACGTACGCTTTGTTACTATGGCCTGATCCCCCTCGTATTGAAGGGATGCCCGTGCCCAGCAGTGGGACGTTAATAAAGTCTGTATACAACTATATTAAAAATCACTTTTCACTTGTAGACAACACAAGAAAATGAAGATTTAGATGAGGAGGCTGCGCAAAAATTGGAGAAAACCGAGAATATTCTCCGCCAAGCTCTACGTAAACGATGCAATACATTGAAATCTTGTATAAATAAATGCCCTAAAAAGAAGTACACTTGCACAGTAACATGTAAAGAGGCCTATGATAATTACGACATCTGCGGGAAGCCTAAAGGCTGTAAGAAACGTAACTGCCGTACCGATTCACCCTCGTGGCTTTAATTTTCTTATTAATAAAATTAGTTAGAATTGAGTATTTCTCTTACCTTCATTGTATGGGTAGAAAAATAAAAAAATCTAATAGATAAAGACGGTGTAAAACATAACTTGATATTTCATAAAGAACGTTAAGCAATAGCTAATTTTAAAAATTAGTACCTGGGCGACCGAGCTTCGCTCGGAGGTTTTGACCAAAAGTACAATTTTCTTTTTTTTTTTAAACTAAAAACTTTAGTAAATGCAAAAAAAATAAAAATAATGATAGTAAAACTTTGTAACCGACCGGGATTCGAACCTGGAAACCTGTGATTGTCAACCTTGCGCCTTGGCAGATGACCACGATTAGATCGATTTTTCGCACCCGAAATCCCCCACATCAGCGAAATCGTTAGAGCCGTTTCCAAAATCACAGGTATAAATAAATATACAAGAATTGCTCGTTTAAATATATTAGATATGAAAGCTACAAATTAGTCGTTATGCCATAGAATCGTAATGTCATTCACATATTTTTATTAAATTTCTATTTTTCAACGACTATAGAATGACATATTGCCTTAGCTCCATTCTCTACCATAAATCAGCGCTACCCAATATGTTTTATACGACTAATAATACGATAGTCAACAAAAAAATATATTATAAATTAATAATATTTCGTATACGATTCTCATTTGTAAAACTAATTGTGTTTCAAAGAATTCAGTATTAATTTGCCTCGTGTGGACTTAAAATAGCGACCTCTACCCTACGCCTTTTTTTTTTAACGTTGGGAAATGCTTTTACGCACGACGTGTGGGACTCACCGGCGTAATACAGCCAGTACTACCCACTAAAACCCAACAAATCCTTCCCACTTACTTATAATAAGCCTTATTATATTCAAACCAATAACATAATATTCTCTTTGAATGTAATATAGCTTAAATATCGCTGTGTATATCCATACTAATATAATAAATGTGAAAGTGTGTTTGTTTATCTTTCTTTCACGTCGAAACGGAGTGACGGATTGATGTGATTTTTTGTGTGGAGATAGTTGGAGGGCTGAAGAGTGACATAGGCTACTTTTTACCGCGGGAGATTGTCTAATTCCCATGGTAAAACACATTATGATACAATCCAAAACAATATTTATGATCAGAATTACTTGAAACTTGGTATTGATTCTCTTCAATAAAATTAAATAAATACGTGTTTCAGCATTTTTCGAAATTTATCCTTTATGAGGTTGAAACAGGAATGATGATGAGGATTAAAGTTTGTATGAAACTACCTTTTTAAACATTTTTCGTAGTTTTAGCGCGAGCAAAGCCGCGGGTACTGCTAATTTTCATATAAATTATAAGCTCTTGTACATTGTACAAAGACGGCTAATAAGGAAAGCAAACAGCTTGTTTTAATAAATTTTCAACACTTTCTCGGTAACTAACAATGATAAATCTAGATATATTACATTACATATTATATTTTAAATAATGTAATGTTATATATTCTTTAAAATCCGAAATTAATAGACAGTGGTAGCCCAGTGGTAACGCATTCGCTTGGTGGACAAAGTGAAGCGTATTCAAACACCGGCTGTGGTATATATAAGAATTTCATGTACGAAACTTTTTTAACTTGATATCACTAGCCACAAATCTAAGTATTATTAAGAACATATCTGAGAGTATCTAACTCAGTAGCTCTCGAAAGTTATATTACGTCCGAATCTGCATTTGGCTCGATCGATTAAGGTCTGATCCTCCTCGTATTGAGAAGAGACCTGTGCCCAGCAGTTAAAAGGGCTGCATTATTGAATTTACTTTTAAGATATTTTATTTAATTAATAATTACATAATATAACCCCGCTTCATAACAAGAAAGAAGAATAAGCTTATCAGTTATGCATATTTTCCAGTTATTATATCTATATGACTTAAATGCAAATATAATTTTATTCAAGTAAATTATTACAAGCGCTTTGAAATATCAAATGTAACATTTATATTTGATCTGACTAAGTATTATTGAAATTTGTATCATAATATAAACTGGTTAGTTTAGCTTATTTGACAAAAATTGTGTTGAAATTCATCTATCTGTTTTCGAGTAATGGGCAATCAATCGATTAGTCATAAAACAGTGGGTAAATTTAGTAATGACCCTACTTGCTGTGCCAGCGGTCGCGAGTTCTATTCCCGCTGGGGGCATTCATTTGTGCGATGAGCACGAATGTTTGTACTCCAGTCATGGGTGTTCATATTTATAATATGTATGTATTCAAAGGTGTATATGTGTATGTCTATCTGGTATCCATAACACAAGCCTCGTACCATGGAATTTGACGGTGCTGTTGTGTGTTAATGTCCCAACATAAATATCCATATAATCGAACACACATTGAGAAAGTAAATATTACTAGAGTTTTCTTCAATTATCTCAAATCGCCGAGTCCAAATTATTGTCCAAAAAATGTTAATATTGGCTCCTTAAGTTTAATAAAAATTAAATATTTTTCCATATACTATTTAATTGCATATAACAAGTCTGTGAGTTTTGGTAAAGACAAGTTAAATAAAGCTCTTAGCGAGAGAATGATCAATATTATATTTTGATAATCTTCGAACTTAAAACAAACATTATTTTCGTTACTATATTTTATTAGTATTTATAACTAATATATACATGCTAGTGGTGAAATTGGATGATCACTTTTATTGTTAAAAACCTTTTTGTACTCTATTCTATACAAATCTATTACAATTATAATAAAATTCTACCTGCGTCAAATCAGTACATTAAATGATTTTTAAAAGTCTTATTCGATTAGACATTATTATCGATATAGAGGTCGAATATTTAGGATATAGAATGTTTGTCTGACTGTCTATCTGTGTCTCTGACTGTGACCGCATCACGAAAAAACCACTGGACAGATTTTTATTAAATTTGGTATGAAGAGCTAGTTATCCAAGTCAACATATAGGATACTTTTTATTGCTGGAAAATATCTTATCTCTAAAAAATCTATAGTAACCGTCAAAAGGTACCTAGGGAATAACCCGGGCAGAGCGAGGGTGAGTCACTAGTTAATAAATATGAATACTTGTAAAGAGCTTAATCTTACTATAGGATGACTAATATTTATCAAAAAGAAAAAACTAATATTACGGTACATATATATTTTTAATACTAAACCGCAAGAACAATATTCAATACACTGCTAAAATATTGTATAAAATTCGTCACAAATTTCATTCAACTCACGTACAATTCAATCTGATCACTGAACTGTGTACGCTAAAAGCACTAGAATGTCGTCTAGAGAAACGTCGATAAAATATTTTAAGGCACTCAAAGTGAGCCTGCACGCAGAATGTCTGCGGAATGCTTTACAAAACTTAGGTATCGGTACTTGATATTATATTATGGAAAATTCCTTCTTCAACAATCCTAGGTGCTAGTTTATGTACTTATATATTAACTAGTTGTTTCACATGCCTTTATTGGGCAATTATTAAATATCGCATAATTTTTTCAGGCTTTGACAACCCTAAGACTTTCATTTTTTTTTATTAATGTGAAATAAAATATATTGTTATAGATATAATGAAATCGGATTTATATTTTAAATATTATTAGGATAAGAATTAAAATCCTTTATTTACTAAATCTATTCTAATATTATAAAGAGGTAAGTCAAAACTGTAAATAAAAATTACCTTAAATACCCCCAATTATTATCCCCGTGTTATATAGCATAAGAACAAAGAAACAAAACAAAATAGATAGATAGATAGATAGATAGTTAAGAACGAATGCGGACGAATGATAGAAAGATATAGTATGCGGAATGAAAGTACGAGAAGCATAAAAGCGAGAACTGGCATGAAAGAAGCAGAAAACACAGACTCCTTCCCCCATGTTGGAGGTTTATATAATAAAAAAAAAAGGGGTAATCTCTGGATCTACTTAACCAATTTAGATGAAATTTGATAAGAAGATAGTTTGAGACCCTGGAAAGGACCTAGGATACTCTCTTTATCCTGGTAATCATCCCCTATGGGGGTGAAAATGGGGATGAAAGTTTGTATTAGGAAGCAAGCTAGGGTCGAAACCGAGCGAAGCGAGGGTGACCCTAGAGTTAAATATAAAAATTTGCAAAAAATTTAAAAATTGAGTTAATATATATACCAGAATTTTAGATCATTTATAAATTATCAATCATAAACACACGAAAAAACCAATAACCTATGCATGTTGTTACTTAAGGTATTTATTTTAGTAGCAGTATACAGCCCTTTTTAAAGTCCCACTGCTGGGCACGGGCCACCCCTTATTGCTAGGAGAATCAGGCCATAGTCCACCACGCTGGCTAAGTGCGGTTTGGCGGACTTCACATGTCTTTCGAAAACTTGCCAGACACTCTCAGACATGCAGGTTTCCTTACCCTTCATCATAAGACAATAGTGGTGCTCATGTAAGAAATGATACGAAACATGAACAGAGAAAAATAGAAAAATATCAGAGGTGAGAGACCCGGCATTTGAACCCGCTACACTCGGTTTCCCAAGTCCGAGCGTTACTTGGGCTACCATTCCCTTTTAATATTTCTTTGGGCTTTAGCAATATCTAGAATCAATCTCATCTAGATAAAGACAAATACAAGAACAGAGAAAAATTAATATTACTCCATGCGAAGATAGAACATTAAATTATCTATTTACAGTTTTAATATGAAATTAATTAAGATAATTTCAAAACACCGAACAATTATTGACTATCCAAGTAATTAAGATTCAAGTGCCATAAAATTTAATAAGAAAATATAATTTCAAGTTGATTAAAATATTCGAAGCGTTAACTCAAACAATGATTTCAGTGTGTTTTAGTAATCCAAACATTTTTGAGGGAGACGCCAATCAAAACGGGTTAAAACATGGCGTCACCTGATATATATTTCAAATTTATCGTTTTTTCTGTATCCTTAATAATTACTGTGAGTATTTACTGAAAAATTATTATATGTTATTTCATTTTTATTATATATTTTCCAAAATAATATATCTGACTAGCAATTCACCCTCGCGCAGCTCGTGATCGTCCCTAGGTTATACGTTGTAACGGTTATTATAGATTTTTCAGAGATAAGATATTTTGCCGCTTTAAAAAATATCCTATACATTGGCCCAGAACCAGATCCAAAATCAGCTATCATCATACCAAATTTCATCAAAATCTGTCCAGTGGTTTTCTCGTGATGCGTTTCTAGACAGACAAGACAGACAGACAGACAAAAATTCTAAAAACTATAGATTCGGCCTCTGTATCGATAATAATAACAATTTCAATAAGATTTTCCAAAAACTATTTAAGGTACAAATCCACTCAGAATTTTATTATATTATATCATACCTGTATTACAAATAACTTTGTTGTAAATAAAAATATTTAAGTAAGCACTCAATTAAAATAAATATTTTTTAACAAAATTAACCAAATATTTTTTACCCAAAAACATTTAGTTAATTCTAACCTTATTTTCAGTTTAAAAACAATCAAGCCTCTCGACGTGATCTACCAAGTCTCATTAACGTCCTCACCCAAAGATACGGGAGCAACAAGCGACCTATTATCGTCATTATGAACTCTCAACCAGAGAAAGATGAATCTAAAGTATATCTAGGTGATTCTACAGACACTAGTGATGAGAGGACAGCTGCCAAAATATCACATCTTTTGCAACATGATAAGGTTTTATTTTCTTTATTTATTACTAGCGACTCACCCCCGCTTTGCTCTGGTTCGTACTAGGTACGTTTAATTTTTTTTGAGCGGAACCCTAATTCTATTTCTAAAATAAAATAGCCTATGTTACTCCCTATAACATCGGCTATCTTCCAGTGAAAGTCCCATCAAAATCAGTCCAATCGTTCCATCCGAAGAGATTATCCGGAACAAACAGACAGACAAACAAAAAAAAATGTGTTTTTCTTATAAGTACCGTATATAATTCATATGTATTTAGTAAAACGCTGTTATTTTGACTTTACAAACAGACACTTCTATTTTATTTATCTGTATAGATTATCTGTTAATTTTATTTAAACACACTATAATTTTCTGTAGCGATTTCTATCTGTTACCTCGTTGTTGGTTTTCCATGTACGGCTAAGGATTATGAGGAACTGGGTTCAAACCCTGGGTTAGACATACTGTGTTACTAGGATTTTATGTAAAGGAAATAGAGATTATAAAATACTATTCTGCACTCTACATCTATGTTTAAAAACTCACTCTTCTTTTTCACAACTGATACTGTGTTTTCCATCAGCTATATCAGAGTCCTTTTTTAAAGAGTACTCTATATACCTAGGTGATCATAATATATCTAGGTAATTCTACAGACACTAACGAAGACACGAAGAGATAGCTGCCAAGTTATCACATTTTTTGCAACAGGATAAGATTTTATTTTCTTTATTTATTCTATTCTTTTTATTTGAGAGCTGGTTAAAAGATGATAGTGATGATAATGAAGATTTATATTATCGGTTTGTACAGTGGCTACCTTATACGGCAGAAGATTGTTGCGCTGAGTTCAAAATTTCAAACTTTGGGTCAGTCATAGTTAAATTATCATCAAAAACAATAGAACTGAAAATTGGGAATAAGAACACGTAAGAACGTCGGGATTTTGTATTTCAGGGTTTCAGGATCGATCCTCGATCTGTTGAGTACTATATATTTTTAAAGATTGCTCTCAATATACACCAATATCAGGTATTTTATAAATAAAAACTATCTATTATACTAACAAAACTTAATAATATAACCTTTAAGGCATTCCATTCCAAGAAACTTCTACCACTAAAGAAGAGTACCGCAAAACCTCATCTACAATTAAAACAGTACAAATATGGCATTAAAAAACTACGAGCTGATAGAGACCGGAGTTTGGAAAGCAAGAACGTCTTACGATCTCCGATAGTTAAAAAACTATTGCGGATTTCAAATAGCATTCAATGCGAAGCAAAAGACGAATGTGAGGATAAGTGTAAAAATAAATTCAATGGAAATAAAGTTATAAAATGTGAAATGCAATGTGAAGTCAAATACGATTGTAACGAAGAGGAGAAAGACCCATGTGACAGTGGTGATTGTCAAGATTCTTGTGGTGGTTCTGCTGAATGTACTATGAGTACTAAAGGGGAGACACTCAACACAGAAAAACCCTCGTGCAAACGATGTTAAATAAATGATATAAATATCAAGTTGTTGGTTTTATTTTTGTTTTAAGAAATATTTCGAACTATTTTTAACGTTTGCTTCTTTGAGGCTTTTTGTAACTTCATTAACACCTGTAGGTAAATTTCTAAGAAATTAGTTAAAATTCTAAGAAATCTATTGTTAACTGACACGCCGGCGTGTCCGCGGTCGTGGAGGGATTAATACCGTCTACAAATCACCTATTAGTAAAGATATCAAGACTCTACATTTATTTAAGGAAACCATTTTAAAACCATAAGTTTTTTTTCTCTCTTAAAAGTCAAGTCTTAAAGTTTTAACAATAAATCCTTTTATCTGCTTCTAATTATTTATTTATCATATGCTCATATTGTAGCGATTTAAGAGTTTTGTGTAATCAATATGAATGCGCCATTCGAGAATCGACCTAAACTAGAACTGGAAAGAGATAGATTTGTATTCAATTTTTTTTTTACTTTAGTTAAGCTTTATATCGTCAACTAATTGTAAAGTTTATACCTTGTAAGGAAGATTTTTATTATAAAAAATTAAAAATAATATACCTATGTACATCCATACTTTTTTGAAATTTAAAAAAAAAATTGGAAGTATGTTTGTTCGTTTGTCCTTCTTTCACGTCGAAACAGAGTGACAGATTGGGGTGATTTTTTGTGTGGAGATAGTTGGAGGGATGGATAGTCACATAGGCTACTTTTTACCGCGGGAGATTATCACATTCCCAAGGCAAAACACGTCATAATACAACCCACGACAACTTATCATACCTATGTATATTCTGTATATAATAATATAACAATAAATATTATAAATGTGAAAGTTTGTATGTATGGATATGGATGTTACTCTTTCACGCCAGAACGGCGGAACCGATCTGGATGAAATTTAGCACAAAGATAGATTATAGTCTGGAAAAACACAGAGGCTACTTTGTATCCCGGAAAATGTACGATTCCCGTGGGATAGGTTTGTTTTTACTTTCCTAGAGGTGACCCGCTAGTATAAAATAAATAGTCTACCTATTCCATACTAATCGTTAAAACGTACTTAGGGACGAACCCGAACGAAGTGAGGCTAGTAAATTATACTTAATTTACTATGCCAAAAATGAAAGTACCGCCACTGATGATTATGTTTTTTATCTAAAACCAAGTCTAATGATATAACAAGAGTTACAATAAACAATAAAAAGCTAAAATAAATATAAAACGGTCAATTCATTACATGAATTTGTTTTTTTTTTAATAAAAAACATTTAATTGTTATATGTATATTAAACCTTTTTAATTACGGAAAAAGAGTTCCTCTTTTGAAGCGGCTTAGCGAGTAATTAATGAAAGGGTTGCTATTTACCGAATTAATTAATATTATTTTTAACGAATATATAATATATTGGCAACAATTTTTTGACTTGTCAGATCGTGTCAATTAATTCGTAAATAAATCCTAGTCAATTTGTTTACTAATATTTAGTGTTGGAGTTATTTTTTATATAAAATCAAATGTTTTTATGATATTAGTAGGTTATAGGAAAAGATTATTTACTTATCCAGATAAAGTACAGTATACGATATATGTGTATACAAAAATATTTAATAGGCATCACCAGCTTGATTTTTAGTAAATATGTCTTCACAGCAGCCGATACATACGATTGTAAGAATTTTATTTATATTTCTTTCCAAGTTAACTTAATAGCTTTTTAGAATATGAGGAGCCTCAATAGACATGGGCTTGTTATTTTTATCTAAAACCTACTTATAATAAGGTGTTTAACATTTGTGAAGATGTGTTGATATTTGATACTTTATTACGCAACAAAGTTTAGTGTTTATGTCGTAGAAATATTCATACATATCAATCACCTTCAAGTAAATTTCTAAGAAATTAATTAAAATTCTAAGAAAGCTATTGTTAACTGACACGCCAGCGTGTCCGCGGTCGTGGAGAGATTAAGAAGGTTATAAATAGTTTAGCTCTGTAAGTGGTCGCTTAAAGCTATTATAACATATATATAATAGCTTTTTAGAATATGAGGAGTCTCAATAGACATGGGCTTGTTATTTTTATCTAAAACCTACTTATAATAAGGTGTTTAACATTTGTGAAGATGTGTTGATATTTGATACTTTATTACGCAACAAAGTTTAGTGTTTATGTCGTAGAAATATTCATACATATCAATCACCTCCAAGTAAATTTCTAAGAAATTAATTAAAATTCTAAGAAAGCTATTGTTAACTGACACGCCAGCGTGTCCGCGGTCGTGGAGGGATTAAGGAGCTTATAAATATTTTAGCTCTATAAGTGGTCGCTTAAAGCTATTATAAAAGCGTATTATGTCAAACAAACTCGCACTTGGCCAGCGTGGTGGACTATGGCCTGAAGGATTGAAGGGAGGCCCGTGCCAGCAGTGGGACGTTAAAAAGGTCTGAATACAAAGTAAAACCATACCTATGAGTAAAACTAGAGTGTATCATTATTGAGAATTATATAATATAAGATTAAAAGAATTATAGAATTATATATTATAAGATTAAAATCATATAACAAACTGTTAATTATAATAAGCAAACGATGAATGAAATTGTTTTGATCTTTTTGTTCAGAATTCAATAAAATTCATAATTTTTAGTTTTTTCGTTTGAGTTTTTACGTTTTTACCTAAAAAAGCTGAAGCAGAATTGATTGGATTTTTTTCTGTAATAGGTGACTTTTTTAGTAAAATTCTAAATACAAATATTTTCATCGTTTGAATGGACCGAGGTATATTTTTAGAGAGAGGGGCATAAATTTGCAAATTATTATAAATTATTCCATATATGTACCTATTGAAAAGATACTATTGGTTAACAAGATAAAAGAGCAGCGTTGTTTTTTTAAAAACAAAAGTTTAAATTTCCGAGTAGGAAATTTAATTTTCAGTCTTAGCAACAACTCGCCCCTGTGACTCATTTGAACATTTTTCGCTATTCCCTATGGCAAAATCACAACGATTTCACTGTCCGCGCCTACTTGAAAAATTCAGTTTGTATGGATATTAACAACAATAAATATAAATAACTAAGTAGAAATTTGGTCGATAAGGCTTAGCTTATTTATGTTCGTTATAAAAAAAACGTTGAATATTTTTGTCTATATTATTTTAATCAGTGCTTGGTTAGTGGTCTAAATTCGACCATAATAATTTCTTTATTGATATCTAGATAAAGCTTGTCAGTTGTATTCATCCCTTTTTAACGTCCCACTGCTGGGCACGGGCCTCCCTTCAGTACAATCAGGCCATAGTCCACCACGCTGGACGAGTGCGGGCGGACTTCACATGTCTTTCGAAAACTTGCTAGGTTCTCTCAGATCTGCAGGTTTCCTCACGATGTTTTCCTTCACCGTAAGGCAAGTGGTAGCCATGTTAGAAATGATTCGAACAAGAAAAAATCAGAGGTGTGAGACCCGAGATTTGAACCCGCTTCAATCGGTTTCCAAAGCGAGCGCGTTGCCACTGGCCTACCACTGCCTAGGTTAACCTTAGCTACTAAACAAAAATAAAAGATGACAAACAGAGAAGAAAAAGGTACTGAACTGTTTTGTCTTTGCTTATTTATACATACTTACATATATACCATATATATATATATATATATATATATATATATATATATATATATATATATATTACGCATATATTTATTTGTCTTAAGCTTTACCATTATAAGATAGAATTATACGTTTTTATTTACAGAATAAAGCAATTAAGCAGTCAAATGAAGCGGTAAGTATTTTCAAATATCTACAAGATTTCTGAATATGCCTAGGATTTATGTGTAATGCCTATATATTACTAGCAGAAGCCGCGGCTTCGCTCGCGCTAAAACTACGAAAAAACACTAAAAAGGTAGGTTTCATACAAACTTCCATCCCCTATTTTACCCTTTTATAGGGTGAATTTTGAAAAATGCTAAAACACGTATTTATTTAATTGTATTGAAGAGCATTATTATAGATATTAAGTTTCAAGCATCAATAACAAATATTTTTTTGGGTTGTATTATAACGTGTTTCCCATGGAAAACAGATAATCTCCCGCGGTAAAAAGTATATAGTGGCGTTCGACGTGAAATAAGGACAAACAAACAAACAAACAAACAAACAAACAAACAAACAAACAAACAAACAAACAAACAAACAAACAAACAAACAAACAAACAAACAAACAAACAAACACACTTTCACATTTATAATATTAAGTATGGATATGGATTCCTTCACATTGAAATGGCTGGATATATTTTGATGAAATTTAATATTTAAACAGATTATAACTTCGACTAACAGAAATGCTAGCTACTACTAGTAGAGTTTTAAATAAATTATACGAGTAATATTCGTCCAATTTTGCAAATTTGGTTTAAAATGACCACAAAGTTTAGATTTGGTTGAAAATTTAGTGATTTACAAACTTGATTGTCACAGACGGTGATTTATCTAGTTTCCAAACGATGAACGTAAATAGAAACAATGGAGCATATTCACTGTTAATTCTCAAAGCGTCACCAAAGCTCGGCTTGAATATGTGTTACCTCTTCGCACTTTGTACACGTACATCGCACAACTAAATTGTGTTCCTCATAACCTAAAAATAAATTGACGACACGTTTGGCTCAGTTTGTAGTGACCCTACTTGCTGCGCCAGCGGTCGCGGGTTCTAGTCCCGCTGGGGGTATTCATTTGTGTGATGCACGAATGGTTGTACTCCAGTCATGGGTGTTTATATTTACAATATGTATGTATTTAAAGTTATACGAGTATATGTATAATGTATCAACTATCTGGTATCCATAACACAAGCCTCGTAGCTTACCACGGAACTAGATGGTGTTGCGTGTTAATGTCCTGTTTAAAAAAACGATATGACAAAGACATAGGTTTTTGTTCCTAGTATTTCGAACGTTATTTCTATGAATTAAATGAAAGAGAAGTAATGTAATTACTTCATATTTATTACTCATACCTATATAAAATTTTCTTTATTCTTTGAAGAAAGTGAACGATTTGTATGGCATAGTTAAGAATAGTAGCATAAACAGTAACACACGCTAATATTTTTGTCTTTTTGACTTTAGTCTGAGGCTTATAAATACTCAAGTAATAATATTATTCATTAATATTTCCAATAAACTTATTTCAGGATGACGATATTTCTTCAATATGTAACCTCGAGTTCGAATTATGTGAATACCTGGAACGAAGCACTAGTAATGCGTACCACGAACTGTATCCTGGAGTAGAAATGATTAATTACGATTTTATTGCAGAGAGGCAGAGCTTATATAGTACAAAGTATGTTTATTTTCATACCTATTACAATTATTTATACTAGCGACTCACCCTCGCTTCGCTCGAGTTCGTCCCTAGCTTGATTCTCCATAGAAACTTTCATCCCCATTTTCACCCCTATAAGGGATGATTTCCGGGGTAAAAAGTCCTATGTCTTATATGTGTCCTATGTCCTTCCCAGATTCTCAAACTATCTTCTTACCAAATTTCATATAAATCGGTTCAGTAGATCCAGAGATTGCCCCACCCCCTACAGCGTCACAAACTCACAAACTTTACCTTTTTATAATATTAGTATAGATTATGTACCTACATTAAAATTGTAAAACAAGTTTGTTAGTTAATGTAAATGATTATTTCTGATACTACAGATTTACTTCTGAATATTTTTCCATTATTTAGAGACTTCCTTTAGTGACTACGGACTATTTTATTAACCGATTTAAAAAAAAGCGAGAAATAAGTCATTCAGGTTGAAAAAAAGACTTTTTCCAACCTTCAGGGTTTCATAAAAGTATACTAAATTAAAATATTTTAAATGAAAATATTCGTGTACGTTACAGATATTTCATATTTCATAACTTCACTCACACATTTTCCATTATACATTTCAATAGATATATCAAAAATGTTTTGTTGTTTTTTGTTTAGTTTGCTAGAATCCACCGCTCATCTAGTAAAAGGCTGCCTCGGTGCCGGAATATTGGGAATGCACGAAGCGTATATGTACGGCGGTATTTGGACATCGCTGGGTGTGACCGCTGCTATTGGGTTTCTGGTTCCATATTGTATGCTTGTAAGTTATTTGTTTTCTTTATTAAAATACTAAAATACTAATAAAACATCCTGTATCCTCTCTTCAAGGACGTAAAAATAAATAAATATGTTGGTACATTAACACAGCACCATCTAGTTCCATGGTAAGATACGAGGTCTGTGTTATGGATACCAGATAATTAATATACTACACGTATATAACTTTACATATTTACATATTATAAATATGACTGGGTACAAACATTCGTGCTCGTAACACAAATGAATTCCCCCATCAGGACTCGAACCCATGACCGCTGGCACTCCTGTGCCAGCTGTCATGGTACACACACATACTTCCTAGTAGGGTCACGACAAACTGAGCCGAACGTGTCGTCGTCGTGGTTTAGAAGTTTATAATAAGACATACAATAAAATTATCCTCTTTAACCTTTGCACCCCGCAACCCAAAAGAATAGAATGAAAACCTCTACGATAAATATCGTAGATATCTACTAAATCTATCCAATGTCATCAATCACTGTAAACTAGATATTATTTGAATATAATATATTAAAGACTTGTTTTAAAAAGTTATATAAGAACTCTCCACATATTAAAAATATATTAATTAAATAAAATCATAAACTGTTACTGCCTTTAGAATTTACTCCCTCCAAAAAGGACTTCTTGTGGAGTCAAAAGTATATATAATATATGTATATACGTGTTTCTCGATTTTCATCTCATGTTATTTCTTCAAGCAGTAATAGCCCATTGTTAGCGCGCTGGCTTAGAAAACTAAGAGAAGCGGATTTAGAGTCGGTTCTCGAATCTCTGAGATTTTCATAATATGCAAATTTCGTTTTCAACATGATTCCCATTTGTTTATACGAGGAAAAAAACCTTAAGAAAACCTGTATTACTGAAAGAACCTAAGTAGTTTTTACAAGTCGTGTGAAGTAAATCTCTTTATTGTATACCTACAAAAGTAAGACGAATTAGTATAAAAAAAATCTAACAAAGAATTTTTACAGCTTTACATATAGACAAACAGACTTACAAACAAATAGACAAAAAAAATATAATTGTTATAGAGACTATATTCTATGCACAATAATGTAACAGGCATTGTTTTCAAAAAATATTTAATGCACAGATTTAACTTTGTTACTATTTTATTATGTGTATGTATAGATGTATATATACAACTTTATATATTGATATAGATATCGAAGGTACTTGGAACGATTCTTTTCAGACTTTAGTACAATCAGCTCAAACAATGTACATAAGGCTACGAGTACCAAGACTCTCTTATCCTGACTTGGCTGAAGTAGCGATGGCTACTGGACCAGTGAAACTTTGCAGACGATTTAGCAAAGCATTTAGGTAATAAATATTTTACTTTACATAGTTTTTTCTTTATAGATCTTTATTAAACTTCATAGTTAGAGACCAACACATTTTTATCTATACTTAATATTATAAAGAGGCAGAGTTTGTTTGTTTGAACGCGCTAATCTCAGGAACAACTAATCCGATTTGAAAAATTATTTTTGCACTAGGTAGCCCGTTTATTCAGGAAGGCTATATCATATATGTAGTCATAGGCTATATCATATATATAGTCTATCTATTCCATACTAACGGTTAAAACGTACCTAAGGCAAGTTTCTCAAATAGCAGCTTCCACTAGATAGGAGATAGATTGTTTTTTTTTTCATACAAATATACACCATGGACATTTTAACCGTACCTTTTTTTTATTTATCTGTACAATGTTTTTTTATAATCGTAGTTTTTTCTTAAGCTTGAAGGTTTGAAAGATTTTTGACAAATTGGCTGAAAAGGCTGGTAGGGTAGAGCCTTTAAAAGAGCCTTCTCCTCGCCAAGGGATATTTAGCTATTAAGCAAAAATTACATTATATTTTAATGAAATATAGCACAATTAAAACTAAATAGGTAGAAAAGATTTCGTAAAATAGCAGACAGAGATCGTAATAAAATTATGTATTAAATATCTAAAATCCCGGGATAACAAAGGAACTGTATGGGATTTAAAATGAATGTTCGCTTGAAAAAAATCCCCTGCATATTTGTACTGCATACATTTATAGTAGTGAAGTGTATGAAATAAGCTAGCTTCCACGAAGAATACGAACTCGTTTTGTATCATTGTATTGATAGCATCATGTAATGTTATTTTCATATTTTCAATTCTAGATATCTCGTCGACACATTTCTATTTTTAGACTTTAATGGAACTTGCTGTATTTTCCAAATAATGATAGCAAAAACGTTAAAACAGGTATGATCGATTGGATACATTGTACTCAAATGTATTGAATAGTACTAGCGACATGCAGGTTTTCTCACGATGTTTTCCTTCACCGTAAGACAAGTGGTAACCATGTTGGAAATGATTCTCACATGAAAATATCAGAGATGCAAGACCCGGGATTTGAACTCACTTCACTCGGTTTCCCAAGCAAGCGCGTTACCACTGGCCTACCTTAAAAAAACTGCCTTAAAAATGTATTAAAGTACAATATAAGCATCATATTATTTTTATTAATTTGGCTCAGTTTGTAATGTCCTACTTGCTATGCCAACAGTCGCGGGTTCAACTCCCGCTGGGGGCATTCATTTGTGTGGTGTTTATATATTTCATAATATGTATGTATTTAAAGTTATAATATATGTGTAGTGTAGGAACTATCTGGTATCCATAACACGAGCCGTATAACGTATCTGACCATGGAACTAGACGGTGCTGTGTGTTCATGTCCCAACATATTTATTTATTTTTATAGACAATTAAATATCTATTTCAAAAGGTAATGGAGTCCATATCGAATTGGCAGATTTCTATAAGTCTCTACATTTTAATTGTCGCAATTCCACTGATATTGCTGTGTTTAATACGAAGCCTGAAATATCTGGCTTCGTTCTCACTAGTTGCTGATATGGTTTTAGGTAAGTATATACGTAACTGCCTCGGTGGTGTAGTGGCTACCATGTAACACTAGGAGGTCACTAGGTTGCACACTAGGAGGTCCTGGGTTCAAGTCCCAGGTCGGCCCGAGTTTAGTTGTTGAGTCTTTCTGTACAGTAAGCCTCAGTAACACCCCGGAGTTGGGAAGTTGGCGGTGTTTCACCCCCGTGCCTCGGAAAGTACATGAAGCCGTCGGCCCTGCGCCTTAACTCTCACCGGTCGTGTCTCGTGTCGTCCCACCGGAGTATGAGAGTAACAGGAATAGAGAGTGCACTTGTGTCTGCGCGTACACTTGTGCACTATAATATCTCCTGCGCAGTTGGCTAGTCTCAATGTGATTGGCCGCCGTGGCCGGAATCAGTTCGGAGGACATTATTATTATTACATAAAATCTATATTTATAAAAAAAATAGCGACTAACCCTCGATTCACTCGGGTGCGTCCCTAGGTTCGTTTTGTATAGATAAAAATAGTTATTGCGAGTGTACGATAGGAGATAGACACAGGCTTTTGCAGATTATGTTGTAGACCATATTAAGACCCACAATTTTCTAGTACATTGTTTATACATATCTCTAAAAGTTTAGCCAGCGTTAGCTATGTAATCGTATCAAAATATTTTTTGATAAAATACCGTCTTGGATCAGTCATGTTGTACAAAATATTAACAAATTATATGCATAAACCTTCCTCGGTTATTGCTCCTTTTATTAGTGAAACTCGTATCAAAATCCTTTGCGTGGTTTAGAAGAGAAATAAGCGGAGAAACAGACAGACGCAGAAAGCGACTTTATTTTATACTATGTATAGGTGGGAAGTTATTTCTTTACATATAAAGGAAAATCTTTGTGGGTTAGACATTCATAAATAATAATATGAAATTCAATAATAAATTCAAATTCATGAATAAAATATTAAATAAAACAGTTTTTAACGCCACACTGTGTATTATTCAGTAACTAACTGACACACAAGACAGTGTAGCCATTTTAAGTAATAGTTCATTCGCAATCTCATAGATAGCGCTATATCCTTTATATAGATATAAAAAAGAAAAAAATATTAGCTTGGAAAACTCGAATAAAATAAGAATAAAAAAATAATTTACAAAAATAAAAAAACCTGATTGCATAAAAAGCGAACTAAAAAATGAGAACAAGTTGACGAAGGAACATAGTATTATGCAGTAAGAGACATGCAGCTATAATATATATATATACGCAGTCGAGTTTTTATTTTTGTATTTTTTTTTTAATTTACCTAAAGCTTTTTAGTTTTTATCAGTTAGACTATTTTATGTTTTATTTAACAATTTCTTATCCTTAATTACTTTTAAACATATAAGTTATATGTATATGTTTTTGCAATCGCCTCATAAAAACAGGTACTCGTATTTTGATACCCCACTCGGTTGATTCGGACTAAAATATATTTTTAAGACAAATGGCGTGTTAGATCCACCATGATATATATACTCGTATTAGGATGTCATAGAGCCTATGGCACTACACTACAAGACAAATGGAACGACGTATGAATCATCAAAATCCATTCAACCATTTAGTAATTACGAGGGAACATAAGATCGGACATACATACACACAGTACAAACACGTAACCCTCCTTTGGGTTTTGCCGCAGTCGGATAAAAATATATGTATTAACAAAGAGATACAAAAAGGCTTATTAAAAATAGCAAATCAAAATAGACAGCTTTTATCTTATAATAGTAGGTTTCACTTTTATTTTGAAAAAAAAAATACGTACACTGGTGAGGCAATGGGCAGTTAGAAACAAAATTTTATTATTTTTCAGCAATGTGCGTCCTAACAACTATGTACTATAGCATATCCATGGCGTCTAATTTGAGCGATCGTCCTGCATGGAAAAGCATACATGGCCTGTTTCGTATGATCGGGGTTTGCATTTACAGTGTAAAAGGCATCGGTGTAATACTACCAATAGAAAACCATATGCGAAGACCTCAATATATTAGCACTGTGGTGCAGTGTGGTAAGAAAGACGCTATCAGTAAAAGTTAGGTACTAAATGTTCTCTATCTATCTATATCTATACCTATAATAAAATTGTAACTAAGCCGAATCTGTACATTAAATATTTTTGGAAAATCTTATTGAAATAAACATTATTATCAATACAGAGGCCGAATTTATAGTTTTTAGAATTTTTGTCTGTCTGTCTGTTACCGCATCACAGAAAAACCACTAGAGGGATTTTGATGAAATTTGGTATGATGATAGCTGGTTATCCGGGTCAACATATAGGATACTTTTTACCGCGGGAAAATGTCTCATTTCTGAGAAAAAATATAAAAACTGCAATGTAAGAGTATACTAATATGTAAAACCTAAGAATTTGGTTTTTGGTCATCTAAACGCGGGCAGAGCCGCGGGCAATGCTAGTAAAGAATAAGGTACATATTATATTTAATTTTAATGCAATATGGCTTAAATTGCTCCTTCATAACTAAGTATGATATTAAGAATTAATAAAATATCTAAAACATAACTTGACAACTTCGCGCTGCTACTGAAAATTTCAAGCTAGAAAGCCTCTTTTTAAATCCAACCAGGAACTCGAACCCTAGACCTTTAAATCTGCACTTGTATATGCTTTGGTAGAATACATTTAACATCTCTGTTATAACATAGTAAAATATTGAAGTAAGTACATAATTATTATATTGCTCCACCTAGGTCCTTAGTACATCAAGGTCATCAGTTCGGTTCTCAATTGGGCAAGATATCACAAAAAAAAACGTGAACATTAAACATATTGTTTACAGGTATGCCCATCGTCGTGATCCTCGTCACTGTCATCGGCTTCTTTGGCTATTGGGCTTGGGGTGAAGAATGTCGATCACCATTCACTACTCACATGCCATCATATACGTAAGCAGTTTTTACAGAAGGCAGATATTCATATCCATACTAATATTATAAATGTGAAAGTATGTTTGTTTGTTTGTCCTTCTTTCACGGCGAAACGGCTTGGCGGATTGACGTGATTTTTTGTGTGGAGATAGTTGGAAGGCTGAATAGTAACATAAGCTACTTATTACCGTGGGATTTTATCTCTTTCCCACGGGATAACACGTTATAATGCAATACAAAAAAAATATTTACGGTCATAATTACATGAAACTTGGTATTAATTCTCTTCAATACAATTAGTTAAATATGTGTTTTAGCATTTTTCGATATTCATCCCATATGGGGGTAAAATAGCGGATGAAAGTTTGTATGAAACCTACCATTTTAGAGTCTTTTTTTGTAGTTTTAGCGCGAGCAACGCCGCGGGTTTTGCTATGGTAATAAATAACATTAAAAATGCTAAAAAGGACAGCTATAAAAGTGTGTTTTTTTCAGAATTTTGCTAGTAATGCAGGGTCTTCTAACAACTACGCTTGGAGTCACATTTGCTGTCCACTTCTGGGTGCCCTTCAGGATTATATGGCATTATATTGGGAAGAAATATAAGACGTGGGTTTTCATTTATGATTCTTTATTCTATTCATTGTACATAATATGTAGTTAGGAAAGGGATACGATATATTTTCATAAAAGGGAGTTGATATAGGTACTTATGAGTTTTGTCAAAACTTTAACTCACTCACTTCTTTAAAACTGGAAAAGTTCATTAAGTGTTTTTAAAATCTGTACACTTCTTTAATTTTGTAAATTCAAGGCCATGTCGTCTCGTCATTTTACTTTTGGTATGTATATTTTTTGCGAACTATTTATCGCTAAGAGCATTGAAATGATAACAAAATATAGTATAATATAAAGAAAAATGCTGCTGTACTTGTTGAAAGTTATTTTAAAGGTACTGAATATAAATCATAATTATACGTTTAAATTACAAGTATAATGACTATCCGACAAAAGCTTTCGCGAAAAGAAAGATGATAATTAGATATGATGACATTATAAATTCTTTGGTCTACCTTGATTAAAAAAAACTTTAAAACATTTAAAATAAGCTGTATACATGTTTTACTCCAGTTGCACTGATTTTAAGGGCTTTTCAAGTACTTGAAAATGTGGACAACCTCTTTTAAACATGAACATGACCCACTTTTAAACACAAAAACAGATGTTCAATTTTCTTAAAACGTTTGTTCAATTCAACTATATTCAAATCGTCCAACTCAATTCAATTTTTGGTTTTATCACTTTAGGCCTATAAGTTGGGACAATTTTAAATCCGAAATTTAATAAAAGGTAGTTAAATACAACTTTTTTTTGTAGGAGACGAGGTATTTGGGAACGTCTGTACCGACTGCTGCACGTTTTGGTCATCTCGTGCTTATCCATCGCCTTTCCAAATATGATAACGTGGATGAGTTTTGTATGATGTTTTAAATCTTATCCTTAAAACTGTTTTGATCACATTCGGAAGCTATAATAAAACTCAAAATTTAGGATTTATAAATATACTTTAGTGTATATTTCTAAATTAAATTTAAGCGATATAGATTTTTTTAATACTAGTAGTAGCTCCAAGACTCAGGTAAATCAATCCTTTAAAATATCCGACTTTCCAAGGTAACCAAGTATTAGTCCAAAATTTAATATTAACTTAATGAAATAAATACTTATTTGTTTTTTGAATTTTTGGGTTCTAGACCCAAGAGGGTCGTGATGAAACCCTGTTATATTGTCTGTACTGTTAATTCCTCCGTCCATATATTTTTGCTTTAACTTGTTATATTGTTGGTACCGTAGTTCATAATTGGTAGATAGTTCAAAATTTTATGGAAAAAAATTATAATTGGGGCTCACAGTGATCGTCTAAACTATTAAGAATTATTAAGATTTGTTCTAAATATTGGTAATTACATATTCAAAGGGTATTATTATATGTATGTGTTCAAATTTTTTTGACGTCCCACTGCTGGGTATGGGTCTCCCTTCAAGATAAAGGATATCACCACCAAGTGCGAATCTTTCGAAAACTTCTAGGTTTTAAGACATGCAGGTTTCCTCACGATATTTTACTTCGCCGTAAGGCAATTGGTAATCATGATGGATATGATTCGCACATGAAAATATCAGAGGTACGAGACCTGGGATTTGAACCCGCTTCATTCGGTTTCTCATGCAAGCGCATTGGGCTACCACTGCCTCTATTATTACATGTTCGTATGAAATTATCGGTACGTGGGCTATTTTTATATAAATTTAACAACGTTTTATTAAGATTGATCTACATTTACAGGTTGGTAACTTCTTCACAGGATTTATGGTCTTCGTGTTTCCAGCGCTAATAGAAATATTAATTACTTGGAGAAATCCCAGAAAATGCTTATTTAGGTAATGTTTTTACTTAGTAATTTTACGGATGATAAAGCATCTGCCTAGTTTTTCTAACAAAAGAAAGTCTTTTCTATAAAATAAATCTATATATGTATAGATAAATAGGAAAAGACAACAGTGCAGTGCCTTTATTCCGATTTTCTTTTATTATTTTTTTGTTTAGTAGCTATTAGCTTACTAAGTGTTATCAATAAAAAAACTTAAAAACAGTTTTTTTGATAGATTAGTATTAATAATACTAATTAAGCAAATAAAAAAATTAAATAACCAAAAATATTTTTCAGATGGCTGTTGCTGAAAAATATATGCCTAATGTTACTTGGTATTGTTTTATGTGGAGGTGCTATTTATTCTAGTTGAATAATATATTTTTTATTAGTTTTTTTTCTTTCAATTTTATACACTTTATGGATAGATACGGCAACACGTCTTTTTTTGTTTGCTTTTTACATAACATTTTTTGAAACTTATGGAATTATACAGTCTAGTTGGACCGGATATGGTTCACTGTTTCCGAGTTCCAGTTTATTTTTTATTTACCAATATTTTTTTTAAATACTTGCATATGAAAACATTATCCCAAATTTTTAGTCTCCCCGCACTGTGGCAGAACAACGTCTACCTCTGGATCTGCGATTATTATTATTAAAGTAAAAGTCAAAACAATAAATTTGTTACAGAAATTCTGCAATACATATTATGTACAATATTTCATCAGAATAATCCTTGAAATAAAACTATCTTTTCGGAGAGACAGTGACTTTCCCGTGACCATGATTGCTGTAAAGCTTTCGAATCGTCGGAAACCAAAAATCAAAATAAATCCGTAAAAATATCCAAAAAGATAGTTTTATTTAAAATGTTAAATATTCGCGTAAATCTAAGAAAGTATTATAGAATAACCTTGTTAAAAATATATTTGCCTACAAAAATATTATATTATCTGTAACAATTAATGTCATTGTGTTGTAAATGTGGATAAAAGAATAATAACAACCTATTTAAAATCTTAATTAAACTTTTCTTCTTGAACGTTATCATTAAAGTTAATCTTATAAGATAGGAATATTATATTATTATCAATGTACGAGTACATATAGTATAATTCTTTACATATTAATGTTAAAGACATAAAACCAGATCGTATATGACATATCTATACAGATAAATAAAATTGATGTGTCTGTTTGTAATGTCAAAATAACAGCTTTTTACTAAATGCGTATGAAGGTATATGTATACGGTACTTTTAAGAAAAACACTATTTTTTTACATTTTTGTCTGTATGTCTATCTGTTTGTTCCGGCTAATCTTCAAAACCACTGAAGAGATTTTGGCAGGACTTTCACAGGCAGATAGCTGATGTTATAAGGAGTAACTTAGGCTACTTTGTAGAAAATGAATTAGGGTACGGCTAAAAAAAACGTACCTTAGAGGTACACCCGCACGAAGCGACGGTAAGTCGCTAGTTATTATATATGTGTACAAGAAAATAAGATATCAAATTAAATAATGAGTTCAACATTTTATTAAGAAGGCTGAACTTTTGCTAACCATGCTTATTTGAAATAGTTTTTCTGAAATCACGTAATATAAACAAAAAAAATATATTGTTAACTGGTTAAGAATTCAATGAAATATTAAAAAATATTTTAATCTAGGGAAAGTTAAGGAATAGATATTTAAAATAAAAATTAAAGTATAGTATAGTATTCTTTGTGTTATCTTAACAACAATTAATTAGCTTACTAAAAAAATTTTGCAAGACTTCATTATTTTAAACTCAAAACTAAATTGTAACTTGTCTACTCTTACCTTCTGTGGTGGATTAAATATTCTAACTTACGTTTTTATCTTTATACAATATACACACATACATATAGTAACATAGTAACAAAGTCAAATCTGTAGATGAAATAATTTTTAAATACTATGATTTACGTATTTTATATTGAATATAAACCCCAAAACAAACGTTATTGACATTTTTGTCTGTCTGTCTATATGTACGTTTGTCTGTATGTCTATGTCCATTTCATGCAAAAAGTACTTAACCGATTATAACTGATTTTGTGTGGTCATAACTTATTACTTAAATCAACATTTAGGATACCTTTTACTACAGAAAAATCTCCCAAATCATTCCACAGGAAAACGCAATAACTGTTGGCCGAGTTGTCCTTCGTATAAAAATTTCAATGAATTATTACACGGAAACTATTAGCAGGGTGTTTAAAAAACTACTTTAGTGTGAAAAAAAAAATGTTCATGGGATAATGCAAAATTGGTTCAAACGCAAGTCAATCATCGATGTAAATCTATACCTACATAGTGTAAAACAAAGTCGCTATCTGCCTCTGTCTGTTTCTCCGCTTACTTCTTCTAAACCAAGCAACGAATTTTATAGAGTTTTCACCTATAGAATGAGAGATAAACGAGGAAGCTTACAGTTGTGTACCTAATTTGTAAATAGGAGTATATTGTACATTAAAAAAACTGTTTTCGTATGATTATATGGCTAATGCTAGCTACATAGATCTTAAAGAGGCCTACAGAAAATTCCGCAATGGCATGTGTCTATCTCTCTCTCTTAAGGGTCGCGTCCGTGCAAAGCGAGGGTAAGTTGCTAGTTCTTAAATAAAAAGGCTGTGTTGGCCTAGTGGTAACGCACTCGCTTGGGAAACCGAGTGTGAAGCGAGTTCAAATCCCGGGGCCTCGCACCTCTGATAATTTCATGTGCGAATCATTTCCAACACGATTACCTCTTGTCTTAACGGTGAAGGAAAACATCGTGAGGAAAGCTGCATGTCTGAGAGAACCTAGCAAGTTTTCAAAAGACGTGTAAAGTCCGCCAAACCGGACTTGGCCAGCATGGTGGGCTATGGCCTGATCCCTCTCGTACTGAACGGAGGCCCGTGCCCAGCAGTGGGACGTTAAGAAGGGCTGAATACAATACAAATAAAAACAAAAAATCACTTTAAAACAAATCAACAAAAAAGAACGAACAGGGTGTCAGTGATGTTTTTACTCATATAAAAATCTCTATAGTTACTAAAAATACGACAAAGTATACTTTTTAAACGAACAAAGCGTCAAACATTGTACCTATTTAATGAGTGTTGATTGACACAATGAAACACTTGTCGAATTGAGCATCCACTCAGTTGATATGCAAAGTATTTCTTCTGTAATTTATTTAATTCATGGCACTATTTTGAAGGTCATGCTCATTCATTTCAATAATAATTAACGTTTAGAGAATTGGTATTTTTATTTTGGTCGATGATGTAGAGGTGTTCGATTCTCGGCTTACGTTTATTCTAAATCGTATTTAGGTCTTTTTAACGTCCCACTGCTGGGCACGGGCCTCCCTTCAATGCAAAAGGGAACAGTTCTCTCAGACATGCAGGTTTCCTCACGACGTTTTCTTCACCATAAGACAACTGGTAATTATGTTGGAAATGATATGAAAATATATATCACGCGATATGTACATACGCCAATTGTGAAACTAATTTCATCACTGAAATAAAAATAAATTATACCTCGAGATGATCTGATTTGAATTATAACATTTTTCATCCCTTATTGTGAAATACATAGTTTTGTAAGTATGTGAAATAAGTAGTTTGAGGTCAGTAAAAAAACATGGGAAATATCCCGTTTTACATGTCACCATGAAAGTTGAAAGACTTATAATATGACGCACCCTCACTCTGCTCGGATTCGTCCCTACGTCTTAAGGTTAATATAGTTTTCTCAGAGATGAAATATTTTCACGCAACATCAGGAACAACATTTAGGATTTTTATATCTTAAATGTTGACTCGGATAACCAGCTATCATCATACCAAATTTCATCAAAATCTGTCCAGTGGTTTTCTCGTCATGCGTTCCCAGACAGACAGACAAAAATTCTGAAAACTATAGATTCGGCCTCTGTATCGAAAATACGATGAGTGAGAGAGCAGCGAATGACTATTTCAGTAAAAATTTTCAAAAAATATTAAATGTATATATATATATATATATATATATATATATATATATATATATATATATATATATAAAATAAATATATAATATATATATATAAATATATATATATATATATTACTAAAAGCCTTACACCATATGTGCTAGCGTAGTGGACTGTGACCTCGCATTGAAAGGAAACTTGTGCCCAGCATTGGGACGTAAAATGAGGCTGAATATTACAATTGTTTGTAAAGTTAAAAAATGTCGCTTAAACCAAATAGCCTTTCACCCGTCGATTTCATAATTCAGCGTATAATGAAATAAAAGTGTACTAAAGATTTTCTGTACATATTTTATTAGTTTTAAGTACATCAAACATTTCTAATTCTAAACAAACATTATGTGTATCATAAACATTTTAAAATAATAAAAGAAATTATTAAAATAATTTCTAATTAAATAACTAAAAGATCTATTGTTGAGCACATATTATGAATTATATAAATATTATTTGCAACTCAATAAAGGTATTTAAACATTTTTCTAAGGAAGCTGGCATTAGCTACCCGTCACCATTTTTTTCCAAAATAGGTAGTACGATGAGTATATATGCAAGCAATAAGGCAGCGATATGGTGTTCTAAGACAAAGTCAACGTTTTGAAGATATTCTGAAGAAAAAATCGCTAACATGAGAAAGAACTATGGGATGTATTATTTGAACAAATTATCGCATAAATCCAGTAACTGTTATTTTTAATGATAATAGTCGTTTTCATAGCTTTACCTTTAAATATCTCAGAATTTTTTTCTTCGTCATTCAGATTACTTTTAAAGGCACTATGTGCTGGTGATGCTTATGTTTTTTTATATTTATAAGTTTAAAAACAATAAAAATGGCAAGATGTGGACAGTGCTTCAAAGGTTATTTGCCTTGTAAGTTAAAGTCATTTACTGGAGGGTTATTTTACCAAAAATATGTGCCTTTTTTACTGAAACAAAATCTGGCGTGAAAAATAATCAAGCTCACATCCACTCTCTTAATATCATTGAATACATGTAGATAAATCGATTAAAATACTTTATAGTTAATTTTACTTGTTAACTAGTTAAATTAAAGCTAAAAAACATTTTAAAATTCATCATCCTCCAGATGCCCAAAATACGCTTCAGCTACAAAAAATATAAGTGCCAAAAACCACCCAAAAACTAGTAAAAACATACACGATTTAAAATTATCTAAAGTGAGGGGATCGTAATAGTTGTCTTTAGCCATTTGGAATAAATATTTCTTATGTCTCAAATATCTATTGTGCATTATTTGAGTAAAGCCAGCTTCCACTGCAGTTCTCAAAATATGGTTTACCGAAGGAGCAAAGATCGAGTGCTTCTTAAAATACATGACTAATGGACTATTGACTATCTTTTGAGGCAATATTTGCACGCGTCTATTATCACCACCATCTACTAAAAATTGTATTATATTTTCTTTATTAAGAGCTAAGACGAAATCAGAAGATCTATTAGAAATTTTGTCTAAAATTTCATATGCTTGGTTGAATTCCATAATTTCCCAATTTTCATAAATAAATGCGTCTTCTGCGTAATATTCCCTTAGATTTGCAAAGCCACCATACGGGTATCGTCCTTTTATAACACTATCAAAAGTATAAAAATAGTCTTCATATACTTGTGTTTTTAAAGAACCCATCAATGCGGCTTGATAAGCATTTCTAATAACAAAACAATACCCAATCCAGCTATAAACTAAAATAAGTAGAGACTGCTTCGTTGGCATTTTTAATATTGGTATACCTAAAAATAATGCCCATGAGTAAAATAATAAGCTAGATGTCAAAGGACCGATTTTAAATGCGGTCCGAATTCTTTTACAAATATCCAATTTTGTTGCACTATTGACCAGAGCAATACCAGCAAACATTAGAAATAAACCTATTCGTATACTAGTATCCACAGGGTTTAGAAGTTTTTGCCAAGAAGGCTTGAGCATAGGCATGGCTGCAGTCCATACGATATCCATGGAATTGTATACGAATGAACTTGTGAAGTTTCCATATGTATATTCAGAGAGGGGCAAAGCACGTACGGATATATGGACAAGGTTGTTGTAAACATCTCCCAAAGAACCAGTCCAATTATTGTCTTGATAATGTCCCCAATCATTTCCTCCCTCAGGAATTTTAACTCGTAGCGTAGCATTTAATTTATGAGCTACGAATTTTATGATTTCGCCATCTCCTCCTGAAAGTTCTGAAGTCTCGTTATTTATATACATGAATGGTGGCTGTTCAAAAGTTGATACAAAAAGCGGACACTTGTAGAAGTTTTTAATTTTTTTTGTATATAGGGTTTTAAAACATTCTTCTTCTGTACAACTCTTATCTATATGAAGCTTATAAGGTTCACTGTTTTTACAATTCCCAGGGAGTATAATATCATAAGAGTACAATTCATATTCAGTGTCACTTTTCAGTGTAATATAAATAATATTTATGATTAAAACACGTGACAAGGCAAGAAACACTTGTGTTGGATCACATTTTCTATATTCATTGGATGTACAAATTATAATATATTTTCCCGAATTATCATACTTACATTTATCCAACCAAATAATAGCATCGACTAATTCATTTGAATCCTCGCCAAAAATTACGAACTGTGGTATTGTGAAACGTCTATGCGGAATAAATTTACCCAATTTCAAAATAACAGACTGACTATACCATTTTAGAAATGTTTCCAATACTATTACATTTTGCAGTGAACTATACATTACGAGTGTCACATATCGCCAATCAAAATTGTAATAAGCAATTTTGGCAGTAACTCGACCTATATCCTCCAAAATAGGCGTTTTTACTGGTAAGAGTTCCTCTAAAGACATATTACACATTTTGTTAAAAATCCAAACTGAATAAAACAATTCTACAACTAGTGGAAATACAATTATTAAGTAATTGTCGCTTTATATATTTATAAGTAACGATTTTATCTTTTTCATTACACTGTATTGTATTTTATATTTAATGCCTTTTCAATGAGTAATATTAAAAGGAAAATGGATAAAAGCTTTAGGTAATTAATTTTTATAAGCAATGACAGTTCTCTTTTGCCTTTTCATATAATAAATTTCGATAAAAAATAATGTTATAGAAGATATCCATCCGACTAATAATACTAAGTAGCATCCTGCAAAATTACTTAACGTTATGGGTTTGTCTTCATCTTCAGCATTTTGAATAACTGTCGTAGTATAATTTCTAAAAAGCATATTGGGCCAGCCAAATTCAACTAAACGATCTAATATTCTATTAATGGGCTTAGTGAATGGCGAAAATTTTTTGAAGAAAATAACTGATGGACAGCTTACAATAGTCTGCGGTAAAATGTGCAATTTTCTACCTGGTTTTTTGAGGAATTCCTTTGCGGTAGCTAAATTCATAGCTAAAAGAAATTTCATACCTTTTGTTAAGTTAAGCATTATTTCTTCATATTGTGAGCTATATTTTTGTTTCCAATTATAATAAACTAAAGGTTGATCAATATAATAATCTTTTAAAGCAGTGCCTCCACCATATGGATAATTTTCCTTAATAGCATCTTCTATACTCGTTAGGTCAGCTAAATAAACGTCATTTTTCAAACAATTTATCAAGTGTACTTGATAAAACGTTCTCATAAGGAAACAGTACCAAATCCAAATTATTACTAAATACGATAACGCCATTTTAGATGAAAGTATTAGAGTTGGTTGGCCCATGCAAATTTCCCAAGATAAAAACAATACACTCGTCGGAGAGCGGCCAAAACTAAATTTCTTAAATATTAACGCACAAATTTTAGTTTTAAGAAATAGCACAATACAAATAACAATTCCAAATGAAATAAGTATAGCAATTCTTACGTCTACTTTATATGGTCTTAAGAGTTTATACGATGACATTTCTTTTTCTGGAGGATGAGTCACCCAACCCACATTGACTGTGTAATAAAATTTTGAAATATGAAAATCCCTATGTCGTGTTTGAGTAATACTCGCCGATGTCATAGAGAAGTTAGCTAAATCATAATACAAATCTCCGAGAGAACCAACCCAAGTACCATTTTGGTCAAGATTTCCCCAACCATCTCCTCGCCAAGGGGTCATTAATATGAGACGAGCGTTTAATGCTTCAATTATTATATTTAGTAAATCGCCATCCGCCCCTGTTGGTACACCACTACTAAAATTCATGTATGGTTTTTGCATAAACGTAGATACTATAACAGGACAGCCATGTAGATTTTGTAATTTTATAGGGTATTTTTTTCTACAATAATTTCTATCAGTATTAATACAGTTATCCCAGTTTTTTAATAGTACAGGTGGACCATTCTGGCAATTCTTTCCATAATCATAAGAATAACCCATGGCACCGTAATTCTGCTTATAGTTAATATAAATAATATTCACTATTTTATAGTTCCAAAAAATGTTAACAGCTTCTATCTCATCACAATCCTTTTTTAATATCGATTGACATATAATTATAAATTTTCCAGTGCTATCATATTCATGATAGCTAATCCACAATACCAAGTCCAGTATACTTCTCAAATTGTTACCAAACAGCACAAATTGTCGACTGTGTTCATTCAAATGTGGTATTAAATTTTCGGTGGCAATAACTGTAGTTTTATTGTAATATTCTAAGAAAGAGTTGATTCCACAAAAGAGAGTAGAATTCATAAGAAGTAAAGTCACATATTGCCACGTGAAATTATAACTAGCTATTTTAGCTGCACTTTTTGCTAATAATTCAATATGCACACAGTCATTGACTATGTCTTTCTCCATATATTTATCTATTAGCATGACGTTCGTGTTAAAATCATAACTGCTATTGAATAATAGACTTGGCTAATGTACCTGTAATCGGGTCTGAAATCAGGGTAGGGGTGAAAGTGATCAAACAAAGCGATTGCTTTGTAAATTGATTGAATCATGTAACATTAAAAATCCTTTTATATTTTCATTTTTTATGGATAAATAAAATGAAAATTTACTAACAATATTTATTTTAAAACAGATTTTATCTTAAACACACATATAGACCTCTTCTTAATTTTTAAACTACCTTAAAAGCGGAAACTCTCTGTAAATTATGTTAATAACGTTATGTTAAACACAGACCAATTAATACTAGCACATACAAAAATCAGCCAAGTCGTAGTTAAAACAAAACGCGTGTAACTGAGAGTGCAGAAGTAACTTGCGAAAAACCTGGAAGAAATAAAGGTGTAAAATAATATTGTATTTATGTACTTTTTGATTTAATTTTTTATGTCACGCTCAGCCCACTTTCACTTCTATTTTAACTTAGGCTCAGAACTTAAGTTCAATATTATCTCATAGGATTTTGTAGATCTGTTTTCCTGATATACTCTATTTTGTACGAACCTTTTTTCCTTCTCAGGATATAAAATAACTGTCTTTAAATCTCTATCCGTGATCTAATAAAAACCACATTAAATTGATTCGGACTTTGAGAAGATTAACCGTACAAAAAAGCTTTATTGATCGTTAGGGTTTTAGTATCATTAAAATGGTTACATTTGAAATTGAGAATCTATTTTGAAATTATATATAGACACTTAATTATGCATCTTTAAATAAACAAAACAAGATAATACAGTCTATATTATTTTCTTTTCCCTTTCTATATAATCTTAAACGTCATAAAAAATGTACATTTTTTATACAAAAACTACTTCGCTAGGAAGTTTTAACGGTTAGTATGTAGTAGATATATGTATTAGTATATTATATATATATATATATATATATATAACATAGGTATGATTAACATGACATAAGGTATGATGAGTTTTATATCCCTTACTTGAGAAATGATTGATTCTGCATACAAACTTTCACCCCCCTTTTCACTCTCTTAAGGGATGATTCCGGGATAAAAACTATACTATGTCATTCCCAGAGTCTCAAATTATCTTCATACAAAATTTCATCTAATTCGGTTCAGCGAATTTTTAGTTTATCCATTAACTTACTTATTTTATTTATTTATTTTAACAATATCAAAATTGTCACAAATAGCAAATTTATCAAATACTTAATTTCTGTAAGAAGATGGTTTTTATTGATTATGATTGATGTGATTTCCCGACACATAAAATATCGTCAGGACCCAAGAAATCTTCGTGTAGGCTACATTCTGGGTAAAATGTGAAAAAAATTGTATCGACTTTTATTAAAACAATAAATTTTACCGCCCTGGAAAAATACTCTGACAATCGATTTTTAAAATTACGCTATAAACAGCTCATATATACACATAAAATGAGGTACGATTAGAATCTTTAGAACTGGAAAGTGTAAGCGTGCTTGCAATTACGGGTTAAAACATTAATTACTTCGAAAAAATAGATAGTAAATTCTATACTCACCTAAAAGTGTTCTTATTATACTAACGACTAAGCGTCGCTTTGCTCGGGTCCGTCCCTAGGGATAAATATCTAAAGATCGCATAAAGGACAAACATGCAAAGAAAAATATTTTTTTTGTTTCATCACAATCGGATCAATGGTTTAGAAACGTATAGCAAACAAATAAACGAACATTCTGATTTTTATTTACATATAGGTATATAGAAGATAGATAAGTCTTTACATATATAAAAGACACAATCTACGTACCTTTAGGGTAGCCAAAGGGCGTAAAAGGAACCCTTAATCAATCACATGCTCGTCTGTCCGTCTGTCAAAGCCATTTTACTCGAAAACTTTTGGTACTATAGAACTAAAAATTAGAAAGCACGTAGATGCATCACCTAAATTGACTGATTTAATTCCTACTTTACCTAGAACCAATAATATTATTTGAAGTATGCGTATGCCTTTTTGTTAAATCTGCCATATTGCTAATTTTCTGACATAAAACAATTTTCTGCGGATCAATCTCCATGACATTGGCGAGCAATCTGTGCTCAACTTTCACCATTTGAAGCTGTTAACAAAAAATTGAATTGAAAAAATATTTGAAATGTACAAAAATTATACTATTAACAAATATTGCTAAATTAAAATAAATCACTCCACGACTACAGCTCCATACACACTACAAAAGGATAACTCTAAAGAAAACTGTAAGCATTTTTCATGCTATCGTTATTACAGCTGTATACATAAACATTTTTATTGATAATACAAGAATTGCCCGCAGCTCCGCCCGCGTTTAGATGACCAAAAACCAAATTCTTAGGTTTTACATATTAGTATACTCTTACAATGCAGTTTTTGTATTTTTTCTCAAAAATGAAATATTTTCCCGCGGTAAAAAGTATCCTATATGTTGACCCGGATAATCAGCTATCACCATACCAAATTTCATTAAAATCTCTATAGTGGTTTTCTGTGATGCGGTAACAGACAGACAGACAGACAAAAATTCTAAAAACTATAGATTCGGCCTCTGTATCGATAATAATGTTTATTTCAATAAGATTTTCCAAAAAATATTTAATGTACAGATTCGGCTTAGTTACAATTTTATTATAGGTATGTATAGAATGATATAATACAAGCGATGTAACTAATAGCTGCAAAAAATTTAAAAAATATATGAGGACCATATATTCAGGCCACGTGACACATTAGATATGTCTTTCCATACTTTATTTAGTTTTGTCTTAGCATTGGCGAATGTAGAACGTCATCTTAAAAGCTTTTTCGTTGCTTTCTATCATTTTTAACCTCTGTACAATACAGGGCCAATCTACCTTAGAATATCTTTGCAATCGACGAGACAGCGAGTCGGATATAAATTCGTATATCGGTGTCAGTGCTATTTAGTTATTGATATAGAAATGAATTCGAATCATGTAAGTAATGATTATAATACTATTAATTATATTAATTTTACATATAGTAAATTAAAATTTAGAATTGTGTTTTTTGTATGTATGTATTTTGTATATAATATCTGCTCACCAAATATTTTGAGACTCTAAACTATTCGAGAAATAATTAAAAACAAGTTAGTACTAAGAAAAAATATATATAGGTAATAAACGGAATTAAAACACAGCCTTAAAGGAATAAAAATGAATGCTAAAATAATATTAAGTAGTATTATTACTAAAGCGTTTACACCCTTAGCACTATTTCTTACTATTAACCGATTAAATGGTTTGATTTTTTTACAATAATAACGAATTCAAAGGCGTGTTTGCTTTTTGACTACGGAACCCTAAAATTCATAGATAATTCAATGCTCAGATACATTTTCTAGAAAACCTTTTCTTTATATTCAAAGTTATGATGTTATCTTGTTTGTTTAACAAAGATTCCATTGTTGGCAGTTAATATAAATGATAGAAATTTATCTGCTATTATAAAAAACAATCATAGAATAAACATGTTACAGTTAGGAAAAAAACAAGGTATTTAAATTATAATCACTGTTATACTATATTATAATACTCTCTTAGATTTACGCAAATTAGCAATCATGGTTACGGGAGACTCTAAGCACGGTAATTTAATGCATACAGTATTCCAACTCGGCCCTGTCCTTGAAATAATTACCTACAGCCGAGCGGCACGTACCCACGCGATAGGGCTGCCCGAGTGCCCGCCGCGCCGGCTAGTGTTTTAATTTCATCTACTTATTTGAGTTTCTTTCTAATTTTGTGATTTCAAATACATATTATATTTTTTATTTAAAAAGTATTATTAGTAGATTTAATTAAAAAATCTCAAATTTATAAGGGTGGTATGTAACCCTTATAAATTTTAGATTTAAAAATATTTGCGCCTCGACTGAGACATACGAAAAGCTATATTGTTAAATTTAACAGTATAAAGAATCCGCATTCGAATAAAAAGTTTAATTAAAAATACTTTAATTTTTGTTTTTATTTTTAATTTAATTAATTAATTTTTATTTTTAAAACCTACAAAGTCTCGATACTTTTTTGTTTGACATTAGCGAAGGAATACGACGACGGGACACGACACGCCGAGGAATAAAATGTTTATTTTTGTATGAAATTATAAAAGTTACATAACATAACCACCTTATACAATTTTCGTATTCAATTATACGATGTGGCAGCCCCGCACGATTGTCTACCGAGTGTATACCGATCGCGACGCGCGTAGGTATAACTCGATTTCCGACCGTTTGTATGAAGATGGAATATTGTATGTAATTTTACCCTGCTCTAAGGTTTTAAACATCTCAAAGGTATATATAGTCTGTCTGTCTCTAAGAAATATTTACCTTAGAGAGGAGTAAAACCTTCGTCTCTCCAGTGACCATGATTGCTGTAAAACAATCGAAACGTCGGGAACCATAAATCTAAATAAATCTGCGAAAAAATCCGAAATGGTAGTTTTATTTACACTATTATAATACTTAAAGGTGATTTTTCAATTGTCAGATAAAAATACGATATAAACAAATTAAATATAATTTAAAAAAAACGATTTCTTGCAATTTTATACTAATTTTATTTGATAAACAAACGTTATACATATATATATATATATATATATATATATATATATATATATATATACCACCCCTATTTTTCATTTGTTCTTATTTTGACATGACAAAATTTTAAGAGTTTTTGCTTTTTACCTACAGAACACTAATGAAAATTATCTATAGGTCGGCATTTCAACGTTTAGTATCGTACTGAAAATTTACCGCATGGTCGTGTATTTAATATTTATCTCATTTATATAACTAATTGTTTAGATTTTTTCGGGATTTATCCGACGTTGCGGTTTCCGATGTTTCACAGCAAACATGGCGATGAGAAAGAAAGAAAGAAAAAATCTAATTAAAATCGCGTAAAAATCCATTGTTTTTTTAATTTAAGACGGCTTAGTTTTATAGCTTGAATTAAATTGGGTTATTTATATAATTCAAATATTATTGGTGCAGTTAAGTCCTACGCAAAATCAAACAGAATTCGATTCTGCTCCAAAGCCGCCACCGCAGCCTCCCCCAGATGAAAACGTTAAGAGAAGATTTGTTGTTCACGCTGAAAAGGATACCTACGATTTCGTGGCAGAGAGACAAATTAAAAGACCTACAAAGTGAGTATAGTATTAGATAATAATAATAATATATTAAATATTAAAGAATCAACCATTATAACGTCCCGCTTGTGGGACCACCAATGAGATTAAGCCATGTTTTCCTTTACTAATATTTATTTGCAAATGATTATGTTAGAAATGACAGATCTTGATCGTGGGGAAACTTTTACTTTACAAAAAGCTTTGAAAAGACATCTAAAGCCCGCAGACTTGTACTTCACCAACGTTGCGCATAGATAGGGCCATTAAATAAATAATTAATTTAGATTTTAGACTAATAAATGTGATCAAAAGAGGGAGGAAATGGGCAAATTGGCACAAGTTTAGTATAAGCGACGCGGCCCCTGGAGAAGTGGGTGGTATTTTTAGATAGGGGAGGTGATAGGGAGTTCCAATATATAAAAATTATTTTGAGGAAACGAAGGAGTCAAAAATCATAAAGACTTAAATTTAGAAAATTTACATACATTTCAATACCTAAATAAGTCATTACAAAAGATAAACATACTTTTAACGAATAGTAAATATCCTTTTTCGTGTAACATCCATATTTTCATAACAATTAAAGCTTTATTGTAGTAATATTTTGCTAATTTCACTAAAAACAATAATCTAAACAAATTAATCTTAAATTTTTACAATACTGTCAACTTCTCTTTTATAAACCGTTTTCAGGACAACATATTAACACGTAATATTTAGTTAAGAGTTAAACATATTATTAAAAAGGAAAAAGAAAAATTTGTTATTTTCAATTCATGAAATTTATGTAAAATATTGAGTTATATAATTAATTTACATTTAGCAAAAAAAAATTAAACCATTATTTGATTTTATTATCTGTGAATACTTTTCAGTATTTTCGGTGTGTAGTCACAAAATACCGCGAAGTTCGATAGTTTATGTGAACACGATCTGGTACTCATTAAACGCGTTCAGGTTTTCATATTTTTTGCTCTTTTTCATAGTTATTTTTCTCATATATATATATATTTACATACTCTCTCTCATATATATATATATATATTACATATATTTTCCAGTAGTTATTCGTTTTTGTTAATTTTCGTATACACTTGTTTCTAGTTTTTGTTTTAATAGTATAACTATTGTTTTAAGTGGACTCATGCAATTTATAATTTTGATTAAGTGACAGTCCGACTGGGATAATTTAGGTTGAGAAGGCCTTAGCCGTGTATTCATATGCAATGCTTTCATAATATTAATTAGTAAAAAGCAGCTATTTTGATATTACAATTAGACATTTCATTTTTATTTATTTGTATGTATAGACTAGTGAACTACTCTTGCTTTGCTCTTTACTGGGTGCCTCTCTTTGTTATAATAATTTATCTATACATCTATACAGCAATATAAAATTGAAGTGTCTGTTTGTAATATCAAAATTACAGCTTCTTATTAAATGCATATGGAATTATAAACCTACTGTATTTATAAGAAAAACACAATTTTTAATTTTTTGGTTTGTCTGTCTGTCTGTTTGTTCCGACTAATCTGCGAAGCGACTGGGCTGATTTTGACGGAACTGTCACTGGCAGGTATTGATGTTATAAGGAGTAACGCCACCTTTTGACCAAGTTTAGTATCAACAGTAGCCTGTATTATTTCAGATCATAATTTATCTGTATACTAAATTTCATTCAAACCATTTCAGCACGACAGAGTAACAAACATGCACACACGCATACAAACATCAACATTAACATTTATAATATAATAATAATTTACATCTAATTTTTTATTCGCAGCACATTGGAATCCACAGGACATTTAATAAAAGGATGCCTCGGCGGCGGCATATTGGGTATACACGAAGCGTTTATGAAAAGCGGTCTTTGGACCTCTTTGTTTGTCACGATCATATTCGGTTTCTATATCGCGTATTGTGTTCATGTAAGTAATGAAATCTGATTTATCTAACAATATGTAATTAAGTCAAACTTATTCGGATTTTTCGCGGTTTTATTTTGATTATTGATGTTGCTGACTGATTGCTTTGAAGAAAGACACTACAGACTACAAATATTTTTGTTCATGTTAACCTCTCTTCTATTATTATATGAATCCTTCTTATGTCATGAATTCTAATGTCTAGCGGCATTGTTTTAAAGTAAGTATAAACATTGACAAACACTTAACATTATAAAGTATACTATCACAGCACTACTCTAGATATGAACTAAGTATCATAATCCATAGGAATATATATATTACAAGTGTTAAAGTATTTTTTGTTTGTTTGTCTATCTCTAATGCAGCAATACAGCAATGGTTCCACGTGATATTTTTCATAAAGATAAATAAAGTTAGTTGTGGGCTAGAGTTTTTGACCGACTTTAAGAAAAAGGTACCTACAGAATATGTCTGAATTTTTCTAAAATGGTTATCTACTCGTACTGGTATCTTAACCACTTGTCCATTGACTTTCATATTTTTTAATGACTAGATCCTCCTAAACCTCAAAAACATCATATAAGTTTTAAAAAATTATGCCAACCCTTAAAGCTGTCATAAAAAGTAATTATTTCACTTATTACAGCCATATTTGTAAAATGTGATATGTAGTGATGACAGGATAGAGTAAGTAAGATTAAATCACTAGTGCAATAGTAATTTAAGTACTTATGCATGTACCATCAAGTAAAGAAGGATTTTGTTAAAAGAGTAGCAAGTGTTCAAGTGACTTTAAATAAAATCCACACTTACAATCAAATTCTACGCAGAAAAGATATAATGAGCTTATATCGTTGAGTCGACAGTATCGATAATAATTTATAACACCCACAAAACACGAGGATACCCAAGACTAACATACTACAAAAATATGAACATTATTTATGTTTATAGTGAAGATCCCTATCGTTTACCAATTTTTTTTTACTTAGAACCTTTTTTCATATTCCGACAACGCATTTAAAATACATCTCATTGAGAGCAAGGCAATAACATGCCAGAATGAAATAAAATATCTGTCTTTTTGATCTAGTGGTACCATCTACAACTATAGATACTCAGGTCTAGAGGTCGAACCCCGGGTTGAGCCAAAACTTTTTTCTGCCAAAATGTTCGCAGTAGCCGTCTCTCACAAAGCATATGATACCGATCAGCAGTCACCTGACGCAGTCGATCAGTAGATCAGTTGTTTCCAATTACCGAATTTATCAAATACTAGCAACTCACCCTCGCTCCGCTCGGGTTCGTCCCTAGGTTGATTCCCATTACAAACTTTCATCCCCATTTTCACCCCCTTAAGGGTGATTTCCGAGATAAAAAGCTATACCTATATTCTTTCCAGGGTTTCAAACTATCTTTTTACCAAATATCATCTAAATCGGTTCAGTAGATCCAGAGATTACCCCCTACAACGTCACAATCCCACAAACTCACAAACTTTACCTCTTTATAATATTATATTTAGTATAGAAGCATATACCTCTTTATAATATTATATTTAGTATAGAAGTATAGATTAACGATGGGATCACTTGTTTTTATCAAAGATCCCATTGAACTTTAAGCGTGAAAAAATAGTGTACCTGTATTGCACGCAAACATGTGCACAAAAATATCTTCTGAGCTCATTGCTATTCTTAATGTTATCAACTGCCGTGTACTATATTAAATCATGGATCAGATACTTTGTCTTTTTTTCAGATGCTGATAACATCAGCACAAACTCTGTACAAACGATTGCATTTACCAGCGATGTCATATCCAGATTTAGCTGAAGCCTCCTTAGAAGTTGGGCCTTTTCCCAGCTTAAGAAAATATAGCAAATGGTTCAGGTATAGTTTAGCGATTTTTTTTTTGTTTAAAGCATTTAGTATCTTTAAAGTTTATTAACAGTTTAAAATGAACCCTTTGATTATTTGTTTTCGAAGGCTAATCCTATATAAGGTGGAAATATGGGAATAAAATCTTTGATGCACAATTTTCAGTAATTGCCAATATATCATAGATAATAAATTATTAACTTTGCACTTTTCCTGCAGACCAGGAATTATACTACATATATAATTATACTACAGATACGCAGTAGACCTAGCAATATGTATAGACCTATTTGGTGCTTGCTGCGTCTACCAGATTATTATCGCGAAGACCATAAAAGAAGTTATAGAGACCACAATGGGATTCGAAGAAGGGGATTTAAACAAACTAAGATTGTACATTCTTATGATGTTGGTACCAGTTCTTCTACTTTGTATGATCACTACACTAAAATATCTGGCACCCTTCACTTTGCTGGCAGATATTTTTATTGGTAAGGATAATTCCTTATTATCCTACGTGGCTATATTATTATCCAAGTGTAAAATCTACAATCTTTAGTAATATTTCTATTAGAATCGTTTTACATAAAGCCGCCTGCTGTGATTCTTTACTTCATTATTATAATGTTCATTTGTGACACAGGTCTTTTATGTACTTCTTTATGGTGCCGTTGGGGGATTTATTTCTTTTGGGTGGGTTTTCTTTAGGGTGGGATGAAAAAAGTATTTATCTAACTACATAAGCCTAATTATTAATAATCTGTTTTGCAATTTAAAAATTTACATCATTTCAGTGGCCTGTGTGGTAGCAACAATTATATACGGATATCAATCAGCACCACCACTGTCTACTGTACCTGGTTGGAAAAATGGTATAGGCTTCTTCGAATTCTGTGGTATAGTTATATTTAGTATGGAAGGAATTGGAGTTTCGTTACCTATTGAAAATAATATGAAGGATCCTACGAAATTTCCACTTATTTTAAGCGCTGGTAAGTTAAAAGTGAAACATTGATATCATATCTGCGAACTCGCTTGTAAAAATTTAAATATATAATAATAGTGAACCTCTCTAGCTTCGCTCGTCCTGAAGCTTACTTATGTCACTTTTGAACACACTTGAAGGAAAATATCTTAAGGAAACCTGCATGTCTGAGAGAACCTAGCAAGTTTTCGGAAGACATATGGTGGCAAGTCCACGAACTTGCACTTTTTTTTTTTTATTGACGCTCGACAAGATGACTCCATGTCGCCTGATGGTAAGCGACAGTGGAATCCAGAATGAGATCCATCGGTTCCGGGACTTGATCTCGATTCCGATCAACCTCACCTTGTCGGCCTGCAAATGTGCTTTTTCACGCTCCGTTTAAACGACCCAGGATTATAGGAAGAGGGAAACACGTGAGACTTGGCCAGCGTGGTGGACTATGATCTGAACCCCCTCGTATTGAAGGAAGGCCCACCCCCAGCAGTGGGACGTTAAAAAGTACTGATTACAATAGTAATTCCTTTTTCGCTAAAACCTTACACTTGTTACAAATTCAGTAACTACTCGTATGTTTAAGCAACTTTTATAGTCAATGAATTACATGCAGGCAATTTAACTTATCTCTTTTGAATATCACACAAAAACAATTTCAGCTGAAAATTATCGTGGTAAATTATCTCTTAAAATATTATATAATTTCACGACCTAAGAAACAATGTAATACTTTGTTGTTAAGAATAAGCAAATTTTATTATCTATTACATATAATAAAATTGTAACTAAGCCGAATCTGTACATTAAATATTTTTTGAAAAATCTTATTAAAATAGACATTATTATCGATACAGAGGCCGAATCTATAGTTTTTAGAATTTTTGTCTGTCTGTTACCGCATCACAGAAAAACCAATGGAGGGATTTTCATGAAATATGGTATGGTGATAGCTGATTATCCGGGTCAACATATAGGATACTTTTTACTGCGGGAAAATATCTCTAAGAAATCTATACTAAACGTTAAAAAGTAAGTGTAATTATTATTATTAGAAGCCTGTAGTGTCCCACTGCAGGGCAAAGGCCTCCCTACTCTTTCTCCTTTAAGTGTAATAAAGTTTTATTACAGGGATGTTTGTAGTGCTTACATTTCTTATTTTGGTTGGATTTTTCGGTTATTGGGGTTTCGGAGAGAAAAGTGTTTCACCAGTCACGTTAAACTTTCCCAATGAAATGTAAGTTTTTATATCTTACTACTGCACTTTCACGGAAAATAGATATAGTAACAATTTTGGTGCTCATCATTTTAAAGTCAGCTTAAAAATTATTTGTATATATGTGTAATGTGTTAATTAATTTTAAGAAAATATAAACACGAATATTTTGCTAAGCTTTTCTGTTCAAGAAATCAATAAGGGTTTTTAGGATTTCATATGCCTTTAATACAAAAACTTTACTGGCATTTGATGAAAAAAAAAAATTCCTGTACTTCCCTGCGTATATATACTATGGAAGAATACTTTAAAAGTCTTCTATACTATATAATTTTTATATACAAGGTGAAATACACTCATGGCACGAATGTCATTAGCACGTTTATAGAACGTACTTAAAGTAGTATGCCAAGAAATGCCAGTTATTACGTTAAAAAGACGTTTCGTTTAAATTATTTCAAATTAATTTTCAGTTTCCCAACAATATTAAAATGTTTGATGGGATTGATGATATTTATTACATTTGCCCTTAATTTTTGGGCGCCATTCAACCTCGTCTGGTACTATGTGTCCAAGAAGCACGATCCTCGCAAGCATTGGATATATGAGCGAGTATATCGAGCTATTTTTGTGGTCCTTATAACGGCTACAGCTATTGCATTTCCTAATATTGGAAATTTGATGGGTTTGGTAAGTGAGTTTGTTGCATTATTTACGTACTTTTAATTTTTTTTTAATCATTAATATAAATGCTCTGAATAACAGCGGTTCTCAAAGTATTTTAAAAGACAATACTATAGTAGTTTATTAAATAAAGTTTGCTGGATCGTAGGTAGTTTACTAAAAAGTTCATACACCAGTACTTACTAAAGTCAAAAATTATTACAATATTTACTAGGCAATAGGCTAATATAATAGAAATCGATAAAACTATTAGGGACGAAGTACACAGTTGTTTGGGAATGAAATGTCATAGTAGAATGTGGGAATATAAAAGGGAACGAAAAGTGTTTGAGCAGCTTTGACTTAAAATATAATAAACGTATTGATATTATACATCAGCCAATTTGTGCGGAAGTTTGTTTGTTACTCATCTAATCTGTAACAAATCAATATATTTGCCTTAAACTCGCAATGGATAAAACTTACTCGTATATTCTAGACTACATATGGACTTAATATTTATTTAGTCAAATATACCTAATATTTGACTAAATAAATATTAAGTACATCTTTTCGTCGACGAACGCTTCTACGATGTTTTATCGCGTGAAAACACGAGCGGAGCCGCGGAAAAAACTAGTGAAGAAAACACAACCAATGTATACTAAATGACCAATTAAATTATCTATTTAAGGCATACCTACATAGCATTGTAACAGTGAATTTAGATTTTACTGCAGAACTCTGTTTTATTTCTTGTTGTTTCTTTACAGCTCGGGGCTTTTTGTCTCTCGAACATGGGATTCATATTTCCAGCCATAATAGAACTATTGGTTATATGGGAAACTCCAGGACTTGGCAAATTTAAATGGCGTCTTTACAAAAACATATTCGTAATTCTTCTAGGATTGCTATTATTTGTAGCTGGAACATATTCTAATGTTAAGATGTTAATAGTTAATTTATGAATAAAATGAATTATAGTTAAAGTAAAATTTATTTTATTGTTATTTAATATGAAGGACCGGAATAATCATGGCTTAGATCAGAAAGACTAATCCAGGGGACATGAATGATGAATGAATGATGACGTGGCATGAGTCATGACTAATCTGGACAGAGGTGTGAGATTAATAAATCATTATCATCATCAGCCGAAATCAAATCAGTCACAGCTAAACATATGTCTACCGAAAAAAAATCCTCGACTGCTCATCTTATGAAATCCTTATCCAGTGGGTTCCAGGCTCCAGCGACTATGACGAAGTCGTCGGTCCACCTTGTGAAAGGCCTGCATACGTGTGTCTAATAATAAATGATATATATATATATATATATATATATATATATATATATATATATATTCTATGAAAAACATAATATGCAAAAAATACAATAAATAAATTTTGGGACATTAACACACAGCACCGTCTAGTTCCATGTAAGAGAAGAGGCTTGTGTTATGGATACCAGATAGTTGATACACTACACATATATAACTTTAAATACATACATATTATAAATATAAACACCCATGACTGGAGTACAAACATGCCCCCAGCGGGACTCGGACCCGCGACCGGTGGAACAGCAAGTAAGGTCACTAGCAACTGAGCCAAACGTGTAGACAATTAGTCACAACAAGTCTCACAACACAGTTATTCTACCGCAGAAAGTTTTGAGATCTAAAACCGAGTAGGTTTGAAAAAAATACATAATCATAAGTACCTACTACTACTTTATCATAATATCCAAGTCTACAAATTTTATCCATTCTTAAGAAACTTAAAAATAAGTTTTAGATACTAAATTTAAGAAGTACCTACCTACCTACATACAGTTATTATTTACATGCATCGATCAAAAAAGTACTACATACACAGTACATAATCAGCGACAAAAAATGTCCTCATCGAATAAGCGCTCATTTGAATATTTGAGCGCGGTTTTAATTTTTTTTGTAAAAACAACTTTAAGCTTTGCATTTAGGTTCAATTTACACTGTTGTATATGTATTTCAACTAGAATACTTTACCTAAACACAATTGGTGATAGTTTTAAGAGAACTTTTGCATGGGATTGTTAATCCCTTAAGGGATAATTTCCGGGATAAAAGTCCTTCCCAGGGTCTCAAACTATCTTCTCACCAAATTTCATTTAAATCGGTTTAGTAGATCTAGATATTACACCCTACACAAACTCACAAGTCACAGACTCACAAACTCATAAACTTTACCTCTTTATAATATTAGTTAGATTGATGTATTCTAAATGAAAAAAAAACCATCTTATAGAAATATCACTCAATAAGTAACGACGCGGTCGCGGATCCATACCTTCATACGTGTATGTCGTATTATCTCTTTAACCAATTGTCCAAATTACGAGTATATGCAGTAAAAGGGAAAAGTATTTTGTTTTAAGCATTTTAGACAATAAATTTACTTATTTTGATAAAGAATTTATAATTGTTGATAATATGACCAATAAACATGACCTACCGATTTAAGTTATTTTTTAATATAAAAAACTACTTTTTGTGACTTAAATATATGAAGAGATATAGAAGATAGTAAGAAACGTTTTCGTTCGACCGTTTTGACTTACTTTGCAAATCCGACTACCATGAAAAAGTCTTTTCATTCTTCGGGTTAATATATAGCCTATGACACTCAGAAAGAACATGGCTTTCTATTAGTAAAAGAATTTTGAAAATCGGTTCAGTAGATCCAGAGATTACTCCCTACAACATCACTAACTCACAAACCCACAAACTCACAATATCACAAACTTTACCTCTTTATAAAATTAGTATAGATTTCTATGGTATAAATAAATTATTTTTTCGATTAATAAGCATTATTAATTGAAAATACAATCGATTTCAATCCCTAAGATAAAAATCTTGCCATATCTATACATATTATTTATTGTATCAAAATGTGAATATGATATATCCTAATGAACAAATTTTCAGTTTTGCTATATCTATACATATAATAAAATTCTGAGTCAAATCTGTACATTAAATATTTTTTGGAAAATCTTATTGAAATAGACATTATTATCGATACAGAGGCCGAATCTATAGTTTTTAGAATTTTTGTCTGTCTGTCTGTCTGTCTGTCTGTTACCGCATCACAGAAAAACTACTGGACGGATTTTCATGAAATTTGGTATGGTCATAGCTGATTATCCGGGTCAACATATAGGATACTTTTTACCGCAGAAAAATATCTCATTTCTGAGAAAAAATACAAAAACTGGTTAGAATAAAAAACGATGATACTATATACATTTTTACAAATTAACTTACTAAATATGACAAAAAATATTAAAAATAGCTAATCTTGAAAAAGTATATCAATAGCACTATTTTATTCATTATAAAAGTTATTTTAATGAATATTTAATTTTGTATTATTTAGATATTTGTCAATAGATGTCGCCATGTGTCTTTAAAATAAGTAGTTTTAATTCCAAAAAATTAAATGTACAAATTAGAATTACTACTAAATTACCCGCGGCCCCGCCCGTGTTCAAATTATCAAAAAGCAATTTTTTGGCTATATAAATTAGTAACATCTATAGATCCATTAAAATATAACTAAGCCTTATCCATGCTTTAATATTTTTTGGAAAATCTTATTGAAATACACATTATTATCGCTAACAGAGACTGAACCTATAGTTTTAAGAATTTTTGTCTGTCTGTCTGTGACCGCATTACAGAAAAATTACTGGAGGGATTTTAAAGAAATTTGGTATGGTAATAGCTGATAATCCGGATCAACTAATATACTAATACGAGTATACTAATATGTAAAAACCTAAGAATTTGGTTTTGGTCATATGAACGCGGGCGGAGCCGCGGGCAATGCTAGTTTTAAACTATTTAAAAACAACCTCAATAATTATAGTGGATATTTTTGCACTTAATTTGTCTATGCTATGCTACTCGAAGAAGAGTTGCTAGTGATGGCTTGATGAGCTCGTCTATCGTAACCTTTAGTAAGCGGCGCTCGACAACGTGGAGAACGGACAACAGTCTTGGTGTATGATTTCGTCATAGACATCTGAGGATTACTAGGACTGGTTTATGACAAATTGTTAGGTTTTACATATTAGGACAGATACTCTTACATTGCAGTTTTTGTAATTTTTCTCAAAATTGAGACATTTTCCCGCGGTAAAAAGTATCCTATATGTTGACCAGGATAACCAGCTAACACCATACCAAATTTCATCAAAATCCCTCTAGTGGTTTTTCTGTGATGCGGTAACAGACAGACAGACAAAAATTGTAAAAACTATAGATTCGGCCTCCGTATCGATATTAATGTTTATTTCAATAACATTTTCCAAAAAATATTTAGTGTACAGATTCGGCTTAGTTACAATTTTATTATATGTATAGATTGAGGTTTTATTGAGGTTATATTAATAGGTCTCAACAGGTAAAGAGGTGTGATATGAGTACACTTTTGGTGGCAGCACTTGCACAGAATTTTGCCTTTTTCTTCCGCCAGATTTCGGGATCAAATGGTAGATTTGTGATTATGGCTTTAGACACCATCGATAACTATTTTGGTATCTTTATGCTCATATCAATATATTTTAAACATTAATCATTAATGATAATGGAAATAATTATAATTAAACTTTATTTGAATGAATATTGTTTTTTTTTCACCTACCGATTATGGGTCCAAATATACCGATTTTTGTAGGCAACTCTACCGATTTCGCACATTGACGTTCGAGAGTCGAGAGTAGACCACTGATGTCTGATTCTATATAGTCTATGGTGATTGGATTTTGATATCACGACTCACGAAGTAAAAATATGTATCTTCGATATTACTTACATTAATTCAATATATCAAAATGATGATAACAATTCATGGATTACCTATTGCTGTAAGTTTTATTTTCAGTTATAGTTGAGATATACATTTATTTACCTATTATACACATTTATTACTCAGTACCTGGTCAAAAAATAAATCTTTTAAAATGTTTCAGACGAAATACCATGATTTAAAAGTATTAATAAAACAACAATGTAAAATCAGTGATTTCATACTTGATAGTTTAGTAAATGATAATGATGGGACGAAAAGGGTTAGAGTAGGATTAGCTGATGATAGCGAAGGAAGTCACTTGATAAAGTGCTTGGATGGATATCGTATGTCAGGAAATGTTCTAAGACTCGTCCCTGTTGGCAAGTCATCTGTAAGTATTAATTTCTCTTCTATAGTCTTTTTTTAGTTAATAGGAACTGAATGATTGTAATTCCTGCTAATATCTATGCACTTATATACATATCGATAATTATTAATATCACCACACTACTGTAATATATAATTAAGCTTTAAATTGTTTTCATTAGTGTTATATGTGTCATATACATCTTATCTTGTATATTATTTTAATTGCTCTGTTAAAGTATTAAAATTATTACTTACTACATATAATTCGTTCTGCACCAAGTTTATAGTAATATTAAATAATTTTAAACTTTATTTAAATACCAGGTTCTTAGTTTATTATTAAGAACTTTTTTAAATAACAGAGGAACTTGACAATGTTATATTTTTAGTCTACAACTCAACCACCAAACACATTTGATATAAGAGGTAATTACCAACATGGTGACTATCAAAATCAAAACTTCAATGAAAGGAACAGCCGACCTCTTGATGCAGCAAGACCAGATGCATGGGCTAACAACCAATGGTCTTCTAATCAAACACAAATGCAAATGCAAAACAGTTACAATTATCAACAACCTATAGTTACACCATATGGACAACCAGTGAGTAATTTATTTCAAACTAGCGTTTTCCTGCAGCTCCACCTGCATAGTACATTAGTCACCAACATATTATATACTAAAACCTTCTCCGAAACACTCTGCATCTTATGGTATGAGTATTATTCTGATCGGTTCAGTAGTTATCACAGTATAACTGAACAAAAAAATTGGCTCTCCATTTATTAGTATAGATTTAAGATTGCTATATTCTATGTATATGTACAAACTGTAACTTGATGTTTCACTATTATGATATTTTAATATTGCACTTTTGATGAAAATATGATCCAGTAAATACACTCAAAATAAAATATTGTGTCCCACACCATTGTTTGCTAGTTTAATTTCTATTTACAATGCATACATATTTGCAATGGTTATATTACATAGACATTTCTAGTCACAGTGAAATAAAATATCTTAAAAATCCATTGTCTTTATTCTAGAGAATTCCATTATTTCTTTTCTCACTAAAGAAAATTGAGAAAATCATTTAAACAGGTAAATTAAATATTTCTTTTGAATTCAACAGGCAAATCCTATAGCTAAGCCACAATTTGAATTAAGAGAAGTGGTGCCATCGGGCCGTATTCCTCAACAAGCTCAAAACTTTGCATACAATCCCAAAAGTAACTTAATTAGTTTGGGGGTAAGTATAAAAACATTATTATTGAAATAGTACACGTTTAAAAATTAAATGTATAATTATAGTGTTTTTGAAATGGTAATTAATCTTATTCATATGTCATAATAAATTGCACTATATATTTATAAAAAATATAAATTAAAATGAAATACAATGTTTTGGTAAGGGCATCACTTGAGAACAGACGGACTAATTTGCACAATTTTTTTCTTTAAAATGGTTGTAAAAATTTGTTCTTTTAAATTTTGGTGAAGTTTCCCAAAAAATAAGGAATCCGGGAAAACTGATAGTGGTTTTTTTTCTATAGGTTTTTTGTATGAATTTAAATATCACAAAGCTTAGTGTAAGTATTGACAGGACAATGTCTGGTCAGCTATTATATATTTATAAAAATAATTCTTCTGCATATACCTATTCCTTATCAAGATCATAATTTTTTTGTCTGCTGCTTTTCCAATTAATCTTATTAATCTTCAGAAAGTCTTGATAGATTTTAACTGACCTTTTATTGGTAGATAGAGATTGTGGTCGAGTGTGACATAAGCTACTTTTAACTTCTAACACACAGGTCAAACCGTGGACAAATGCTTGTTAGAATTATGATGGCATTTAATATTAACAATAATTTAAATCAATGTTTTTAATATATGTACTTATATTTTCACTCGAATATTTCTCATCTCAAAATTAAACTACCTTTGCGAATTTTTTCGCGCATTTATTTTGATTTTTGGTTCCCGTTTTGGAATATTCATATTTAAAATGTCAAAGTTTTAATTCAGTTATTGTAACATGATGTCTCACTGTGCACTGGGTCTATATATTATAGTAATTTCGTGAGGTTTCTTTACCATTTATATATGTAATATATTTATACTTTGATATAACTTATTATACTTTTATAGAAAAAAGTTTTAACCCTTGCTTAGGTAGGTGATATAAATGTACAGTAATTTACTTACCGAACATAAATACCTATTCATTGAGAATTTCAATGAGCCTAAACACCATTATATCTATACTTCAGTATTTTTGTAAAGAGATGAGTATCTTGCAGATTCCAGGTAACACTAAAGCATTGGGATACCAAGTTTTGAATGGATTAGATCTTGCACATATATTGTTACTGTCTAGAAAAAGGTTGCTGGCCTGCAAAGAGCTGAAGGATTTTCTTGGCTTCACCATTAAGTCACCTTACAAAAAAAAATCTGTTTAACCGTTTGGGCGCTACGATGCTACAAACATACACACACTGTTTACTAAACATAAAATTTCACATTGCAAATATTTTTTTACAGCCTTCTAATTTACGTGAAGTTCCCGAAGCCCCAAGTCGACCGACGCTACCCGGGAGATACCCAAATCAAAATTACGATACGTCGTCAGATAAACCGGTGTGTATATACAATTTCGACATTTTATAGTACATAATCTATACTAATATTATAAAGCGGTAAAGTTTGTGAGTTTGTAACGTTGTAGAGGCTAATCTCTGGATCTACTGAACCGATTTAGATGATAGTTGATAAGACAAATAGTTTGAGACTCTGGGAAGGACATAGGATACTGTTTATCCCGGAAATCATCGCTTAAGGGGGTAAAAATGGGGATGAAAGTTTGTATTGGGAATTTATGTAGGGAGTAGGGACGAAGTGAGTCACTAGTAATATATGTAGATATAACGTGTAAATATAGTGAAGACTCACTACTACACTACACTGATAAAAGGTGAGGGTTCGAGTCCCGCGTGATGTAATATACATATATTATGTTATCTTACTAATTTTGGCCATATGGCCAATAGGTCATATGACCTATAAGTGTATAAATAAATAAATATATTGGGGAATGCCCCATGTGTTAATGAACACACAGCACCATCTAGTTCCACGGTAAGCTACGAGGCCTGTATTATGGATATCAGATAGTTGATACACTACACATATTTAACTTTAAATACATAAATATATATCGTAACTATTATAGTATAACAACTGTATATTATATTTTAGAACTAATATGAATGTAAACCTTGTGCTATTATAAATGGTTGCGTAAAAATATCAAATAAAACATTATTGTGTGCGCTAATAAAAATAAGGATATTTTTTTTCAAACTTATTTTATACTAGCGACTCACCCTCGCTTCGTATTAGCGTTTAATATAGATTTCTCAGAGATGAAATATTTTCCAGCAGTAAAAAGTATCCTATATGTCTACCCGGATAACCAGCTATCATCATACCAAATTTCATCAAAATCTGTCCAGTGGTTTTCTCGTTATGCGGTAACAGATAGACAGACAAAAACTTTAAAAACTGTAGATTCGGCCTCTATATCGAAAATAATGACTATTTCAATAAGATTTTCCAAAAAATATTTAATGTACAGATTCTACTGAGTTAGAATTCTATTATATGTATAGATAATATGTAAGTAATTGCTCATTAAACATTTGATGTTGTAATGTACATATTTTTAATATTGTAATATTAAAATGTTTGCAATAACATGTTTTTGTTAATATATGAAATAGCTAATAATACTAAATATTGTAACAGATAACAATAATGAAAGAAAACTTTCAAGGACCTAATCAATACAACTTAACATCAACTCATAACCAAAGTTCTAACTTACAAATGCAAAATGCGACTCCATGGGCAACTCAGGTAAATTTACTTATCAATTTAATGTGTTATTTCAAATGAAACTATTTTTTTAAGATTTATTGCTTATTCGATTCCATTTCTCTTTTGATTCCAATTTTTCGTTTAATTTTTGTGGGTAGACAGCGTCTATCCGTGACCATGTTTTGTCTGAAACATTTGAAACATGGGAAAAAATTAAAGAGGGATAAGAATCGAAAAAATAGGTTTATTATTAAATTGTCAAATATTCGTTCATGTAAATCTGAGAAAATATCAAATAATTGTTATTTTTGTATTACTAAATAAATAACAATGAAATAATCGCAAAGCTATGTATGGTAGACTTATACAAAACTTTTTATCATTTAGCATCAACAGCAAAAACCATTTGAGAAACCTGTAGTGTCATATGATAAAAAGCCGTACGATGACAGAAAATATCCATCTCAAATAAAACAAGTACAGGAAACATCGAAACCCGATGATTCTTATAGATATGATAAAAGCCGACGTGAATTTTCACCCCAAAGACGAGGTTTCAGAGATGTTGAACCCGAAAGGCGTATGTCTCCGAGTAGACATCTATCTCACTCAAGTCGACGGGTTTCTCCATCTGCCCGACAAACATACACTGATAGAAGAAGTTCACCAGAAAGAAGGATTTCACCATCCAATAGAAATATTTCTTCATCTGGTAGACACTTTTCTCCTGGTAGACAAATTTCGCCATCTGGTCGACATATTCCACCCTCGGGTCGACACGTCTCACCGCCTGGTCGACCATCTGGCCGACACATCTCACCGCATGGCCGACATTTAGTGCCACCCGGCCGGAATTTGTCACCGCCAGACCGACATGGTCACTCATCCTCTGGGCGATATTCATCGCCAGGCCGCCGTGTTCCTTCGTCTGGACGCCATATTTCACCACCTGGTCGTCATATTCCAAGTGGCAGACATGTTTCGCCTCCAAGTCGAAGTGCTGTACCAACTGGCCGACATATCTCACCACCCGGCCATCATATTCCTTCAACTGGCCGACATTCCCCACTACGTAGACATATTTCCCCTTCTGGCAGACAAATAGAAATAGAGAGAAAAATGTCTCCGCCGAGAAAATTGTCTCCGCAAAGAAGGGACTCTCCTCAACTAAGAAAAGAAGAGTATGTCAGAGGAAGGAGAATATCGCCCCCAACACATTCACCAAGTAAGTTATATTAAAATTTTACCTATTTTTAATACATATATGTAACTGGACAGATCTTTTGTAAATACGATAATATTGTAACTTTATAGAATGATACTAATTTAAGTTCATTACTTTTAATATACCAACTTAAAATAAAGATCACCACATTAGTCAGTCCGTTAGGAAGCTACTCCCGGCTCGGAAGACAGTTCTGCCAAGAAACTCTATCCTCTTTTAGATATTAAGTTACAGAAATTAATTTACACATTAAAATGTAACCTTACAATTATTTGATTACATAATTATTATTCGCATTTCCAGTGGATAGACGTCCAAACCCTCAGGCTTTGGAGCGAGATCCCACTAGAGGCATACCTCCTCAAGGCCGACACGAGTCGCCTAGAAGACAAACACGGTAAAATATTTCTATTTGCTGTTTATATAATATATAAATGGCTGTCTCTATAGTGTAGTAGCTAGCATATACTGCACAACATAGTATTTATCTATCTATACTATCTCGTGGCCGAAATCGATCAGGAAGACATTATTAATCAGTAGTGAATAGTATTTCGCTTTTGTATATATATCATTATTATAATTTTAAAACTTATTTCACATAGATTCTCACCATCGCGTCGTCATGGCGACAAACAAGCAGACTATCAAGACACCCGTCGAAGCACTAGTATAAAAGATGTCCGACCTGCGTATGAACCACCGACTCAAGTAAGTTTCGATAAGTAATATCAATTTTGTGTGCAAAATTAATAAACATAAACTTTGTTAAATTTTAGAATCTTAGCTCAAAGATTGTTTTTTTATGACTATATAAATCGATATACATAAGTTAAATTAGTCTATTATGTTATATAAAAGTTGCTACAATAAAGGAAATTATAAATATATTTAATTATATATACAAAACAAATGTACACTTAATTATTATATTACAACGCTTCATTCTTCAGATATAATAACAGAGTAGTACCCCTAACCTACAAGGCAGCGTTCGCTATTTTCAGAGATATTCATTTTGAAGGTATTTGTAAAATGAAACTGTGCGGTGACTTATTTTAACATTTGACAATTTCCTGTCTGCGATTATTCATATTTTAGTTCATTCCTTTTTCTTGCGAGGCAGCGTTAAGACGGCTTATAAATGTTCTATAATCGTCATAATGCCGAAACGTACGGTTGAAGAAAAGATTGAGAAATACCAGAGAAAAATTAGGAAGTTAAATAAACGTGTTAGAAGAATAGTGACGTCGTCAGAATCGTCGGACGAAAGTAAAAGTAAGAAATAATTTTAAAAATTAACAAAGTGATTGTCACTTTGAGCCTGGGGGTAGGTTTATCCTACACGAAGGCTATATCTTTTAGCACATTAAGTCATACCTGGGGGTTGGCATTGTCTAACACGAAGGTAGAAATGACTAATTTGATTATTAATCCTTGGTAAAAAGTTGAAGCAATATTGCTATTTTTTTTTTAACGTTATATATATATATATATATATATATATATATATATATATATATATATATTTTATATACCTTATGGTAATATCACATGATATTAAAAGTACGTATTAACACGTATTATGCCTGGGGATTGGCTAAGTCTAATACAAAGGCTCACGATATCTGTGCTAAAAATAAGAATTGACATATTTGTTTATTCTTAACACATGAACATCCTCCGGTAGTGGAGTCAGTGGTATCGGTTCCGGAAGATTTACCGGAAATAGAGAACAAGGAAGCGATGGAGCTACTTACCAACGACATACAAGTATCAAATTTTCCTGAATTAGAACCAGAATTGCTTAGAGCACTAGGAGAGGACAATATAGAAGAACCCGAATATGGCGAAAGTATTCATGATGATTTGGCTAAGCGTTGGTTGCCTATAATTAAAAAAGGTTTGTCTAAAGATATTAAAGAAAAATTGAACAAGGAATGCCTTGTCCCAGAAAATTTTAAGCTTCTCAGGCCATCAACTTTAAATACTGAGATAATTACAGCTTTAGCAGAGACGGTGAAATCCCGAGATAAGAAATTAAAAACCAATCAACAGCAGCTCGCTATGGGCATAACAGCTGTAAATAAAGCTTTACACTTGTTGCTGTCAAACGGTGACAAAGCAGAGGCAGTAAATCACCTCAGTAACTGCTGTCGAATTTTATAAGACCTTCATGCACTTGAAACAAAATGGCGTAGAATACTGGTTACGATGTCACTAGACAAATCGTTTCAACAATTTGTTCAAGACTCGGAAAGAGATGATACATTATTTGGAAATAATCTATCTGAGAAAATCAGAAATTAAAAATGTTCTGAAAAACTAGGTTCACAATTTAAGAAAACTCAACTACCTAAATCTTTTCCTACTCAAACACACACCCGACCAGTAACAACTGGTCAGGGAAACGGCTTCAGACCTCGTCCCTCGACGAGCGGGGGAGGGGGACGAGGTGGCCAGAAGAGAACAGCTCCACCTCCACAGCGGCAACCACCGTCGTCAACGGCGAGGTTTTCGTACCAGAGCACGAGCAGGAGTCGTGCCCCAACGAGGCGATAATCCAGGTACATGCAGGCCGAGTCAAAACTTTTTATAATTGTTGGTGTAATATTACAAAAAATCAATTAATCTTAAATTGGATTAGACATGGTTACAAAATACCTTTCGATAAAAAAAATAACACAATTATATGTTCCTAAGCTTCCAGTGCTAAATGATAAAGAATTTTCTTTTATGAATAATTCTATATCGAAATAAATTAATTTAGGAACAATTTCATAATGTTCATTTAAAACTGGTCAATTTATATCTAAAACTTTTTTAGTTCCAAAACCTAATGGAGATAAAAGATATATCCTTAACCTTAAACCTCTTAATAAATTTATTTAAAATAGTCATTTTAAAATGGAAGACCATAGAACGGCGTTAAAATTAATTTTAAAAAACAATTATTTGGCCACGATTGACCTTAAAGAATCATACCTGTTAATACCTATACATAGCTCACAAAAGAAATATTTACGTTTTCAATTTAGACATAATAATAAAAATATAGAAACATATGAGTTCAACTTCATGCCGTATGGACTGTGCTCAGCCCCTCTTGTTTTCACTAAAATAATGAAAACAGTTATTACTCGACTAAGGTCCCAAGGTTTTAAATCCGTGTTATATTTGGATGATATTTTGTGTGTAGGCGAGAGCTATTTAAATTGTCAAAATAATGTCAATGAAACAATAAAATTGTTATCTTGCCTAGGTTTTATCATTAATTATGATAAAAGTTCACTAAGACCTAAGCAAGTTTGTAAATTCTTAGGTTTCATATATAATACTATTAATATGTCATTATCATTACCTACAGACAAACGCGATAATATTTATAAGTTAGTAAATAGATTTTATAAAGTACCTACTTGTACTATACGTGATTTTGCTAAACTATTAGGAGTTTTAATAGCTGCTTGTCCAGCCGTAAAATACGGATGGATGTACACAAAACTTTTAGAAAGACAAAAATATCTTTTTCTTTACAAATATAAAAATTACGATTCAAGAGTTAAATTACCTAAAATAATTTAAAAAGATTTAAAATGGTGGATTGATAATTTTTATATTACATACAACAATATTCAGAGTAATCAAAATTATATTTTAGAAATTTTTACCGATGCGTCAAGATCCGGTCGGGGCGCATATTGTACTAATATGCGTGCAAATGGCGGATGGACAAATAAAGAAAAAGAAAAACATATTAATTACCTTGAATTATTAGCAGCATTTTTATCATTAAAATATTTTGCAAAATCACATAATAATTGTAGTATTCTTTTACGTATTGACAATACCACGGCTCTTAGCTATATCAATCGTATGGGGAGTATACAACATCCGCATTTGAATGATTTAGCAAGAAATATTTGGCAATGGTACGAGGCGCGTAATATAATATGGTTACATGCGTCTTACATGAATACTCGCGATAATAAAGAAGCTGATTTTGAATCTAGAAAAGCAAATCCCGATACAGAATGGGAATTATCAGATAAAGCCTTTCAGAAAATTATTAAAAATTTAGGGAAGCCGGAAATTGATTTATTCGCCTCTCGCACCAACGCCAAATGTAACATTTTCATGTCATGGAAACAGGATCCAGACGCCATAGCTGTAGATGCATTCACAGTAAACTGGAAAAAATATTTTTTTTTTTACGTTTTCCCACCGTTTTCAATGATAATGAAATGTTTACAAAAAAATTTTGATGATAAGGCAACTGGTATATTCGTTTTTCCTTACTAACCATCACAACCATGGTTCCCTCTATTACAAAGCATGATAGTGTCTGAAGTTCTATATTTTAAAAAGGATGATAAAATTTTGATGTCTTGTTATATCGGGATTCACCCATTACACCAGCAGCTTCCCTGGCTGCAGCGAAGCTCTCAGGCTAACGTTCCTTCGACAAGGTATTCCTCCAGAATCCTTCGATTTAATGTTATCCTCATTAGCTGACAATACAAAAAAGCCATATAATGTTTGTTATAAACTCTGGTGGGAATTTTGTTATTGTATTAATATATGTCCTTTAGACGATTCTGTTAGTAAAGTTTTATGCTTTTTAACGTGTCAATTTAATAAAGGTGCCTCGTATGGTACAATTAATAGTCACCGATCCGCGCTGTCATTATTATTAGGTAGCAGTATCGGAACAATTGAATACATAAAACGATTTTTAAAAGGAGTATTTAGATAATAACCTATTAAACCTAAATATTCTGATACATGGGACCCGCAAATAGTATTGCAATGGTTATCAAAGTTAGGCGCGAACACAGAATTATCAATGGAATTACTTAACAAAAACTTGTTACTCTACTTACTCTTTGCACGGCACAAAGAGTACAAACATTGTCATTAATAAAATTGAATAACATTAATTTTTATGCAGATGGAATTAAAATAATTATCACCGATCATATTAAAACTTCTGCAATAAATAGACAACAACCACTTCTTTGGTTACCGTATTTTAAAAGCAATCTATCTATTTGCCCAGCTAGTGCTATTAAAGATTATATTTCCCGAACAAAAAGCTTAAGAAAAACTATTAATGCTGATAATTTAATTTTAACTAGTAAAAAACCATATAAACCTGCTTCATCCCAGAGCATTAGTCGTTGGATAAAACAGGCGCTTTCTGAAAGTGGCATTGATATTTCTGTGTTCGGGGCCCATAGTATGCGACATGCGTCCACCTCATCAGCTAAAGCTGCAGGTGTGGGTATAGAGGTGATTAGAAAAACAGCTGGCTGGACCTCTAATTCTATTGTTTTCGCAAAGTTTTATCAATTACCTATCATTAATAATAACTCAAATTTTGCACAATCTGTATGCTTAAAAGATTAGAAATTATGATTTTTTTTTTTGTTTCTTTATATATTATGAATATGTACAACATAGAAATAGCAATAAACGATTGTAACCCTAAGAGGACGAAGTATTACAATGTATATTTGGAACTTAATTTAAAAAAAAAAAATGTTTCATTCTTGCAAAACTTTTTTATCTCTAAATAACTACTCTGTTATTATATCTGAAGAATGAAGCGTTGTAATATAATATATGATCAAACGAACTTACCTTAAGTGAAGTTCGATCATTATTATATGAAACGCTTCATTCGAAGATATAATCACCCTCCCTCCCACATACCTACTTTATCTATTAAATAAAAGTTTTGCATAATCTCTGAAATAAATGAACTAAAATATGAATAATCGCAGACAGGAAATTGTCAAATGTTAAAATAAGTCACCGCACAGTTTCATTTTACAAATACCTTCAAAATGAATATCTCTGAAAATAGCGAACGCTGCCTTGTAGGTTAGGGGTACTACTCTGTTATTATATCTTCGAATGAAGCGTTTCATATAATAATGATCGAACTTCACTTAAGGTAAGTTCGTTTGATCATATATTATTGGACAAGTCACGTCAGCGTGGAATAGTGACAAGAATGCTAGCCGCATTCCCACGTTGAATGGCAATGCCGATTCTTTTGAAGAAAAATGAGCCAGCTCTCCTTTTAAGTTAAATTGGTTTTGTTAAGTGATACTAATACAATGGAATCTATTGAAGTATCGTCTGGACAAATTACTACCTTGCAAAGTAAAAATTAATTAGAGGTCACTACACTACATAGCTTGCACTTTTAGTGCATTGTTAAATTATTTGCAGTGTGTTTTGAAAATTAGACATTTAGATTGAATTGGAAATATTTAAAATACACTGAAAGGTGTACTACAACTAATTATTGTAATGTATTGGTCTACGGCTATTGATTCAAGGCCAGTCATGCAAGGCGTTATGTTGCTTTATAATTCGGAGTGGAATTTAGTAGTGAAAATGTATCATGTTAAGGAGAACAAGAAATTCACACAAAGAACGTGAATTAAAATCAAGATGATATGTTTGATTTAAAACTTTAGTTAGATGAAGTGGAAACTTACTTTGAAGAAATACATTAATAAATAAATGTGTTAGGACATTAACACACAGCACCATCTAGTTGCATGGTAATATACGAGGCTTGTGTTATGGATACCAGATAGTTGATAAACTACACATATATAAATAACTTTAAGTACATACATTAATATTAGATAAAAGTGTTCAAAATTGACTGATCCTAGTAATAATGAATTTACAGTAAACAACCGTATTTATATAACAATATATAATAGCCGTGGAAAAGTTCTACAGTTCATCTTTTGCTTCCATCATCAAATCAACTACGTATTGTAATATAAGCTGAACTTTAATTAACCTTTCAAAGCACGCGAAGCCACAGGTGGCTCGGTTAACAACATTATGTCTTAATTCTTATTATACAATATCGAGAGAAACTAGTTAAAGAAGAATTGATTGTGTAAAATAGGAATAAAACAAATGTAAGAAAGATTTTAATTAAAAGATTTATAGATAATGATGCCTATAGCTTTATACTTTAAAAGTATTCAAAGTATGATGTATATAAATAAAAAGATATATTTAAATAAAACATTAAAGTTAATCGTGGATATATATATATATATGAAAGTTAGTCATTGAATCTGGAGAGAATATGAGGAAAGAAAAAAGCTAAATAAAAGAATTTTTAACAAAATGGTAAAAAGAACTAATTATGACTATCAAAATAATCATTTCAAATATAAAAAAATAAGTAGAGAAAAGGGAGGTAAAAATTACCGAAATCAATAATGGAACAATAACTGCATGGGTCAAATACAGCGTGTTGCTTTTACAATTGTTAAAATCATAACTCTTCGCCCATATTCAACAATTGTTTAACGATGCAGTCTATCCGCAATAGGATTGTATTTGTACTACAACCGTGTCCATGAATTTTGTCTACTTGGGAGAGAAAAATGGTGATTTTTTGCTTTGTTGTACATTTGCCACTTGTACCTATTGAGAGATTACCTGGTGATTAGTAACCAACACCGTGCTTTGGACAAATAACTGCAAGATGGATAAAGGATTTATATCAGAAACAAGATACAATTCTATGTGTATTCAGCTCTTTTTGACATCTCACTGCTGGGCACGAGCCTCCCTTCAATACGAGGGAAATCAGGCCACCACGCTGAACAAGTGTGGGCAGATTGCACATCGCCTTTCGAAAACTTGCTAGGTTCTCTCAGACATGCACTCGATTTTTTCCTTCGCCGTACGACAAGTGGTAATCGTGTTAAAAATAATTCGTCCTGCTGACCAATTTCGGCCACAGTGGCTAATATCATTGAAACTACCTAATCGCGCAGGAGATATTATAGTGCAGCACTCTTTGTTCTTTTTACAACTGAAATTCCGGTGGGATAATAATTTTTCACTATCGATGTGAAATCTGGTACAGGAGCGACGTAACGTGCCTCGACAGGGGGTGTAACACTGCCAACTTTCCAAGTTCGGGCTGTTTGCTGTATCTTTAACAGAAAAAAAACCATATAATTACTCTCCACTGGACTTGAACCTAGGAATCCCGGATCTGCAGCGGCATATGCTCGAATAACCACACACACCACTCGACCCACGAGGCAGTTAGAAATTAAAAGGTTCAATGGAGATGTAATCACTCGATTTGTTACTGGATACGGAGATAAATCCTTAGTTACTACAGGAGGGAAAAATAGGTTCAATTCAAAATGTTTGAACACTGTTATCATACATAAGATGTCTAACTTCACTTCGCTCATTAATGAATATCGTCGAGGGATAGCTGACTATGATCAAGACCATTTTGGGCGCCAAAAAGGTAATCAATCTGTAGAAAACAGTAACGTTAACGAAATAACTATAAAAATGTAAAAAAATCTTCATTTTATTTAAAGAATATATTAATTATGAATGATAACTAATAATTGTCTATGTGAGATATTTGACAATAATAAAACAAAGACAGTTTTGATAAAACAGTTCTCCAAATTTTAACACGATTTACTTAACAGTTTTCTTCTTTTTTTTAATCACAAAAGTAATAAACTTTGCACTTTGAATGGAAACATAAATTGTCTAAGAAGTCTGTACAAAACTTTGAAAGATAAATAAATAAAAATAATCTAATAATTCCACTGACTATAATTTTTGGAAAAACTTTGTGAACTTGTGTGACTTGCTGAATATCTGTAATCTTGTCTTCGCCAAAATACTGCGAATAAATAGCATTGAAAAGAACATGCTGAAAAGTCGAAATATTACAATTACTAAGCTTTAACTAAAAAAGCTGGATGCGTAAAATGCTAAAAAGCGCATACAATTGAAAATTTTGTACTGCAAAAATTAATGCTGAAACTTAATCTGACGACGACACAAAATATGCAGTTAATATCAATTTGTATTGTAGTTTATTTGGCAAAACGAGATTTTTAATTGAATGAGGCCAGTCTAAACTGTCATCAATAATCTTGTATTCAATTCTTTTTGACATCCTACTGCTGGGCAAAGGTCTTGCTTTAATACGAGGGGGATCAGGCCATAGTCCACCACGCTGGCCAAGTGCGGGGTGGCGAACTTCACATGTCTTTCGAAAACTTGTTAGGTTCTCTAATATGTAGGTTTGAACCTCTTCACTCGGTTTCCTAAGCGAGCGCGTTACTATTGGACTATTACTGCCCTCTTCAATAATCAATTTCCTGCTTATATGTTGTACATGTAAGATGTACTGTTGACCGCAAATGTTTCACAGCCCAAGAAGCTACTACGTATATGTACGAATTTGAATAAGTAAATAGCTTTGTGATAATAATAAACGACATACAACCACATGATTTAGGTGAATACCTTATTTAGGATCGTATTTGATATTGCTCCTCAAAAGCCTTTGGTATTATATGAAAAACTTTGAACAATAGGGAAAATATGAAAGATATGATTTAAGCATATGTTATGGATTATAAATGAAATTCATGAAGAAGATCATGTGAATGATGGAGATCTAGTTTACTGTAGATTATTATTATAACAACGTGAATTAATGCAATGCCGCTTAAAGTGACATGTATAGTTTATTTTAATACTTAAAGATTTTGTAGGATTTATTTAATACTGTAAAGATATATTTTGTAACATTTCAATTTACATATTTATAGTAATCGAACCCGTATTTTTCGTGTTGCATATCAAATTTCAATTTACAGGCGTCAAATGAAGCTATATACTCAGGTGGTTATCGTCCCAACGTACGTGAAGAAGCAGCTAAATACCAATCGCGGTCGGATCATTGGAAGGAAAGAGAGAAATTCTCATCTAAAGTTGATGATAGAAGAGAAGGTACTAGAATGCAGAAATTTGATATCCCAAGGGCATCAGAACAACAAAGATCATCCGAACAGGAATCAAATCGGTCCAGGTCACCAAAGCGAGAACGCTCTCCAGTACGTGACCGTTACAAACGCCACTCTCCCTCGCCTCGGTCGCCGCGACGCTCTTGGGCTCTAGAAAAACGTAGAAGTCCTGAGATTCGTGAACCACCACCACCTCCAGTTTGGCCACAAGAAAGAGAAGAATATACGCAACAAGTCAGGTCCAAGTTTCCTGACAGAGCATTAGAGAAAACCGTTCCAGTTTGGGAAACTAGAGATACAAAACGTGATGATTTCCAAAGCAGTGATGATCGACGCGATTTCCCAGAACAAAGGCGTAAGGAGGTTGGGAAATGGAAACCAATACCTGGATCAAGCCCTCCGCCGAACAAATCATCCTCAAGATTCGAAGAACCCAAAATTACAAGAAAAGAGTTTGAAAATCGACGTGACTTTGCCCGTGATGTCGATAATCGAAAAGAACATGATGATCGGCATGAAAAGGAATATCCACATGAGCGTAGCGACATACGCTTTAAGGCAGCATTTGATGCAAAAGATGAAGTTCCACGCAAAAGGGATGAATATTCGGGTCGTATTGAAGAAAAAAAGAAAGAGATCCTACATAAACAAGAACAATTGCAAAAGGAAATCGATGAAGTTTATAAAAGAGCTGTGGACTTCGCCAAAAAAGCTGAAATGTATAGAAAGGCAGAAATCAAAGAAGAACCCAATTATGATGATGGTCGTCATCGCAATGACCGTCAAACCCCTAAAGAAATGCAACGCTTTAAAAGAGAATCTTATGAAGATGAAAGGGAACGTGAAGATTACCGTCGAGACAAAAAACCTCAATTCACTCGAGATGAAGATACAAAAAAACCCGACTCTGAGGACTTTAAAAGACCACGTCACGGACCTGAAGATACCCAAAAGGCTCATATTTTTAGTGAAATGAAAGCTAAAAGAAATAAAGCAATCGAAGAAATTTCGGAAAAAATTATAACCAAACACGGTAATTTCTTATCGGCAGACGTAAAGAAAAGGGTTATGGATGAATTAAAATGGACCTTGCGTCGTAAGATACATGATATGTTTGAAGATAAGGATGTGTCCTTTATAGAGATGGTTGTAAAGTTCAACGCGAGAAATTCAGCGAAAGACGAAGAAAAAATGTTCAACGAAGTTATGTCAAGTTTACCTGTACATTTTAGGAATTTAAAACGGTCCACACAAGGTAAGATTTACAATAATAATTTTCAGTTTAATATACGAGTTTTTATTACCATGTCATGACTCATGTCTATTTACTTTATAAAATATGTTATATATAATTGTAATACTTAATAACCCTGAAAAAAATTACATATTATAAGTATAAATAAATCATCAAAAATGTCTTAATATACATATGTTTAATAAAATCCCCATATATAAATATATTAAAGGAACATTTACATATATAAATAAATATTTTTCAGATGATTCTGACGTACCTGCTAAGAGCTCTAGACGTTCTCCTGAACCAAGCACGAATAAAGGTATAGTACTAAATATTAAAATTATTTTATTCTACATAGGTTTAATTTAAAGTTATTGCTTAGGAGTTATTTTTTATCTTTAGTGTAGGAACAAATCAAATGAATTATCGGTAGGGACTTAGGATTTATAAAATCTATACAATGTTAGTATCATGATTTCTTTCTTTCACAGATGTACAGTCTAGAGCGACTGAACAAAATAGTACGAGTAAGTATGCTTTCACATTTCTATGTAAAAACATAGTTTTATTAAAATTTTATCTGTTTTGATGCTTTTTTCATTTATATAGTATTTGGGTCTTCATAGTCTTTTGTCAGTTCCAGATTGGAATTTTGGTATGATACAACAAACAATACCTATGACAGCAGAAATAAATCATATGTCGATGATAAATCCACCTATATTGGTACATCCTGTTATGCCTCAGTACCCTCAATATGTCCCGGTGTACCAGGAGACTTCACAACCGCAAGAAGAAAAGAAAAAAGATGGTTTCGTTTTGTACTTATGTAAAGACGATTTTCAGCCAATACGTGAACATGAAACGGATCTTCTAAAGAACTTTTTAATCCAACAGCTGATTAAAGTAACTGAAACATCGCAAGGATGGGCGCCAGATTTCACTTTGAATAATAAAATAAATTCTTACCGTCACGAAGTTCTGACGCGAGATGAACGTTCTCAAGATTGGCTTTTGGGTTTAGATTTCAGTGAATTTAAGGATTTTAATGTCCTCGTGTATACTACTGAGGAGTTGTGGTATGAGAGGGCTGCTATTTGGTTGCCAGGTCATTCCAGGTCCAAGCACATAGAACCATTAACAAAACTTAAGTTACAGAATAAGAAGTTAGAAGGCGTCAATATAGGTAAGTGGAAAATCGTGAAGAAGATTGTAACAGCGAAAGGTACTCGACTGTATGTAGACATGCCGCCGTCTTCTGCGCGGGCATTGGAAAAATATAAAATGCTGTTAAGTTACGAATTGCAAAAAGTGAGTGTGTTTTTAAAAGCAGTTGCGATAGATAAAGACGCCTTTGATGCTGGTTTGAACGAGACTTCTATCCCGGCCATTCCTACTTCGGCAAGTACCCCGATGCCTTCAGTCGGCCCACATCCAGATCTGATCAAAATGGCACTAAAAGGAAACAAACCGTTTTCTTTGCCCTTGGCACGGAAATTAAAAGATATAATATTGTACAAATTATTCAAATATCACGAACTAAACGGCTCCAGTAGAACAGATTTTGTTAAATATGGGTGTTGTCAGGGCGGGTTTTTTGGCATAGTTCCTGAAAATGAAGAGTCTAAAAGGTGGCTTTGTCAGCTTGACATGGGTAAAATTCAACGTCAGCCAGTTATTATCGTCGGTGCGGACGGAATCAAAACTAAATATTTTAAAATGACGATGAATTTACCCAGAGATGTCAACTTGAATGAGGCATTGGCCTGCGAACGCATTCGACACAGCAATCAAGGAGTTAAAGGGTTGAATTTTAGTCTTTGGAAAAATCCGAAAATTATTGCTTATACACAATATGGCAAAAATTACACACGTTTAGAAGTAGATATGGATTTAGAGACAGTGGAAACATTATCGAACCTAAACTTTCAGTTAGATTATATCGCAAAAGGCACAAATTGTGGTAATCTCACAGTTAAATCAGGATACTCAATGGAAAAGATACGAGAAATTATTGCTAAGTATAAAGCAGAGATGAAAGACACCTACGATGTAGCGAATATGGATATTTCTACCGATTCAGACAATGAAGATGATGTTGTATGTCTTGATTAATTTTTATATATACATAAGTATAGATTAATTTTTTCTGTTAATTTTTTGGCACTGAAAAGTGATTGGTTTGGTTAATAAAGGTAGTAATAAGATATTTTAGTTTTCGTTTTCTTTTCACGTTTTGTATCTATTATGGTGGAAGAATTTCTTCAGTATTTGAATGTTTAATAAGTGTGTCAATGCCTAACACTTTGCAAAAGTATACAAGGAATGAGGACTGCCGATAGAAGTGAAAACTTAGAACTATAAACAAACAGGTGTTATTTTTCAACCGACTTCAAAAAGGAGGAGGTTCTCAATTCCTCTGTAATTTTTTTTTTATGGTTGTTACCTCAGAACTCCGTCATTTATTAACCGATTTGGACAATTTTTGTGTTGTTTGAAAGTGTATACTTCCAGATTGGTCCCATTTAAATTTCAAAAAAAAATACCACCCCTAAGGGTGGAAAAATAGCTAATGATGAATTTAACCTACTTCTAATTGTCATATTGACTTGAAACTTTGCAAGTGTTTCTATTTCCGTTGATAGTACAGTGGTTCGGTATTGTTGGCCTGATCTGATGATAAGGCCAGAAGGTGGATAGGTGGAACTCTTCAACGGCTAATAGTAGATACTTTGAGTTTGGGCTTATTTTGTTTGATTTGACAAGCCTAAAACGTTAGAATTCTTACTTTGCTACTACTGTCTACACTAAAAAGGGAAAAATAAAAACGCACCGACTTCGAAAATATTTGATTAGGTATGTATAGTAAATGAAAACTACCAATCAGTTATTTTTTACTTTTTAGTGCTTTTGTTTGAAGTCGGTTTTTATTTTTTTGTTAAAAAGTTTGATATTCAAATTAATTGCTTGATCTTAAATTAAAATTTGTAAATTAAAACTGTTTTATCTGGTTTTGACATCTACCGGCACTCATGAGTGTTAGTGTGAACACGTCACGTGACCATGTCGATGACGACTTACATGAATTTACTCCCCAACCAAACCTGCCTATGGAAGTTTTCACTTCAAAAATACATAAATTAATTTTAAAAGGTAAGTTCTTCATAATATTATATTAATTTCTTTACGTTTATACCATTGAAATATTATTGATTTGTTCATTGTTTCAGTTTTCAACGTTCATTTACTCGAAGTCCGAAAGAGTTTCAGAATGGCATTGGGAATACGGAACAATGAGATATGTTTAACTAAATGAAGATTTGGATAGAAAAAAAGAGGTAAACAACATGTTGATATATTCTCTGTTCATTTCAGATGCGAGTGTCGCCTCCCGCGCTGCCATCAAAAACTATCTAATGTAACTGTTTTTATAAAAGTACAATATGTCACTTACCTTCGATCTACTCAGAAATATCTGGTCTGGTCTATCGCGTGTCAGTTTCCTAATTCTGTGAATGTACAGATTTGCCACATATTTAATCAAGTGTAATAAAAATATGAATCAAAAGATGGGTCTAACACTTCTACTACGGAGGAAAATATATCTTAATACTTTACCATTTGTAACTGACATCATATAAAATATGGAATATGCGTGTGATATACATATTTTTTATAATCTTTATTGCTTTTGAATTAAAGCCTATATCAAAATATTTTATTGTAATTTCTTTTTGTTTGTTAAATAAGAAAATAATTATTAAAAAGATCAAATATAGGTGGGTAATTCAAAGTAGTTAAAACGCACGCCATTGGTCACACCGAATATGACGTCAGAGTATATAATAGTAGAGCACTTAGCGATTTTGTCGCTACAAAGTAAAGTCGTCATTTATCTATGTATTTTTCTTTGTCGTCACGCCAAGTGCGCGAAATAGCGGGCGTTTAAAGCATCCGTATCGTTATGATATTTAAAAAATTTTTTTTACTATTTTAGTTTTTTGTATCTGGATATTTTTTACAATTATATAACGATTAGGTATTGTATAATTTAAAAAAAAAACACGCATGTTCCCTATTTTATACTTAATTACAGATTCTATTAATATCTTTCTGGTCGTACATTCTGCCATTTTTGTTTATAGGTAAACCGCGGCTTATGGTAAGTTTCAAAGCCCACAGGATAGATTTATTCTAAATAAAAATGGTCGTGGCTTTGAAACATATCATGTTTGTTTTTGTGGTAAAATTATACCGTATATAATATTCTTCAGGTTTTACTCCTCCAGGTATATTTCTAAGAAATTAATTAAATTTCTAAAAAAATATTTGTTAACTATAACACCGATGTGCCCACGGTCGGAGTAAATTAAATTTTCAGAAAAAAAAAGGCTGATAATGTACCAGGCTGCAAATTCTCAAATTCTATTCAGGTTAAATTTAATGTTGTTTGTCCAATTGTAACCTATCTCATACAAGATGAATGACAAATCTGTATGATCGATAAAAATGAAGGGGTACATCCCCATAATAGGTATAGGGCACCACACTTTTTTTAGTTATATTATTATTTTAGGTAAAAACAGATGAAGATTAAGCGCTTATTTAGAATGATTAGGTTGGCTTATTAAAGATATTTAATGCTCAAAAAAATTTTATATTTGGTTTGGAATTTAAACGACTCATCGTCGTTATTCGGAATATATTCGGTATATCGGAAATTCACATTTGGATGCTTATCTTCAATGCGTTTGCGCATCGTTCAAGTGTATGCACTAATTCTAAAGTCTGAGAATATGCCGTCAATATAAAATATATGGCATGTGAGCTGCATTGGTTAGAATTTATTAATCTTCAGTAAACAAAAGCAGTGAACACCCCAGTTAGGATATATTTTATTACTTAAAACTTGTCGATGGTTAAAGGAATTTTTCTTCGTTGTGTTTACATTAAGACTAGTTTGGTAAAAGGCTGTCTAATAACTTGTGCTTATTTATGAAACATTGTAAGCTGAAATTTCATATAATATAGTGTTTATACTTGTGGTTCTTACGGCTTCGGAGTTCGGAGAACAGAAGAAGCGACAAGTGAACTTTTGTTGGTATTTCCTCGAAATTCTACAATCAAAGCTGATATCTTGAAGGATTTTATACTTCTAACACTGACCTATTTGTATGTTTGATATTATATATTTAGGCAATGCAATGTAAATGGACTAACTTGACTCTAGAGTGTTATATGTAAAAAGAATTTTATTTCTCTAGATGTAAATAGCTTAAATTTGTAGTTTGTTTTCTTCTCCCCAGTACCTTTGTCGTTTTACTGTCGTTTGTACGTTTTAAAGTATTCATTTAGATATTTTTGAAAAATGATTGATTTTAATTTCACAACAATCGAGAGCTTAGTTTTCCAAAAGCTTTTATCGATGTCTTCTAGCATTTCAGTGTCTCTTCAACATAAGGTTTGTATTCCAACTCAATGAAATTCTTGTAGTTTTTTAGCCTTACAAAGTGTGACGATGTTGACTTCTTAAAAATGTTTGCCATTATTTGGTGTCCACAGAGTAGTGTATTATTTCAATAATTACCGTGTATAAAAAATAAAAGATATTAATCGATAACAATTTTTTTATTTGTTTGTTACAGGACGGCCGCCCAGTCACCGTGAAACTGTGAAGAAATCTTCATCTAGTACGTCTGAGAAACGTAGGTCTACAGAAGATTCAAAACGTTCAGAAAGCAAACCAAAGAAAAATTTGGACAATGACTCAAAACGTAAGTCTTCTATATTGTATATTTAAAAACAATGTCGGGTTTGTTACAACACTTATAACTCGAGAACTGCTGGACCGATTTTTATGATCTTTTTCGGTTGGATTTGTTGACAAAATTTTGATAAACTGTGGTTTTGTTGTTTATATTCTGTACATAATACGTTACAACATTGTTTTTAAAAATTATTTTATATACAAATTTCGCTAAATTACTATCTTATTGTAATTTATATAATCTATACATATTGTGTACAGTTATCCAAACAGAAAAGCAAGAAAATAAACTACTAGAAGAAGACCAGGAAGAAGGACAGTTCCAGCTGAACGATCTTATGACGAGGATATTGGAAGAGGAACTACAAACTATCATGATCGAGGTATTGTTCGCTTATGAGCATTTTTTTTATTGTTTCGTCAAATCGGAGATCTTAATATTGATAAATCTGTCCATAAAAATAATAATTCGATGAATTTTCTATATTATATGGAATGTTCATTTAATATTTTTCTTTTTTAACACGCATTTACTATTAACCGTTTTCGAACCTTGAAAGCATCAATCAAAAAAGTATTAGATACACAATCCCATTCAAAATTTATCTTAAAACTGTCACCAATTTCGTTTAGCTATTCTAGTTTAAAAAAATATACAACAATGTAAATTGAATCTTAAATGCAAGGTTTAAAGTTGTCTTCACAAAAAAATATTGAAAAGCGTACTCAAATATTCAAATGAGCGCTTATTCGGTGACGACATTTTTTGTTGCTGATAGTGATCTAGTACTTTTTTGATCGATGTTTGGAAGTCTATTTTAAACCTACTTGTGACGGTCGCATAACATAATTTTTACACTAGCGACTCACCTGCGCTTCGCTCGGGTTCGTCCCTAGCTTGATTCCCCATGCAAACTTTTATCCCCATTTTCACCTCCTTAATAGATGATTTGCGGGATAAAAAGTATCCTATGTCCTTCCCAGGGTTCAAACTATTTTCTTACCCAAGGACGAACCCAAGCGAAGCGAGGGTGAGCCGCCAGCACTTCTATAAATTTTAAATTTATGTGTATATGTTAGTGTGAAGCTTGGAGTACGGTATCTAAATGTAACTAATATTTAACGTACCATATCTGAATTACTGATTGAGGTGAATGGTTAACGACCGATACGTATGTTTGTCTATATCAAAAATTATTGTTAACCGTAGTTTATTCGCTCGCAGTAGTATATTTCTAGATATTAGCACAGTCCACTATCCGTACAGTCGTACAGGCGTCCAGACAGGACAATCGTGAGGTGAGGCGTTCCCGACTGTCATAGTTAGTTTTATACGACAGTTAGGAATCTGCTTTAGGGTTGACATGATAATTGGTATTTTGTCAACCCTTGCATTTAACATTTCTATTAAAATGAATGAGATCGCCTACTGTCTACTGTAAAAATACATATATTTATGTGGTTTTATAGTGAATCTTGTAATTTTAGCATTATGTATTGATAGGTATATATTACCTCTGATACTAACGTCATTAGGTCAGGTCAGAATTCAGTCAGAGTTCATCAGAGTTCTGTAGGTTTTGTAGGTTTTCGTTGTCTTAAATGTCTTTGGTCGTTTGAAGTTCAAAATTAAATGGGTTGAATTGTTCAAAATTTAATACAAATTGGTATAATATCATAGGTGTGGCAAGCCTTGCCCGACGCGCCGCCCACGGAAGCAGAGAAGTTCGTCGCGGACAAACTGAGAAATGTCACCAGTGATAACATTAGAAATGTATGTTATTTTATTTTGCCACCTCTTTTAGCACTGAAGTAATTATATATAAATAATTCGCAGGTAAAGGAAAGTCAATTAATTTTGCCTTCTGCAGCCCTTCTCTATATAAACTTTACTATGCCAAAGCACATTCTTCTCAATACATGCAATATGCTTAAAAAGGGATTCAAAGTTTTCTCTTTACGTATTAATTAATGCACGGGTTAATTTTTCTCTTTTTATTACTAGATAAATAAATATAAGTAGGTAAGGTTATATCCTCGAAATATACAATTAAAAAGTTTTAAACGCATATAGTTTCATTAGAATTCAGTCTACTTTAGCTATTCATCCGTAAAATTTGAAAAATTTATACCAAGCAAAAATCTGTGGTCGAATTTGAGAGTATATTGTGTATGTTTTTCTTTAAATGTTATTAATATAAAGTCACTTTTTAATGCAATAAACTATTTTTTTTTTGCATCAGGTAATTGGACTCAATGTGACGAAAAGACTACTTAATGTATACAATCCACTGATTGTGAAGGTAAGCTGTAGTAAAATATAAGTCTATATAATATTTTATCAAGTTTTATATTCTTTAAATGTCTTATTAGTGTGCCTTATATGTAGATAAGAACTTCAGATATGTCTTTATAGTTTAATCATTCCAGACAAAACATTCATTATTTTGAAAAATAGTTCAGAACTAGCGGCTCACCTCTAGACAAACAAAAACAAATTATCCCACGGGAACAGTACATTTTTCCGGGATAAAAAGTAGCCTATTTGCTATTCTGATGTATGAACTATATTATTGTGAAGTTTGATTAAAATCCAATCAGTAGTTTTTGTGTACTAAGCTGTATAAGTTACTATAGTTTTTTAACTGTTCGACGGGAACTCCTTCATATTTCAGGATGCAAAGTATCTAAAATATTGACCGGGGATGTAAGGTACCACCATGCAAAATTTCATTTAAATCGGTCGAACAGTTTTGGAGATTAGCCCGTACAAACAGACAAACAGACAGAGAAACAAAAAAAATGAAAAAAATCTCTATATATATAGATAAATAAAGCACTATAATAATAAACTCTTTTCCAGCTACGATTCAACCGCCGCCCGGAGAGTGGGTGTCTCACAAAGTTCCTGAACTCGTACAACATCAAGAGTTTCAAGCGTATCACGAGGGAAGCGAACACTTTTTCCGCACGACTAGCGTCTATATCAGATTTTGACAAGATTTGCATCGATAAGGAAATTCGATGTGGTAATATCTCTCTCGCTCTATCTCCCCTCTCTCCAATTTCATTTGCACGGTATAAATCGATACTAATACTAGCAACTCACCCTCGCTTCGCTCGGGTTGTCCCTAGGTTGATTCCCCAGACAAACTTTCATTTCCATTTTCACCCCCTTAAGGGCTAATTTCCCGGATAAAAAGTATCCTTTGTTGTTTTCAGGGACTCAAACTATCTTACCAAATTTCATCTAAATCGGTTCAGTAGATCCAGAGATTACCCCCTACAAACTCACAAACTTTATCTTTATAATATTAGTATAGATTATAAAGAGGAAAGATTTGATGTTTTGTTTGTTTGTACCAGGCGTTGTAGTAGGCGAAACTACTGAACCGATTTAGATGAAATTTGGTAATAAGATAGTGTGAGATCCTGGAAAAACATAGGATAGTTTTTATTCTTGAAATCATCCCTTAAGGGGGTGAAAATGGAGATTGAAAGTGTGTCCAATGTCCATACAAATGTATATGTATGAATATGTTATATATGGTTGATATAAAATAACAAAAATGTTCCATATAATACAGTAGTATTTCTATTAGTTCCAACATCTTTGTGAAAGTACACTTTTATCTTATTTAATGTACATTTTACAGGTGGTGCAAAAATAACTGTAACTCCTTGTTATAAATTTGATAAATGTCCATCGAAAATTAATAGTATATATAATATCATTGACGATGAAGATAGTAAAGAAGAGGACAACGAATATAATGATGGTGAGAATAAAGAGATAGAATCAAAAACAACAAATCTTAAAGACTCTAATACGAAAAGTGAAAAGAACAAAGATAATGAAGCTAAAATTAAAGATGTCTCAAGTGAAAATAAAGAAAAATCTATTGTATCAGACAAAAATGTTAATAAAATCGAAGAAAACAAAATATCTAATACAAAAAAACAAAACTGTTCTAATACTCAGATTAAACCAAATAAGGATGTACAAAAAACTACTAATAAAACTGGAAATGCAAAAACTATTGATCACAAAACTACAGATATAGTCAAATCTGCTCCTAGTAATAAACCTAAAGTTGAAGACGCAAAAAAAATTTTGCCTGAGAAAAAAGCTACTACTGAAGAATCCAAAAAACTTGTGACAGCAAAGAAAGCTATAGAAACTAAAAAACCTAATAAAAACCGTTCAAACACGGAAAAACCAAAAGTATCCCAAGCAAAGAAAATATCAATTCTGCAAGAGGAACAAGACATGGGAGATGAAGAAAAAGAAGTAATGGAAGATGAAATCAAAAAATTCGACGAAGGTGATGAAATGAATGATGAAGAAATATTGGCTTTGGTATCAGAAGGTGTTGTCGTTGATGAATGTACTGGATCCGATGAAGAATAATCAATTTTATTTAAAAGCTTTTTTTGAATTATTGTTTATAAATAAGGTAATATGCGTGCTGTGAATGTGTTAAGCAGGTGTCTCATCTCGTTTTACATGCGTAAAATGCCTATAAGTTTTTAGCATATAATACCTTAGGGTTACTATGAGATTTATTTTTTAAGATTCTGAAAAATAGGTAATACAAATAAAGTTATGTGTAATTGGGTAAATCTTTTTTTTTAAATTAATCATCACACTAAACATAAAAAAAACTTCATTATCATAATATTTTTTTATTTATACCAACAGTCACAAAAAAGAGTATTTTAAATGAGTATGATCAGATAAATATAAAAAGTAAATTTTACTTGGACGTTTCATCGCTTTCGGCTACTTCATCTTCCACCTGAAAATATGAAAAAATATAAGAATTTAATTTACTATTAACAAAAATTACAACTATACCTATATAGTATACATAATTTTTAAAATTAGAACAAAATTACCTAGCAAATAAAACTAATTCACTAAGTTTTGTTTAAACTACTACTTTAAAGTATAGTAGTAAGATACTAATCTACTAATAAATTATGGAATGTACTTTATAATTTCAAGAATATTTTAATTTTGTGCAGCTCTAAGTAAAGAAGAAGCTCGTCTTTTTTTAGGTGCTGCGGCTTCTATTCTTTTTCTCTTCGCATCTATTTCGTTAGCTATATTGTACACATCTAAAGGAGCAACCTGAGAAGAATTATTAAAAATGTATTGCGTATTTTTATTTATTAATAGGCTTCGACTCAACAATACTACTAGACAACGTATCACATACAAAATCAAAGCTAAATTCTGTCCGCGCGAATATGCACATATACCACCAACGACTACTTTGGGCTGAATAGTCGTATACCACAGTAATATTATCTATACATATATGTAATAAAATTCTGAGTCGAATCTGTACATCAAATATTTTTTGGAAAATCTTATTGTAATAGACATTATTATCGATACAGAGGCCGAATTTATGGTTTTTAGAATATTTGTCTGTCTGTCTGTTACCGCATCACGAGAAAACCACTGCACAGATTTTGATGAAATTTGGTATGATGCTAGCTAGTTATCTGGGTCAATATATAGGATACTTTTTACCGCGGGAAAATGTCTCATTTCTGAGAAAAAATACAAAAACTGCAATGTAAGAGTATACTAATATGTAAAACCTAAGAATTTGGTTATCTGAACGCGGGCAATGCTAGTGAGCTTATATTTACCGATACGGATTTCTCACGCAGACCCGATATCTAGTAGTATTTTTGATCGAAGTTAATAGGCCTAATCGATTTCTCTCAGTAATTTATAAATCAGTTGACAAAAAAAATGAATGAAAATAAATTAAAAATAACAGCGTACATATTACTGGGTTTTAATTAGAATAAAAATTAAAAAAAAATATTTGTTTTATAATAAGTTAATATTTCATTTGATAATTAAGATTATATATATATATATATATATATATATATATATATATATATAATAAATGTGCGTATGCGTAAGACGAAAAATTTCAAATTGTCTATGCCGGTGTAGGAAAATAAAACGTTTTTATAACGTTTAGTTTATAAATGACAAGACCATGGACAAGACCTTCTATTTCTTAGCTATTTTAATTTTTAATCTTTAGCGGCAGTCCGCAGCAGCAACCAATCTTTAACAAATGTCAAATACCAACGCGTCATTAAAAATTCCATTCCACCAGTTTCTTCTCGAATCTCGTTACCGATATCAGCTATTGACTTTATTGAATTTAACGGTTTCTTTATTACTTTCATAATTCTTCATTGGCTACTCTGACTTTACATATAGTTTACACTACGCAGCGAATCTGTGTAAAGCTTTTGAAATATTAGGTCCTGTTAACGAAGCCATTTTGTAAAGCTAATTTACAAAAATCTTTATACTACAATAAATATGAGACGTAACAGAAATCATCAAGGTAATCAGCATCAGCTGTCGCCAAGCGGACCTCTACTGACTAATCATCTTCGTGTAAGTATTAGTAGGTACTCATATTAATTGATGTTAAAATTGGGCTAAAAATGAAAGTGCTGAAATAGAAAATGTCGGTATCTTTATAAAATACTGTTGCATCTATTTTCCCTATAATTTAGTCTTTTTATGTCTATTATTATGTTGTCAGATTATCTCGAGGCAGTCTTAATTCCTTATGTATGTTCAATTTTTAATTCTAGGATTTAGATATTGAACTGGAGCTATTGAAACGCAAAAGGGAGATTATTGAACAGAAGCAAGATATCCTAAATAGGGAAAGATATTCTGCCAAGGTTTTTATTTTATTTTTCTGTCTATTATATTTTTTTCTTCTTTATTATCAACACTGTTTAATTTACATTTGTATTACTTATTCTTACCTTAGTGTATGCCTTGTTACTAACTATATATAACAAAAATCCATTTGTATAGCCGTAACCAAACTTGACAAATTATAAGTATGCATTTTATTTAAAAATATTGAACGACCACTATCATTTTTTGACCTAATAAATCAAGACATTGCTAAAATTGTTTAGTAGATCCATTTTCACCTAAACCTTATAATATTGAGCACTGCAAATATTTAAGGTCATTATTAAGCATTAGAATTAGTACAAAATAATGTTTTATTAATATTTAATAAATTTTATAGACATCATTTTGTTTATGTTCGATTTTTATGATACACCCCACTTTTGTCTGGTATTATTAGTTCATCAACTTTTGAGTTATAATCTACATATTAAAAAAAGACCTAAATGAAATCATTCCTTTACCTTTTAAAAGTTACTTATAACTTCAACTTAAATTGTCAATACATTAAAACTCTTGTTTACATTTTGGCTTTCTTATCAATAGATATATCCTACTATGATTAGCTCATCTTCTGAATTTTAAAGGTCACAATATTTGCTAAGAATATGATATTTTGTGATGCTTATTACACTTTCATGTATAGTATGTTAATCATGAAAATATCATAATTTCCTTAGCCATTGTGACAAATGAAATGGTAACATGTAATAATAGTTAAAGTAATTAAACATTTTAATTCAATTTCAGAGGCAGTATGAATACAATACCCCTAATCAATACAATCGTCAAGAACCAAAACCTAACATTCAGCCGTTTAACTATTCCCAATATTATGATGAGTCAAGTCATTCTAGTAACTACAGACCTCAGGGTGGTAAGCGGCAATCTGAAGGTCAAAACTATTCTTGGCCCTCGAAACGATTCAATGCTCCTCAAAAAATTAGTCCCTGGCAGGCGGGCCTGTCCCAAGATTTCTCTCAAAAGAAACAGTTTCAACCTGGCCAATCTCAACCAATCCAATTTTCGGCGCCTAATCCCGCACCTTTGATGGGACTCAAAACAAATATGGGTCCTAGGTCCCAAAAAAAATTCCAACCACCCCGCAAAAACTTTCAACCCTCGAAAGTGACTAAACCCAAGACACAGCCAGCTCCGAACAAACTTGCCTCGTACCCTGTAGAGAAAACTAAGAAATTAGTTACTCAAACAATGAAAGCGATCGATCGAAAACCCGACGAAACTCAAATCTTACGCGCCAATAGGACTCCGACCGTGCAAGTGAAGGGTCGTTTGGAGCTGGCCTTGGGCATGGTTATGAAACAGATCAAGCAGGATCACTGCTCCGAACCGGCAGACTTAGAATATTTTCTGACCCCTTTCATACAGCGTCTTCTAAAGCACACAATCCGTACTCGCATACGTAGTGTAATGATGGATCAGTTCGTTGGCCCTGCCAGCGATATTGTTGAGGCCTACCGTAAAAAGTACCCTGTGGATACTGACATTGAACTGGTTAAAGTGGCAAAAGACGCACAATGTCTTACCGGTCCACAAGTTGGGGCTATACAACTTATTGATGCAGGTATACAATAATTTGGTTTTGGTTTCTTTGTGATTTATCAAAAAGTTTTAAAATGATTTAAAACTTTTAGTATAAATCGCATTGCTCTCATTCCCAGTCTGTGGGATTTTGTCGCATAAACCTTGTTTATTGTGACTTTTACATTTTATTTTAAAATGTGTTGCTCAAAGTTATTTGTTTCAGAACAAAGAGTTTAAATATGATGGCATGCTGTTGTTTTTTTTTTCAGTTGAAATACTTATTTGGCCAAGCAAATATTTTTAATATTAATATGATCTTTGTCAATTAAGTCTGTTTCACATAATTCCATCACATTTCGAAGACTCGTCACAAAAATATTTCATTAAATTTTAATAAACATTGGCTGTCAAGCATAAAAATAAAATTTATAATTGAAATAATAACACCTAAAATTGTTTTTTTTTTACTATAATATATACATATTTCTTTTAGATGATCCAGAAGAATTTTTCAGAAAAAACATGACGAAAATACTAACTACCAAACTGGAGGAAATGTTTAATAAAGTGAGTACAAGTATATTTCACAGAGAATGAAATTATCAAGATAAATAATGTTTATCTTGATAATTTCATTCTTGTTTATTGATAATTATCGTGATAATTATCAAATAGGTATAAACTTAGCAATCCTTGTGTAGGTATTAGTATTTGACTACTTGCCTATCATGATTTACGTTAGAATAAATTAATTATGCACTTCTAACAATCAAGGTAATCATTTATTGTTTTTTTTTCATAATTTTGACATAAACGAACTTGGAATCGAAAACAGAATAAATTAACCCAACTATATAGGCACTATTTAATTATATTATATGAGTGGAATATCATCTTCAACCTCCTCTGTGAGTTAGCTGATTGAGAGAGTTCAGTTTGCTTATCGACAATTGGAAAAGTTGCAAATTAAATATTTTCGATTATATTTATCAAAGATAATTATCAACATATACCTATCATGATAAATATGATAAATATCGTTTCCTACATAAATTTACCAAAACTGTTAATCTTTTACTCATTTATAGATGAACTGTATTAAAAAAACCAGTGATATTGCTTGAATAAAAACCTTTTTACTATTTTATCATAAAATCTACATTCATCTTCAAATAATTTTTAGGGTGAAATATTTCCCTGTTATACAAGTTATTAATTAAACAAAAATCATAAAGTAATGTTTGTTTTAGCTTGAAAATATATACAGAAATGCGGGAAAAAATCTTGATGACTACATTGAAAAGCTTCCCGAACCAAGCAAGGATAAAGATAATGAAAAGAAACCTGAGTCAAAAACCTTGACCATTGAAGAAATGTGTGGCGAAGATGGAAGTCTGACTTTAATTAGTGAGAAAGCAGCCAAAATTAAATTTTATACAAAATTCATGGAAGAGCTAATTGAGGACCGTTTGCCAAAAATTATGCCCAAGTACAAAAATGTAAGTTTAGTTCATATATTTTTATAATTTTATTAAAATATTATTTTATGCTAACGAACACAAAGCCTTACATTTGTTCTATGAATGATATTATAATGTATATATTAATAATTATGAATGTTATTCTATCTAAATAAATACAATGTTTTTTTCTCTTTTAGTTACTTTTGTCAATAGTGTTTTGCGAGAAGGAGTTCCTTGGAACTAAAGCAATGATTACAGCACAGTTAAAGAGAAAAATATTGAAAACAATAGAAAAAGATGAAACTTATTTGATTCATAATAAAAAAGTTGGAAGTGATAAATCAGAGGAAAAAGCAAATGATACATCTGCTTCGAATGAGAAGGAGAAAAAAACAACCACTGAGGTTAATAAATCTTCAACAGAAACAACTCAAAGTCAACCAGAAAGCTCCGAGAAAGATAATACATACACCAATGAAATGAAAGAAGAAAATAAAATCACTAATGAAAATGCGAGTGAAGAAAATATAAGTAAGACAGAAGCAGCAAATTCTGAAATGGAATGTGACAAAACTGAAGAAACTCCAATAATTGAAATAGATAAACCTGTTAGTGTGGCGACTCCAGTACCAGTGACTCCTAACAAAGGTGTACCAACACCAAGTACACAAACACCTAAAACTCCAGTCTCAAAAGATATGCATTACGTCAAGGTAATTTTACTGATTTATATATTTTTATTATATACATATGTACATATAAATATGTCATGTTTATATTTGTTAGATATAAATAACAGTAAAATATAACTATATAATATTAAAAATATATATGTATATACTTGTATATTATGGACTTGTTGACGACACGTTGGGCTTAGTTTGTAGTGAAATTGAAAAGATAAAAGACTTGTTGTACCAGCAGTCGCGGGTTCGAGTCCCGCTAGGGGCATTCATTTGTGTAAAGAGCATGAAAGTTTGTACTCCAGTCATAGTTGTTTATATTTAGAATATGTATGTATTTAAAGTTATATATGTGTAGTGTTAGTATCAACTGTCTGGTATCCATAACACAGGCCTCATAGCTTACCGTGGAACTAGATGGTGCTGTGTGTTATTGTCCCGACATATTTATTATTATTTATCATACTTATTGTTTACTTTTTCATAATATTAATAACGAAATATCATTGATTAATATTTTTTGTAAAATTTACAAGAGTCATTTTATAAAAATTTTACAATTTATGTTTTTTTTTCAGCTCATTGGACGCCCAGTGTTGCCTGCTCGAGCTGTAATATATGATTTCCTTAATAAATTCAACCCAGCATCAATCAAGAAACACAAAACTATAAGCAATTTGCTCGTACTCGGTTTCAGTGATAGAGAAAATTTTGATAAAATTTTAACAACAAACGAATCTATTGTCGGTAAGAACTCTAAATGAAATTTACATAGAACAATATTAATATTGTTAGCATTTTTAAACTATACATGCAGAAGTAAAATTATTTCCCAATGGAAACTCCTAGCAAAATATATCATTAAATATTAATGTACTTATTAAATTTCAGGTGAATCAACTATCATAATAAAACCAAGTGAACAGGTAAATGCAAATAAACAAACTCCAGGTCTTAATAAGACAGTAGAGTCATCTCCAGCGAGTAAATCTTTGAATGAAACCAAAACTTCAAAGGAAAATAAAGAAGTGAGTGAGTCTAATTCAAATAAATCACTAAATAATAGTTTAATACTGAATTCTGACCTTGATACCCAAATAACCGACCTACTTATCTCAATAAGAAAATCTGAAGAAGATGCTGGAATTACTGAGGAAGGTCAAAAGATTGAAGAAAAGGAATCTGTATTGGAAGCAACAAAAGTTAATGATGATGATAACATAAAGGCTGAAGCAAAAAATGACGAAAGTGCAGCTGAAAGTAAAGATGATAAGACTACTGAAAAACCAACTGATACTGATGTTCAAACAGTTCCAAATGCAAATGAATCAACAAATATTGATGAAACTAAGACAAATGGTCAAACTAAATCTGACGAAAAAATTGAGACTGAATTAGAAGCAATCAAAGAAAGCAGTGAGGATAATAAAAACGAAAAAAGTTCTGAAAAGTCTGAAGATAAATCTGAAGCTAATGTAAAAGAAACTGGACGCGCCACACCATCTAGAACTTCATCGCGTCTAGCTAATGTTACACCTAGCACTATAAAAACAAGAGGGACAAGTCGTTTGACACAAAACTAAAATGAGTAATTCAAAATATGACAATTTAAAGAGCACTAACAAAGTATGTTAGTAATTTGTCTAAATTCAATCATATTCATTGACTTAAAATGTTATTTTATTTTTCAACTAGCGACTCACCCTCGCTTCGCTCGGGTTCGTCCCTAGGTACGTTTTTTTTGAGCGGAACCCTAATTCTTTTACTTAAATAAAAGTAGCGTAAGTTACTCCTTATAACATGAACTACCTGCCATTGAAAGTCCCGTCAAAATTATCTCGGCTGATTTGGAGATTAGCCGGAATAGACAAAATAAAAAAGATGTGTTTTGCTTATAAATACCGCTTATAATTCCATATGCATTCAGTAAAAAGCTGTTATTTTGACATTACAAACACACTTAAATTTTTTTTATCTGTATAGATTTTTTAATCATACTCATTCTTTTTGGATTTTTGACCAACTACATATTGCCCAATAAACCGTCCGCAATGTTACGGGCCGTTCATAAAATTTGTCACGCAAAATTGAACTTTTTTTAGACACCCATTTCGTCTTTGTATATCACATCTTTTGCAACCATTATCAATATTACGTCATGAATGGTAGATGTCAGACGTCATAGTCTCGTTTCCTTAGACCTCTCCTAACCACCCTTGTCACAGTAATGGTGCTTCCACACAGGAGTAAAAAATGTTAGACAAACATTAACAATTAAAAAAAATTGTTAACATCCAGTAACATGTTATTAATTGTTATAGTCTGATTTTTAATTCCACGGAAATATGACAGCTATTATTCTTTGGCAATTCAGATATCATAAACCTTTTCTGCTTTGTATTTTTTTAATATAAAATAACAAAAAATATGAAACAGAATTAGATCAAATAAACTATATGTATGACATTCTAAATAGTTTTTATTTTGTGCATTCAATGCACGCTAACTATAATGTAAATTTTTAATGGTTAAATGAATAAAACGGAGTAAAACAAAATATTTTACAAACAAAGGGGTTTTACTAAAAAAGGCTTGCAACTTATGGATTATTGGACAGGGATTACTGTAATAGAAAAATAATTTCCTTCATAATTATTGTAACTTCAATAATATGATAATAAAAAAATAATTACCATTTAAGAGTTATCAATAATTTTTTAAGTCTTAGTTTTTCTAATTGAAACCTTAAATTCAAGAAAGGTTTATTTTTTTATTTTGCTAAAATGCTTTCCGTTTTTAGTGACAATGTTTCAAAGTTGACAACACTTTTGAAATGTCAGAATTCCGTCGAATTAAAAATCAGACTATAGATGTTTTCAAAGCTTCCACACTGATAAAACGTTTTGTAGGACGTTTCCTAATATTTTATAACCATTCTGCAAACCCCGCTGTTGCCCGGGTTTAATTTTTTTTTGACGAATGTTACAAATTGTTATATTTTGCTTCAAAGTTAATAAAAAGAAAATGTTTAATAACTTTTGTTACAAAATGTTTTTCTTTTGCGATAAAATGTTCACTAACAAAAGTTCACTAACATTTTTAAGTACTGTACCTTAGCGACACCCACTCCCCCAAATAAGTGCGAACTGCGAACATATTTTATGAATGGCCCATTAGCATATTATTTTATCAATAACATTATTATATTTATATTACGTTAGGCATAGGGTCATGAATATGACGTTGGGTTTTATGTATTAGTTTAACATAAGCCAAACAAGTTGAGCCAATATGGCGAAGATAGATTATTATTAGAGATAAATATATACCTACATTGTAGTTCGTGTAAAGTTTCAGACTTGTCATCATAATGGTTACATTTTTCCATTTGGTGATCTAGAAATTTCTATAATATAACTTTTTTTGGTCTAACTTTCTGAAAAATCTGTTTCAAAAATAATATTTTTCTTGAAAAAGTAATCAGCATATACTATGATAGATCTACTAAATATGTAATATTGTTGTAAATTAAAATTTAATTATGTAATTAAATTTTAAGTTTTATTTGCGTTGTCTTGAACACACATGTCTGAAACATATTTTCTTTTTTTAAACAAAATAAATGGATAAACACATAAAATCTGTTGTTTTTTTTTTTGTGAATTGTAAACGAATTATTTTCCAACTAATATCGACGATCTTCATAATATATTTTTTTTATATCTACTAAAAATCTTCAAATTTCTAGACTACGTAATCTTTTCGTTTTTGGAGTTTTTGAAGGTATCTTTAAACACAGTAATTTTTAGCAACGTATCTGTGCTTAAGACGCGTGGCAGTTGACACGATCTATCCGGGGGCAAAGCAGTGCGCTCGCCAAGTCGAGCAAAAAAGGGCACGGTAGTTTTGTTTTCTCAAAGCCATTCAGGGCATATCATCAAAATTCTAAGGTAACATTTGAGCTTCAAATTTTGAACACAATAAGTGTTTAGCCTATAACCCAAGGAAAAACATTCCGCAATTACAGTCTCCTTTTCTAGATACACATTAAACTGCATAAGTTGTGTTTTGTAATTATATATATGCTATATCGCACACGGCAAAATAACCTACAAATAACAAAAACCTAATAGCGTTCAGACCGCATTATTTATGTTTGTTTATGTATTTATTTGACCCGCTAGCGGTATGTTTAATTATGACTATTTAAAATAGTAGATTCTTATGTGATTATGTTTCCGTCCAAAAGCCAAGTCATTCTATTAATTAATGAAATAAATGTTACATAACTAATTTATAGGGAACAATTCATGACAAAGTTGTTGGATAGATGTTTCCATAGATATGTAGGTTCTGAATAAATTAACCAACTTGGTTTTACATTATATCTCAACTTTTTGCGGTAAAAGAAACAGCGTTGCGAGACTTGTACTTTTTTATATGTTATGTTTTTAATTGAATACAATTATATTTTTGACATTTCCCAATACAAACTTTCATCCCCATTTTCAGCCCCTTAAGGAATGATTTCCGTGGTACAAAGTTCTACATCCTATGTCGTTCCCATGGTCTCAAACTATCTTATTACCAAATTTCATCTCAATCGGTTCAGTAGATCCAGAGATTACCGCCTACGACAACGTCACAAACTCGTAAACTTTACCATTTTATAATATTACTAGCATTGCCCGCGGCTCCGCCGGCGTTCAGGTGACCAAAAACCAAATTCTTAGGTTTTAAATATTAGTATACTCTTATATTACATCTTATATTACTCTTATATTGCAGTTTTTGTATTTTTTTCTCAGAAATGAGACATTTTGCCGCAGTAAAAAGTATCCTATATGTTGACTCGGATAACCAGCTATCACCATACCAAATTTCTTCAAAATCCGTCCATTGGTTTTTTGTGATGCGGTAACGGACAGACAGACAAAAAGTCTAAAAACTATAGATTCGGCCTCTGTATCGATAATAATGTTTATTTCAATAAGATTTTCCAAAAAATATTTAATGTACAGATTCGGCTTAGTTACAATTTTATTATATGTATAGAGTAGATATAAATATTATCATTCAAATTTCTTTAGGTAGGTACATCTAAATATAAATCTCAACACAACTTATTACTTACCATCAATTGATTAATATAATATTCATATGTGATAGTATCAGTAACTGGATCCAAAGCTGTTTGCATCATTTCATCAAACTCTTCCTAAATATTTAAAAACAATATTAATTAAATATTATTTCCCTCCCATCCCTTTTCTAAATAAAATAACATTTTAATTAACAATTTAATGCTAAACTTAAGACATGGGCTAGAGATATCTCCTCACTTCCCTCGTGTGCACCTTTATATACAGGCGGCACTCTTTTTTTTGTAAATGTTATTACCTCATTTAATCTATATTAATCTTGCTCCAGGTCGTAATTTGTCTAATAATACTACATTTCATCTAAATCCCTCAGCTTTTCATGTGAAAGACTATCTATTAATAAACATATACTCGTACACATTACACTCATACTCGTACACATTGTCTTCACTACAGATCTGGCCGACGCGGGTTCGATTCTTGTACAAGATTGTTTAACAGTCTAGATACTATGTAATCTATACAGATAATTAAAATTAAAGTATCTATTTGTATTGCCAAAATAACAGGTTTTTACTATATGCATATGAAATTATATACGGTATTAATAAGAAAAACAACAATTTTAAAATGTTTGTCCGTCTGTTTGTCTATCTGTTTATCTCCGACACGGCTGAACTGATTTTGACGGGATATTCAGTGGTAGATAGCTGATGTTATAAGGAATTACTCCTAAGGCTACTTTTATTTTAGAAATAAAAAATTAGGATTCCGCTTTAAAAAATTAAAATGTACCTAGGTACGCACCCGAGTGAAGAAAATGTAAGCCGCTGGTCTATAATATTATAATCGTCTAACGAAGACTTAAACAGGGCGATCGAACGGAGCGTGTGCGGGGAGACGCTGGTGTGGTGTTCACAACTGTCATACCTAATTTTGTATGCGATTCGGGAAACTAATAATAACTGTAACTTGTTAAAGGGTTTTACCTAATTTCGAAACCGTTAATTGGTATAATTGATACTTTTAACAAACGTGGCGATGCGTTATATGAAGCGGAAATAATTCCGCTTGTATCAAAGGCGATGAGTCCAAGAGCGGATCGAATCCTCAAAAAAGGTGTGGTCACAGCCACCCGAAAATAAGTGTCTATCGAAGTACGGACTTGCTCATGATGAATATAATTCCTTAAAGATACTATACTCTGATCGAGAAAGTCGCTGGTATTTGTAAAACGGTTTTTTTTTAATTTAGTTAAGACATTGGATATAACAATACTCTATCGAACTTATTTGTTTGGTCGTGGGCATGCCCACCGTGCCCATAACAGTGGATCCGCGCTTGGATGAGTATGCTGTATGGACCACTGTCTGGTGTTTATATATACTTACTGTGACGGTATTAAATGGACTATATTACGCAAATCAATATGTCCTCTATAACTAATATATGGTATAATTTTGTTTAAAACTAAGCGGGAAGTTATAATCTGTTATTACTTATTACCCTTAAAATAAACGTGGTAAAGTAAGAATAAGTTTGTACTTAGTGAAATACCTGCGTAAAAGGCTCTCCTTCTTCTAACATTAGTTGTGCAAATTTTTCTTTAGTAAGATATCCACGACCCTCTTTATCAAAATAACGAAATGCCGCAAGAAGCATCTCTGCACTGGCTGGATAAAATCTAGACATAAATATAAAATAATGTAATTTTGCTATGTTTGAAGCATTAAAATAATTTATAGTAGGTATATCAGAATTCTACTTTTCATATCATGTATTACCTAACTAGCATTGCCCGCAGCTCCGCCCGCGTTCAGATGACCAAAAATCAAATTCTTAGGTTTTACATATTAGTATACTCTTACATTACAGTTTTTGTATCAGAAATTAGACATTTTCCCGCAGTAATAAGTATCGGTTTTTCTGTGATATGGTAACGACAGACAGACAGACAGACAAAAATTCTAAAAACTATAGATTCGGCCATGTATCGATAATGTTTATTTCAAAAAGATTTTCCAAAAAATATTTAATGTAAGTACAGATTCGGCTTAGTTACAATTTTATTATATGTATAAATTGTAAAATCAATAAAGGCAGTAAGGCTCAAAATAAATACTAGAAATAATGATAAACTGATAACGTCTAGGCTTCGCCTTCGTCGTTTATGGGGCAAGGTGAACTCGTGTACAATAAGATTCCACTGTCGATATTGAGCTTGCCATTTAAACAATGTAAGTTAAAAATTAGAAATATATTAATGAGATATATACCTAGCTTTACTCAATATAATATGTATTAAGCTTGTTTTACTTCATCACGGAATGCTTTGTAGATGTTAACATGTGGGACAAATTTCTAGTTGGGTTTCACGTAGGTTAAGTTACATACTTATTTATTGTACCTACTATTGCAATAATGCAAACAAATATTATTTCAAATTAGTAATTATTTAGTTTCCCAGCAGCTCTTCTCAGCAGAACTGCCTTTCGAGCCGGTGGTAGATTCCTCACGAACTTACAAACTGACATTTAAAAATGTTGAAAATGATTCAAAAGTGCTTGTAAAAATGTATTTGAATAAAGTTAAAGTAATATGATATTTTTTTTATATTTCTTTTTATTTATTCTACTTTTCATACGTTACTTTACCTTATTGTAAAATTGTAATATTATTACTTGCTACACAACGATAGACGATTGATAAAATCGTTGTATATGTATCGAGTTTTATCTATACTAATATTATAAAGAGGTAAAGTTTATGAGTTTGTGAGCTTGTGACGTTGTAGGGGGTAATCTCTGGATCTACTAAACCGATTTAGATGAAATTTGGTAAGAAAATAATTTGAGACACTGGGAAGGACATAGGATATATTTATCCCGGAAATCTATATAGTACATATTTTTATCTGAATATTTTTATCCTGGAATCATCCCATAAGGGGATGAAAGTTTGTATGGGAAAGCAAGCTAGGGACGAACCCGAGCGAAGCGAGGGTGAATGGCTAGTATAAATAATATTAATAAAATTGTAATTCATATCACAGTGGAAATAATGAATTATTCTGTACCTGTGTTCTATCATAGCTTTGCACATGTATGGTAAAAAATTGATAAGGGGGACATTCCCTGTAGCTTCTTTATTTTCTGTGGCTAAAATTACTTCTTGTATTTCAGCTTCGGTGGGGCAACAGCCTGTGAGAAAGAAAAAAGAACTGTATTATTAATTCAAATACTTTTAAACAAATATGTATTTATTAGCTTAGATATATATGTAATACAAATCGTAATTATATTCATAGAATCGTATTTATACGTGTGGCATAGCGCCACGTGAAACATGAAAATATTTTATAAACAGTACCTATGTTGCCTTCTGATTGAAGTCATTAAATAATATTTAAGTTTATGTTTAATATATTAAATATAAATTATAATACGTACAAATGAAATTTCAAACGGGAAATCGTGTAGGTAGACCATACAATTATAATTATTTAAGGTAATATTTTTTTTATTAAAAAATTACGAAATAGAGGAAGAATTCACTATCATAAAAACTATCGAATTATCCCTATTGAAAAAATCCAATAGGAAAAACCAATAAATGTTTATTGGTTTCCATGTGGCTTTTATTGGCTTCTTTGTGCCTTTTGTCACTTTTGATGAGATCCTATTGGAGTTTTTAAATAGGTTAATGTACCTACTTTTAGAAATTGATCAATAAATAATATAATCCTATAACTACTTTATTTAAGAAAGATTTTGGTTCATACCTAATGAACGCAAAATAGTTCCAATTTCTCTTACATCAACAACTTGTTTGCCTGAATGATCGAAAACTTCAAATGCCTCGATGATTCTCTTTTCTAAATCATTATTTGGTTGAACTAGAGAAATAAAACATGTTTTAAAATTAAAGAAAGTTTTTTCATTATAAATTATCTTATGACTTTTTTACTTTTTGGTTCTTCTTTTCGTGCCATATTTAATACTAAAGAGATTCAAAATAATATCAAGACTATAAAATTTAATAATAGAAAGTAAACAAGTAATAAAAATCAGATCTAGTTACCTAGCAACGCAAATAATTTATTGTCAAATGTGCTTACCATTTGTGGCTGAATAGTTTTATACCATTGCAATATTCAAAATATTAGAACTATTATTTATCTATGCATAAAGTTTGAACTGAGTCAACTGACATGATCTGTGGTTATTACGAAGCCGCCATATTGGTTTACTTGGCGCTCACTCCGTGGTAGTGAATTTTTGCGAGTAATGACTGCGTTTAAAGAATTTATATGAATATTTTGTGATCTATAGTTATCAGACATTAGTGCAGTGACTATTTCCTTAAATCAAAATGGATCCAGCTAAAATGAAAGTCGTAGATCTGAGAACCGAGCTTGGCGCTTTGGGCTTGGATACGAAGGGTAACAAACCGGCATTAGTGGAAAGATTAAAGAAGGCTTTAGAAGCTAAAACTGGAAAAAGTAAGTTATTTACTGTGTGTTAAACAATCCAAATTTATACGTTATTTATGATTTATGCAATAATGAAATTTGACATTAGCACGTGTAAATGCGTCGCTCCCTCCATGTTTTATTTGGATTTCTTATTTATGCGTGACAGATTGCACGATTTCGTTTACATTAAAATTAACATTTTCATAGGCTAATTTAATTGCCAAAAATAATCAAATACGAAGGATTTTTTTGTAAAATTGCGTAATTGTTTTTCTGGAGACTGAAACCAAATTGATAATATTATAAAGAATTTCATATTATATTTTTAGTCTATGTTGTTACCAGTATAGTTAATGTTAACATGTATATTTTATTAGGCAAGCTATAGAAATATTAAATATATGGAGTAAATATTTGTTTTTTTTTTAACATTAAATTTTTAAGAATTGTAGTAATGACTTGTTTACATTTATATGACTATCTACATTTGGAAATAAAAAATCTGTTAGTTGTCAGGAAAGCAATAGTCAATTATTGTCATAAACAAATGTAAATGTTTGTTTATTTTTGAAATATATATGAGAGGATCTTATAGAAATGTTATCAAACTTTTTGGTTTATAAAATTTTTATAGGTATTCAGGATATTACTCGTTTGATATTTTTTAATACTGATGGCTTCTTAAATTAAAAGAAATAAAATAAGTCAAGAAGGCTGGCAGCTTATAGCCAAATGTCCCAAGTTAGATTCTTTGTTACTAAAGCATTGCTACATACCTATTAAAAACGTAGAATAAGTATCAGATTCTAATAAAATATATTTTTTTAATTGAAAAATATTTATTATACATTACTTATATGGATAGGCTGAAATTCCTTTACATTCGGTTTAACCGAATTTCGGCAGCTTGAGCCGAATTTAGACATTCAGCCGAAATTCAGTTTGAATGCCGAACATTCGGTAATAGAAAAAAATACCAACTTGCACTATTTTGACTGAAATTAATAGAAATCATGTCTGTCATAACAATAAAGTCTTTTATATAGTCATTACTCCGATCGGAATTCGGTTTGGAAACAAAAAAGTTTAAACCTAAAGTTGTATATCTTTAAAATGTTACTGGTACATAAGGAACAAAAATCTGTAAAATGCCCCCGATGCCTAGCTATCCCCGAAAATAGGAGAAAAAAGCATTGAAAAATAGCTAGTTTTTTCCTATTTCTGTCATACTATGACATCCTATCGAAAAATGTTCTATTCAAAGTTTTAGGAAGAGTTAAAATCTAGATTTTATAGATGATACTTATTACAATAACTTCAATCATTTTGAGATATTTGCAAAAAAACATTTTTTAAATTTTGCTTGATTTTTTTATTTGTAATTTTTGCAATATTTTTTTTATTTTCATGAAACTAAGGGATTGTAATCTTCGAAATACATATAATAACCAATTTTTTTTTGAAATTGAAAAATTTAGCTGTTTTCGAGAAATTAATGTTTTATGGTCTCCGGTTGAAAATCACCCCTAATAAATATCTCGAAAACTTTGAATTTAATGTAAAAAATTTCATATTATGTAAAACTTATATATATATATATATATATATATATATTTACTAGAAAAGTTTATATAGATTTTTACTAGAAAAGTTTTTGTGGAGAACATTTTTCTATAGGACGTCACAGTAAGCCGGAAATTGAAAAAAAAAAACTATTTTTCAACGCCTTTCATCCCCTTATTTTTTGGGGGTAGCTGAACATCGGGGATATTTTACGGATTTTTTTTCGTTTTTGTTTTGTTGTTGTCTCAAAAATCTTTGCCTAATTAAATAGACAAAATGAATGAACTTAGTATTCTTGTAACAAACATTCATGGACGAATTAGAGACTGGACCTGACATAAAATACAAATGTATGAAAACTAGTTCAACCAAGTGACGCATAACGCACACAAAGATTTTATTACATTATTATAAACACTGATACACAATACAATATTTCTAGTGTTTGAACGTAATCGATAAAATACATATATCGATGAACCAATGAATGACATTTTAGACATTGGTTAGCATAGTCACCATATTTTACATCTTTTAATTTAAAATATCTGTATTTATTATAATAAATTAAAATAAATGAATTAAAGAGGCAATAATAATGTGTCAAATAATAATTATTTTTGAATTTGATTTATATAAATACGATGGCATTGATGGCAACATTCTGTTGGCCTATAATAATGTTAATAAACAAATGAATATCGGGTGTATATTCCATTAATATATAATAAATATTATTTTGTAAAGATTTAAAAAATATTAAGCTAAATTTAATTAAATAAAGTGATTTTGTTGATTCTGTTATTGAACTATTTTAATTGGCAATTGATTGTCTCGGGTAGTTATAAAAATGTGACACTGTCCTAATATTGCTCAGTTATTAATAAACATTTGTGAAATTAGAAAAAAGAAAAAGAGATTGCAAATTGTGAAAAAGTGGGTGTTGGATCGTGAAAGTAAAATAATTAGTGCAAATGGTAAAGTGTTTTATTACAAATCGCCAACCCAGAAGTTTAATGCTAAAACATTAATGTTTGATTTTGTGTAATTTATGTGTTGAAATAAAATGATCTTTATTATTATTACAATGGAATAAAAGAAATTCCAAAGTATATAAATGTGGTATAAAATAAAATAAAAAATTAAGTACACATACTAATTATAATTTTTGCATTTATATTTTTATTTGATTTAGAAAATATTTTTATAAATTTATTGTCATCAGATTGTAGGATACTGTGATAAAAGTATTTTATGTTATTGTACTGTACAAATAACACAATTCGTTCAGTTATTTCGTCAAATATCGATATATTTTTCGACGTTGTCAAGCACTAGTCGATGTCAAATGGACTCACTCGACAGTTTTGTCATTTGTTCTGAATGGTATAATCCAGCCCGTTTATGATGGTTGTCAGATGTCAACAATACATAGAAATATCGACTATATTTAACATAGTTGGATAATATGACATTTTATTTTACATTTAATTAAATTTTGTGATAAATAACAATAAATGTAATAAAATAATGTATTTACAAGTGAAAAGAAATAGTGCTGCTTCCGCCGTTATAGTTTTTACACCATTTAACAGAACATTTAGTCATTTTTGGGAGTTGTTTTGTTGACAAGTAAGTGCTTGAGACTGACACAAGAAACAAACGACCTAGGCTAAAATTCCCTGGTTACTGACATGACCGTTAAAGGTACGTCCGTTTATATGTCTGGTCCAGTGGTTAATTCGTTCATGCAAACATTGTATTACAATTGTAAATTGAATAAAAAAATCACGTTTTTGGTGCACAAACTAAACACTCAGAAGCATTAAGTATTTATAATTATTAAGGTGTCACGACGTGTAGTGACACGACACTTGAGAAAGCGCGGCGAAATTGAACCGAAGTTCGGCGACCGAATTTTTTATTCTCACCGAATGTTCGGCCGAAGTTCGTATTCGGTTCAAGCCACATTCGGTCTATCTCTAATTACTTATGTTTCTTAATTCATTTTGCTATAAATAGATAAAATGAAGACAATTTATTTAAATAGATAATATTTTTCATTTGATAAGCTTTTATATACAACTATTTTAATTATATGTATTTTTTGTATAGCTATTGTTGACTCATCAATCCTGGACACATCAACTGAAGATGCAGATGAACCATCTACACCTGTTCCCGCCACACCGCGTCGTTCTGCTGCTGCAAGAACAACACGTCGGTCCTCATCTTCTAGATTAGCAGCAACACCTGTTAAGGTAATCTCTCTTAAAAAATTATATCATATTTCAAGGCCTTCGACGTAGAAGATTAAAGTGACAGTCTCCCAACCCTGTAAGATAGATTCATTAGGATGGAATGAGACACCTGAGAAGTATCTCACCAAGCTAAAAAGCCTAAACATATACAAGTACCAGACAAAGCAGTGGCTTATTGTAGTGTCCAACAGATTGCTACAATATAGAAAAGGAAAAAGAAAAAAAATATATCAGTATATATGTAAGACTTATTTTACCATTTGCACTGACCTATAGGGAAAAAATAAATATAAAACTGTTACAGTGTGCCAGTTCTATCTTTCAATAACTATCAACACATAATTTCACAACTTTTTCTAAGTGATCACTAGCGGCTCACACTCGCTTCGCTCAGGTTCGCATCTAGGAAAACAAAAACAAACCTATCCCGCAGGAACCGTACATTTTTCCAGGATAAAAAGTAGCCTATGTGTTATTCCAGACTATATCTCTGTGCCAAATTTTATCCAGATCTGTTCAGCCGTTCTGACGTGAAAGAGTAACATCCATACTGACAAACTTTCACATTTATAATATTAATACCGATTGTCAATACCAATATTATTTCAAATTATGAATAGTGAAGAGATTAAAATTTAAATAGTTTCTTTTACTTTGATTAACGTTGTAGTCGACTTTACTGCTTTTTTCTAATTAGCATTAGCAAATATATTAATCATTAAATAATATAGATAATGTATTTATCGTATATTAGTAGAACTTGGCAATCTTTACCAGCTCCAAATGATAAGGTTTTTATAGGTAATAAAAATAAAATTATTTTACTTTTAATATTATATATATATAAAAATTATTATTAAAATAATATTATTTCCATTGACTACATGTTTGGCTCAGTTTGTAGTGACCCTACTTGCTGTGCCAGAAGTCGCGGGTTCGAGTCCCGCTGGGGGAATTTATTTGTGTGATGAGCATGAATGTTTGTACTCCAGTCATGGGTGTTTATTTCAAATTATATATGTGTAGTGTATCAACTATCTGGTATCCATAACACAAGCCTCGTAAGTCGTAGCTTACCATGGAACTAGATGGCGCTGTGTGTTAATGTCCCAACATATATTAATTCTTTTTTTGTAGAATGTGCCTAGTTTTGCTAAATGATGAATAGGGGAATTCCATAATAACAATATAAAAGAAGATAACCTTGTGACACAATTTAATGATAATTAATATGTTGATGTTATTATGTGAAACCACATTATTTATGTACCCAAAAAATTACAAAACTTCATCATATTCACTATAAACCTTAGAATGCATGTATGTTATGAAGAAAAAACATACAATTTTATTTACAGATGACATTTCCGATTTTATTTGATTAAATATAATTTTGTACAAATTATTTGAATACATTTTTTTCCTGTTGTGTGAACTTAATTAAAAAGCTATATTTTTAATCAATCTTCCTTCTCTCAAATGTTAATTTTAGAACGTGTCTCAAAACAAAACATTAACTAAATTTTTATCTGTATTACATAAGCTTATGAGGTCCATTTTGACATTTGCACGACTACAGTTACAAAATAAAAAAGATAAACTTATTAAATGTATCAAATATTTAAAAAAGATCTTTTTAATAGCAATATGGTTCTTTATTTACCCATTTTTCTTTACGATTAATAAAACGACAACAACAACAAACAGGTACCTCGTGATGACCCTCCTAAGCCAATAGAAGAAGAGTCCAAAGATGATGAGGATGAATCAAACCCATTACCACCAGCTCCAGTGCCGGAGCCCATACCAGAACCAGTTCCAGAGCCTGAACAAAAAGCTGAGGAACCAGAGACACCCTCTGAAAATAAAGAGACACCTAAAGAAGATCTATACAGTATAGATGACCAGTAAGTATATATATTTTTAACTTGGTGTGTTTGGCTAATTAGAAAAAAACAGCGGTAGCGCAATAGTGACGCGCTCGCTTGAGAAACCGAGTAAAGTGGGTTCAAATCCCGTGTCTCGCACCTCTGATGTCTTGTGAATCATTTTCAACATGATTATCACTTGCATTACGGTGAAGGAAAACATCGTGAGGAGACTTGCATGGCTGGGAGAACCTAGCCAATTTTCGATAGACATTCCCAGTTCAGTCTTTCCCAGCAGTAGGACGTTAAAAATAGGCTGAATACATACAAAAGAAAATGTGAGGCTGATTTTCATAAGATCATTTCTCTCCCTTCCTTTGCTAGTGAGCGGTAATATTGTATACAATTTAATTGTTAATAAAAAAAATTCTTTCTAGAAGTCAATCTCCAGTTCCAGAAAAAACTGAATCCGATGACCATGAAGAAATTAAAGGTTGGTACAATTTTTTTAACTTAATGTTAGCTCACTAAAAAAGATATGTAGAACTTATATTTAACAATAGTTTAGATTACAGATTAAAGTTTCTGTATTTTCGAAATATCTATTTCGAATAATATTCATAAAATGATATACTATAAGTATAACTAGCGACTCACCCTCGCTTCGTTGGGGTTCGTCCCTAAGTACGTTTTAACGGTTAGTATGGAATAGATAGTCGATCGCTTGCTCTATGAAAAACAACAACAAATCTATCTCATGGGACCGTAAATTTTTCCGGGATAAAAAGTAACCTATGTTCTATTTCGGAGTATAATCTATCTTTATGCCAAATTTCATCCAGATCTGTTCAGCCGTTCTGGTCTGGTTGTGTAACAAACGTCCATCGAAACTTTCGTATTTATAATACCTATTAATTAATTAATGGGAATATGACCCTAGTAATAAGTTATCACTCCACAAAATTTCGTTAAAATCGGTTCAATATTTTTTTGCGTGAAATGCGCACACCTAAACAGACAAACAAACATATAGACAATTTTTTTAATAACTATTGTTTTGGGGTCTATAATACTGTATAAAATACGTTACTCATTCTTTTTTAAAATATTTCATATGTATCAGATTTCGCTAAGTTACTGTTTTATTATCGATATAGATTTTAACTAGATAGTTTTTGTGTAATTTATTAGAATATATATTACACATTTGTAAATATGCAGATACAGATTCAGATGTCCCTGTGTCTCAACAAGAACCGAAAGAAGAAATAGAGAATAACAAAGAAACAGAGGAAGATAAAGAAGAAAAAGAAGAAGAGAAAGACGAAGAAATGGACCAAGACAGCAAGGATAGGAAATTCGAAGAGGATGAGGAAGAGAAAGAGGTAAGATGTCAAAGTTTAATATAATAATCATAAAATGTTAATGCAAATATTAAACTTTACTCAAGCGTTTTTATTTATAACATTTTTTTTTGCAGCGGCAAAGAGAGTTAACTGAAGAAGAAGAGTGGAAACAGCTCAATGAAAGACTCATACAGAAGGAACAAGAAAGGATTGAGAGGGAAAAGAAGCAAGCTGAGGAAGACGCAAAACGTTTTGAAGAGTTTAGCAAGGTTTTTAAAATATGTTATTATAATTATAACCCCAAATTTTTCTTTTGAACTCTAATAGAAGACATTTGTTGTATAATAGTTTAAATTTAACAATGATATATTTCAAGATATAGAGAGTAGTATACTCCAGTGACTTGATGTAATTGTGAATGTTAAATATATCTATAATATAAAAATGAAACGCTGAATGTGTTGATAAGGGCAAATCTCGAGAGCAGCTGAACCGATTTCACTAATATTTTTTTTAGAATATTCCTTGAAGTATGAGGATGGTTCTTACGGAGAGAAAAATTTAAAAAATTGTCTGAAAAAGTCTAAAAAAGTCTAAAAACAACACTTTTCTATACTCCCATACAAAAGATTTGTAATAATACATAAAAGTCAATTTGAACTTTAATACCATAACAAAGTTTAAGTGTTAGTGGAGAGGTTCCGGGAAGGCAAAACATTGATGGCAATTGAGTGACGTTAAAATCGTATAAATATTAATGTCAATATATTTCAATTAATGTCAATATTATTAACACGAAAAATAAAATTTATATGGCTAAATAACTATCTATTTAAAACGTACCTAGCGACAAACTCGAGCGAATCGAGGGTGAGCCGCTAGTTATATAACAAAACAATAGTTAAGCATTTCTTTTTGTTCCTTCAAAACCAGGATCCCGTAAAATTACAACGGTTGAAGCGTAAACAAGAGAAGAAAGCTCGTTGGAGCAACTTCTACAAGTCCATAGAAGTCACTAACGAAGTGCTTGCTCCACACATTGAGGTATACTTTTAATCAAACAATACTCATAATACATATAAAAGATAGTTTTATTTAATAATGTCAAACAATACTCGTAAAACTATATATTTTTTTGTTTTCAAAATGGTAAGTGGACGCATATTAATGTATGGGAAATTAGTGAAAACGGTTGTTTTTATTGATTTTAAAACTTATAATTTTTTTTTCAATTTGAAATATTATGTAAATTAGTAAGTTATTAGTAATTTTCCCAATTTATGAACTCTCTACTGAATTTCAATTCAAAAAAAATTATTTAGCATTATAATTATTACAATTTTTACTGAACGTCATGAGTCTACTACCGAATTGGGAAACAAGAAACCTCAAACCTGATAAGAACTGGCGAAAAAGGAAAGAAGTTGTATTAATCATTGCTGTATAAATAATGCAATTGTTTTGTTTTCCTTAGGAACCAAGCAAGGATAAAAAAGAGTCTTCAGACCAAAAGGGATCAGAACCTGAACTCGATGACAACAAAATTACACTTTCTTGGTGTAAGTAAATCTTTTTTAATATATTTTTTTCTAATATCAAATTAAATAATTTACATTAAAGTAATAGTTTATATTTAAATGTCAATTATTTGCTTTTATATTAATAAAGAAAACTAAAAAAGCCAAAAGTAACAGTCCTGGTAGACATTGCTCTGACTCTGACCTATTCTGAACATAAAAAAAATTCTAATAACAACCTCCCAACTCTGGCTGTTATTGGGACTCCCTTGACAAATACTCAATAATTGAACTTGGCGCCACCCGGGACTCGAACCCACGGCCTCAGGATCTGACCGCCGTACATGTTACTAAACTATAAATAATACAAATGCTTGTCCGTCTGTCCGCACAGACAACGGCCTCAACCAGTACCTGGATGCCCCAACATGGGGATGACACACCGCCAACTTCCCAACTCGGGGCTGTTACTAGTACTCCCTTGAGAAATACTCAATAATCGAATTTGGCCCGGGAGTCGAACCCACGGCCTTCGATTACTTTACATGTTACCTACTAAACCATAAATAATACAAGTGTCCGTCTTTCTGTCCGCACAGACGACAGCGACCTCAACCAGTACCTGGAGTTGCCAGAGCTGGCGTCGGTGGTGGCGCTGAGCGAAGGCGCCTTCGCGCACGCGTGGGCTGGCGCGCGCGCCTCGCACGGCGTGCTCGATGGGCGCGTATGCTATGAGGTATTATACTGTTATAGAAATTATAATAAATAATAAATTATTATGTTGGAACATTAACACACAGCACCATCTAGTTCCATGGTAAGCTACGAGGCTTGTGTTGTGTATAAAATATACTAGTTGATAGACTACACAATACACATAAATAACTTTAAATACATACATATTATAAATATAATTATGTATTTAAATATTCTTGTCATGTTGTAAAATATTATGTTCGGATTATTCTGCTTGAAATATTGATATTTTTGAGTAAAGAAACAAATTGTTTTTTGATGCCATTAAAGAGAAAATTGCTTTGAATCCAAACATGACTTTTTAGTGTCACAAAAGAAATAATATAATTCATAATCGATTATGTGTATGTTTATTTTGTACGTATGTACTAATTGTGATAAATGTGAATGATTTTTTACAAAAATAACAGTAAAAAAGGTTGTATTTTATAATAAAAGGGTAGTATAGAATTAGTAGTTCTTGTAATGTCCCAAAGACTTCTAAAAGAGGTGTCAGGCCATAATTCAACACGACAGCCAAATAAATGGGGATTTCACGTGTTTTTTTCAAAATTTATTAGATTTTCTTAGCTATGCAGGTGTTTACCTTTATTTATGCTGAATATATTTTACTCATTAAATTTTCATATAAGTAGAACCTTAGTTTTTAAACAAAAACAAGCTCAAGAGAAATTGTAGAGCTACATAAAGATTCATGTTAAAACTTAAAAGTAATAACACAAAATCTGTCATCAAGATGGAGAGAAAAGACTATTTATAAATGCCAAGAATAAAATGTTATTCTTAAAATGAAATATGTACAAATGATTTTGAATTTGGATCTTTTTTAGTTAAAAAGTTAATAACAAAATTATAACTTTTATTTTATTATTCGCAGGTTCGCGTTGGGTCAGTGGTTACAACTACTGAGAGTGCCGAGAAGGAAACCACCGCAAGCGGTCTACGCGTGGGCTGGTCTACTGACGATTCTAATTTACATCTCGGTAAGCATTACTTTAAAATATTCAGTACTGTTTATATGTTGAGGCTTTTTTTTGCAATAATTTGAGTAGTTTGTGTAAACAATTATTTGTGTTATTGCATATGATAATCGAACTTGAATGTCTGGTTATAATGTATCTCAACTAATATTAAAAAGAGGTAAAATTTGTATGTAGAGTTTTCTCGTTGTTAAAAATTCCCGCAAGCTAAATGTTCACGGTGGCGCGGGGTGTTATTTTTATTCTACTTTTTCCGATAAATTCAAAATATACTTTATTCAGATAGACTTTTACGAACACTGTCGAATCGTCAATTTTACGTTTTAAATTTAAATTAAATGTTAGTATGTACGTCGGTCAGGAATCTACCACCGGCTCGCAAGGTAGCTAGTAAGCTGATGAGAAAAGCCAACAACAAACTCAACAGTTCCTTTCTTTTAAAATAATATTGAAATGTGTAACTTTAATTGAAGTGGAAAAAGAACCCGCTGTTTAGTTGCTTTATCAAAGTGCACTGCCCAAATGGTTTGAAATGAACCAATAAGATGGTTGGCAAGAAGACACCTAGTAACATTATAATTCAGTAGTAAGATATAAAAGTATGTTTGTTTGTGAATGTTTATTAGAAAGAGAAATGACTATAAAGTGTATACTGTATGTACACAGGTGAAGGAGAACTTAGCTGGGGCTTCGAGAGCACCGGTAGAGCTGTCAATAACAGTGAGTTCAAGGAATATGGCAAGCAGTTTAGTGAAAAAGATGTCATTGGTGTTTATTTGGTTAGTATTGCCAGTTAAAAAAAATATAATTATCATATATTTGTATTATTTAGAAACATGAGTAAATTATATAAACTCCTTTAAGTAAAGCTATCCTACAAAATATAATATTGTTAATTATTTATTCATTGATTAACAGGATATCTTGTAGGTAGAACAATATTTTGTATTTACTCTTGTACATCTGTAATGTATGAGATCGCAACCAAAATTACAAATGTTACTCATTTTTGTATAGTATACAGCCCTTTTTAACATCCCACTGCTGGGCACGGGCCTCCCTTCAATTTTAGAGGGATCAGGCCATAGTCCGTTTGTAGTTACTCATTTTATTTTTAAGTACATGCTTTTTTGATTCAAAATTGAGTTTTCACAGCCAATATTAGAAAGCATATTTGTAATAAATAAAACTAAATGGTTAACACTTTTATTAAACATTATATAATTTTACTTCAATATTAATGAGATTTATAAGAACTAAACTGAATTGTTCTTTTTGTCTCATATAATCATGTAGTTCTATAACTATAATGTAAAAATAAATTTATATTTTGAACAGGATCTAGAGTCAAATCCATGCAAAATCTCCTACACGCTGAACGGTTTGGAGCTCGGTACTGCCTTCGAGTTCGAGAAGGACAAGTTGCAGGGCAAGATTGTGTATCCGCACATACTCACCAAGAATACTTGCTACCGTGTCAACTTTGGCTATGATAGGTGGGAAAATTTTGCTCTTATTAGTAAAATCTTTAAAATTTTCTAAACTTCTATACAGATAAATAAAATTGAAATGTTCTAGCGGTTCACACTCGCTTCGCTTGGATTCGCTTCTAGAAAAACAAAAACAAATCTATCCCACGGGTTTGTTTTTTAAATTTATAATAGCCTATTTTAAGAAATCAAGCAGTTTGTTTAAAATATTATATCAAAGTCAGTTTAGTAATTAAATTACATCAAAAGACATACGCTTTCGTATTTTAGGACATAATGTATAATTTGAGGTTATTTAAGGTTTGAGCTAATCAGATTAAATTATTTTAGTTTAAAATCCTGTTAGGGGTTTATATTATTGTCACTATTCTCGTTGGTGACAGTGAGACTGAGCAGGGACCGCAAAATGTCGTATTTACTCTCCTACAGATACATTTTGTATGAGATCGCAAGCGGGATTACATGTTATTTGATACAGTCATAAAATATGTATATCTTATGTAATACACATAACATTGTATATGATATATAAATATTCTTAAAAGGAATATCTGTTTTGTAAATTTTTATGATCACAAAATAATAATAAGGGAATTTAGTTTGTATCAAATTCGAAGACAAACAGAAGTACATTTCATTTGTGTTAATTACTTTCGTAATGTGTAGAAAATCCTTTACCTATTTTTGTTTTATAGATACAATATGTTAACAAGAACCAAGATTGTAAGAAAACGTCTTGAAATACCGGTCGAGCAAGTTTTGGAAGAAAAAAGGAAGAGAGAAGAAGAGATAAGGAAGCAAAAAGAAGAGGCGGCGCGTAAAGACAGAGAGAGACGAGACAAAGAAAGAAAAGACAGAGAAGAACGAATGAGAAAGAAGAGAGAGGTATAATTTATTTTATAAATATTATGAACAATTTTTGTTTTCCAACTAAACTTTGATTCTTTAATCCCTTTATGATTTTGGTAGTTTCTTCATACATCTTACATCTTCAGTATAGAACTCGGGTTGGAACTGTGCAAAATTTCTTGCTTTTGAAACCAATGGCTAATGCTGTGATTTAACTAATGGTGATTCAATTATTTAAAATTTTTGATTTTTATTAAGTAGTCAATATTTAAGATTTATTTACCTGGATACAATTTTTTTGATTAAACTAAATTTATAGGAAAGGGAGAGAGAGAGAAAAGAAAAAGAGTCGCAAGAGAAAAAAGATAAAGCAGAAGAAATGGAAGTAGATGCAGATAAGAAAGACAATGAAAAAGAACCAAATGAAAATGAGAAAGAAAAAGAAAAAGATGCCCAGGAAGAAGTTAATAATGCTGCAGAAGAGAAGGAAGCTCCGGCAGAAGAAAAGAAAGAGGAACCTAAAGTAAGTTTAATATATTAAATATCAATAGGAGTTTAATATCTTTGTTATAAAGGTGAGTACTATACGTGTTTTTAAGTACAATAAATGATTTTGTAGAATTTTTAAGCAATATTATCAATCACCTTTCAATTATAATTCATTTCAATGTTTGAGAATTACTGTAATTTAAAAAAGTATTTAAAAAAAAATTAGTTTTTTGTCAGTTCTTCTCTGAGGTATTATCATTTCGAATTTTAATCTTAATTTTATTTTTGAATTTAAATTTTCACTTTATTTCATAATGAGAATCATTTTTGTGTACCGCACTTGTAGTTAGCTTAAGTGGAATATAGAAATTTGGTGCATGTTACGAATTTCATGTACTTATATTAATTTATAATATTATATTTTCTATCAAATTTTATTTCATTAGGAAAATGGTGAAAAGCAAGAAGAACAGGCTGCAGAAGTAAAGACTGAGCCAATGGAGACTGATGAGAAACCAGTCGAAAAGGAGAGCACTGATATTAAAGCGGAACCATGTGAGTATTGTTAGATACTAAACGAAAAGAGCCTGTTAGTTTTATTTTCATGGAAATTTCTATTAATATATACCAGATAGTATCCATATAGTAGTCCAATGTGTTAAGTTTCAAGTGGTAGTTTGATAAAATTTCATATTTCAAAATATTCCTTACTGATTATGCATGTCATTATGGTTTTATGCTTTAGTTGAGCAGTTAATATTTAGTTGATAAATTACTCAGGGTGAGCTGCTGTTTATATAAATATATATAAAATAGAATAAAAACTTAACTTTTTGGTCTGGTTTTGTATGAGTTGTATTTACTAATAATGCATCAATACTTTTATTTCAATAACCTGTCAGGTGTATATTATTTGTCGCTTTATTGGTGACAGTGACACTGAGCAGGGATAATAATATTTCGTATTTACTCTCTTACAGACATATTTTGTATGAGATCGCAAGCGGGATTACATTGACTTGGGATTTTAATATAACTAATAATTGCTTATTTATTTGTAACAAAATTTAGTTTAAATAAACAAAATTAAATTAAGTTGGGATATCAATTTACAAATAAACACCAATGTTAGTTTTACCCAAGTTTTTTTTTTCATTATTTTGATATATTATGTCACTTAATTTTAGTATTATAAATATTTTAAAACTATTGATCCTTCAACAGTCTTAAATATATAGAGTATGTAAAGTAAAATATATATATAATGCAAAGATAACTACTAATTTATCACTGCTTACAGTAATTTAATGACAATTTATATATTTTTAATACATAAAGAATTAATTTGTTTCAGCTGACGAGGTGCAAGAAGTGACAGAGGAAGAAGTTTTGACTGGATATGTCTTGGACAAACGTATAAAATTCGTTATAAGGTTTGTTTTTATTTCAAATATTTATATATCTATACAGGTAAATAAAATTGAAGTGTCTGTTTGTCATGTCAAAATAATATCATTTTATATTAATTGCTTTAACTGTTTTACAGTTAATTGTTTTAACTGTTAGTATGGAATAGGTAGACTATATATTATATAATATGTATATATATGTGTGTGTGTGTGTGTATATATATATATATATATATATATATATGTATGATGATTTGATGTCTGTTTTATTTATATGTGTATGTCTATGTAGTGACATAGATACTACATAGATATTTTACCGCGAGGCTGGAGAGTGCTCCAGTCCTGCTACTCAAACTGTTTCGGCATGAAAGACGGACAAACAAACATTTTTTTAATGATTGATATGTTTATATGTAACTAGCGACTCGCCTTCGCTTCGCTTGGGTTTTTATCCTCATTTTCACCCCCTTAACCCCTTAATTTCCGGGATAAAAAGTATCCTATGTCACTCCCAGGGTCTCAAACTATCTTCCTACCAAATTTCATCTAAATCGGTTCAGTAATTTCGGAGCCTATTTAGTACAAACAAAGAAACGTTTTCTCTTTATAATACTAGTATAGATAAATAACAAAGCTGTATGTATGTGTGTCACCGTGTGACTGCGTCAGGTACACGGTGGAGGAGGAGCTGGACGGCGCGGAGGCGTGCCTGCTGCCCGGCCACGTGCTGCTGGCGGCCGCGCGCGCGCTGCCCGGCCCGCGCCGCCCCGCCGCCCGGCACGACTGCGAGGTACTCATGTCTGGTGTGCATGGTGAGAGTTCCCGGGTTCGAGTCTCGGGTCGGACGGAAACAGTTACTGGGGGTTTTATATTATCATGAAATACTATATAGCAATGTATTCTATTAAATATTTCTACAGAAACAACCGTGTAACAAAAGGCAATATTCTAGGTAGGTTTCGTGTCCATTGTCTTTTGATTGAGACGCGCTCGTTCTGACATTGTCAACAGTTTGAGGCGGAAAAACCGTTAGTCAACAAGCTGCGCGTACATGACTTCCTCGGTGAGCTCTCACGTCTTATGTATTACACTCGCCTAACGAAGGCGTCTAGACAGCACTCATGGAGTCTAGACAGAGTCATACGCATTTTTATATGATAGTGGGGGTACACACATTTTAGGAATGGGACAAAGAATCTGATGTATATGGTCTGGATGACACCGTCACCACGTCGAGGTGGTACAGAAGATATAGAGGGTGTCTCTCTGGAGCCCCGGGCACTTAAATTGGGGCGTTCTGCTCTTGCAGCCCCATACTCACGCACTGTAACGCTCACTAACACTGCCAACACCATATTACATCTTGCATCAGTCGCTGGAACTACCCCAGATTTTCACATTTCACACATTATAGTGGGGGAATGGTCTTAGGGTTGGCAGATGTAACTTTAACTTACCAAGAGATGGCAGGCATATAGCGCTTTTTCAACCTTTCATTCAAACTTAAAAAAATATATTCAGCCTTAAATTATAACAATTTTATATAATAATTATGAACGTCATGGTCTACCATCACTTCCGAATGATAAAGCCTCAATCTTAAATCAGTGGCGAAAGAAACTTAGTGGGATTAAAATTGTTTTTTATTTCTTTTATCATACCTTGTGATCTACACCTTTAGAGCGAGAGGTCCTGGGTTCAAATCCCGGAGCAGGCTTAAATATTTATTGAGTTATTCTCTCATGAAATACTACACTACTCTAAATTGAGTTATTACAGGACTGCTTCCATCAACATCACAGGTCATCGATATCTTGACAGGGTGTATAATACCCTGTCAGGGCCGAGCTCAAAATTGTCAGCCCAGCGTTTTATATATTAAACCAAGTGTCGAATTATTCCGGTGGAGTATAAGCGTGAAAATAACAAAGTACACGTTGTCTCTGGACTGGCCGCCATGGCCAAAATCGGTTAATGTTATAAAAAAAATATTACTCGAAACTCTGTAACTTTCGCTAGTACTCTTGAACGGTTTTGAGTTGTGGAATCAATTTTTTGAATAACAAAACCAATAATCGTGGGGCGGAATACTTATCTATTATAGTAATCTTGTAATAAAGATTTAAAAAATATCAACAATATAAGAATATCTATGAACCACAATTCACTCCAACATAAAACAAGGATGGATCGCCATTTCTAAATCAAACTTCTAATAATAACACATATTTTAAATTTAAAAAGAAATATGTATATATTACTTCTTAAAACTTCAACGCTTCAGTCTTTCCGACTTTTCAAGCGGTTTTCACGGGACAGTTAAGAATAATCTAATTATAATTGATTTAAAAAATGGACCTTAAATATTCAAATAATAATCTTTTACATGACTTATTAAAATTATAGTATAAAATAAATGTTTTAAACGCGTGCAGACCGCAGGCGAATACTAGTCATCAATGTTGTTTTTCAAAGAACGCATTACATTCTTCAGATTCTTAACTTGTTACTGAGCGACACGCGAGGTGCCTTCCAGGCCTGAGTGAGGCGTGGGCGGGTCGATATATGGTATATATCTGTAGAATAACACTCATTTTTTTAAAAGATGGTCAAATTTTATATGCCTTTTTTATCTAACAGACAAGTGTGACATGTATATAGTTTTGATAAATATGTGTGTATAATATAAAAGCTGATCTGGATATCAACAGCGTGGTCACAGACAACAGGAGATACCAAAGAGGATGTCGTAAGCTATTAGGTACTTATTATGAAAATTGATTGAAATTACATATTCTCTCGTATTAAATGCCTCCCTTCATGCTCAGCAGTGGGTCGTTAAAAAGGGCTAAATACATACATATGAATGCTCTTCGCATAGTCCAGTACTTGTCGAATTGTATATATTAATTTGTTGTATTTTATTTCTTCAATCATATTATAGTTGTGAAAATTTATCTGTTTTCACACACACACACACACACTGCTAAACTGATTTTAATAAAATTTGGAGAAAAAAATAACTTGTATTTTGGCGACAAGATTTGCCTTTATTTTATGTAGGTTAGTAAAGAAAAATTTCTGTTATAGGAAATTATTATGTGAAAATTAAAACAAAGTACAAAAGGGATAGCTCGGCTATATGTCATTTTTAAATTTATCTGTTTCCTTAGTTTTGGAATTAAGTGTGTACAGGGTACAATTAATCGTGTGATAAATCTGATTTATTTTAATCATAAGTCTAAAAAATCAACTTACTAATAAATGATAAACTATATTTTTTTTATTTAAGGCGGACAAAGTCGCGGGCTCTAACTAGCAATAATATCCATTTTTTTCTATCAATTTAATATCGACCTCTATTGTCTGAAGATAAATTGCAAAAAAAACTATACTTTAAATGATGATAATGATACACCTCATTTGCTTTATATTTTGTATTATTATACTTTTTAAATATACACAAAAAAATCATAGACAAATATAAAATACTCACTTTCAAAACCACTAAAACGATTTCGTTGCGAATTTCACTAATATAGATTAGAAAAAAAAAAAAAATGTAATATTATATATATTTATTAACATTTGAAAATGTTTTTGACGTGAAGGTCATCCTCATGGTCGGCATGCCCGGCGCCGGCAAGACTTACTGGGCAAAGAAACACTGCGAAGAGCACCCCGAGCGCAGATACAATATCCTCTCCACGGGCGCCATCTTTGACAAGATGAAGGTAAGCACAGACACAAACATACACACACACACACACAAACACACATACATACATAAAAATGAAAAGGATGAAATAATACATTTCAAAACGTTTCAATATCAATCTTAACACAATACACACAAGATTTTGATAGTTTGAGCAATAACGTTTTGGTTATAAAGCCAACATAAAAGGTCTTTGAGATATTTTGGCCGGTTGTGTTTTTAAATTAAAGCATAGGGTATGCACGATTTTCTAAATAATTTGTGGAATATAAAACTGTATACCGCAAGTTATGATCAGAAGTGGTTGATATTTTTGAGTAGTTGTCAAAAAAATATCTTTTTTTTTTTTTAAATATTGTTACAGTTGTGTATTAAAGAGCATTCGTGCATACCTAGTGTTATCTCATAGGTGTAATTATTATTAATGAAAATGTCTTTTTAAAGAGAATTATGAATGCTTGCAATGAAAGAGATTTGTTATGAATAACGGTGTGCTTGTTTTTTTTTTTGTTTTCTAACATCAAAATATTTCAAAGATACTTTTTTGTAATAATCAGTCGATGAAAAGAACATTTACACACACACATACACAACAAACACAACACATGAATAATGAAAACGTTCTCTTTCAGCGTATGAGGTTTGGAAAACAAATTTAAAAAAAAAGCAACTATATATGAAAAGCAACAAACGCATCTGTACTGAATACTAATGTTAGTGTGTATTTTCAACAGGGTTCATATGAGCAACTTATTATCAAATATTATTATTGACCCTCGAGGTCCATTTATAAATGGTTTGTCGACGACGAAGACGACGATATCGACACGCCATGGACTATCTGGTATCGATCAAACAATTAAACCTAGGTTAAGTTAGTGTTTAAGTAAATTAGGGTAAGAACCGCGGCCACGCACTGTATGTACCTGCAATGTAATCCCAGGTGGACTGTAAGCCCTTCCGATCCAGCTTCGAGGGCAAGTGGGACGCCATGGTTTCCAAATGCGCCAAATGCGTGCTTAAATTGTTGGAAATCGCAAAGGGAAGGCGCCGGAATTATATACTGGACCAGGTGAGACTCATTTGCTTTGTTTATTTGAAACAAGAAACAAAAAAGAAAACACAATTTTCTTGGGGCAGCACACTTATATCAGGAACAATCGAGATCGCTATACCGATAATGTTTGATGTCGTCTGGATAACAGATTGGATGTTTGGCGAAGTGTTACACTATTACGTTATTCTGTCTGTCCGTAGTCGTATAATGTTATATGTACTGTTCTATATGTCCGATGATTTCATTATTGTATTTGTTATACGTGTATGTATATTATGTGTGTATTAATATATTTTCTATCTAGCGAGTGAGTGCGGTGAGGGTAAGTATGACGAGATCGGGAGCGCAACGTATCGGTGAGTATACCACAGTAGCTTTGCCAAACGACATACGCGTAAGGGGATCTCTATTGAGCTTGTTCTAGGTGTTATGCCCGATACGATAGCATATTTAAAGGCAATGTTTTCGATATATCGGGGTGTAGACGAACGTGTATCCGTCGGCGCAAAGGAGGAAGCTAAAAGAATTCGATGGATATAGAAGGGTAGCTGTATGCGTGGTGGTCGCGGACGCGGTGCAGCGCGAGCGCTCCAGCACACGCGAGGCGGCCGATGGGAAGGAGGTTCCGGACCCAGCCGTGCTGGACATGAAAGGTCTGCTCGATGGTCAAGTGGAAACGGAATAATATATATCTATATATACGATAGGCACTGTACGCACCGGTGTCCGTCGCTTTGTATATTCTATAGGCTGACTGCGTCTGGTCCATCGCAATGTAGAGTAGCTTGAAGTTTTGTTAGTCTTAAGTCTATATTATGATACAAAGTGATGGTCACGTACTATTAAATTTCCATTTGCAAGATTATTAAATAAATAATTATTTCGCTTCCGCTCTTCATACCGGGAACGTTTATATCGAGTCCCTCTAGGATCATAATAAATATTATATTAGGGATAAAACAGATCTAAAAACGTGTAATCTAATGCGTAATTATCTTTCACAGCCAACTTCAGTCTGCCTGAGGTCAGTTCGTGGTTAGACGAGGTGATATACCCGGAACTGCCAGAGGATGAGGCGAAGAAGGTGGTAGAGGGCTACCATCAAGAGGCGGCCGCGGCTGGTGCTGTGAGGGAGAAGGACAAGAGGTCGAGGTCGGCCTCCAGAGGTCGGGACGGACCTCCAATGAAGAGGCAGAGGTCGCAGGATAGGGATAGACGAGGAGATTACAGACGACGCGATCATCCTAGAGATAGAGGTTGGTTATAACATATGGTTTGCCTTTGAAGAAACTATATTTTTGATTGTATAGGCATTTAATTATTTTTTATTTTACTTAACAAATATGAAAAGGCGAGCTTTTTTAATATTACACATAGTAAATCAACGTGCACAAGATCATGTCTTCGTTTGAATCGTAGAATGGCAAATATTTGTATGACCAATACAAAAATCATGCATTGCCAAAAGTCATGGTTTCTGGAGAACGAATTTTATAGCCCTCATATTGTTATATTAATATTTACGTAGAGTGATTAAAATTTGTAATTTGTGATGTGGTGTTAACTCATCAAAAGGATTTTTATATAAAGGACGTTGAATTTGAAGATTTTATTTATAAGAATATATTGACTGACGACATGTTTAGGTCAGTTTGTAGTGACCCTACTTGCTGTGTCGGGGGTCGCGGGTTCGAGTCCCGCTAAAGGGATTTATTTGTGTGATGGCCACGAAAGTTTGTACTCTAGTCATGGGTGTTTATATTTATAATATGTATGTATCTAGAGTTATATATGTGTAGTGTATCAACTATCTGGTATCCATAACAAGAGCCTCGTAGGTTACCATGGAACTAGATGGTGCTGTGTGTTAATAACTCAACATATTTATTATTATTGAAATACTACACCTATCTAGATAGACGGAGAATCGAAGGTCAAATAGTCACAAATGTGTCATTAATCCTCAAACCCGCAGAGGACAGATGGGGCGGCGGCGGCGGCGGCGGCGGCGGCGGCGGTGGCGGCAGTCGCTGGGCGGCGGGCGGCGCGCGCGGGCGCTGGGGCCGCGAGCGCGGCGGCATGGCGCCGGGCCCGCGCTTCGACCGCGGCTGGGGCGCTCCGCCCGGACGGTTGGTCATCCTGTCTCTCTCTAATTCTATTTCCCTCTCTCTCTCTCGCGCAATCTCTTTCTATCTTTGTTCTCACTTTATACTAGTAATGTAGTTGACTTTTTATTTGTTGTGCAAAATTATACAGAAGGAGATTCTGATAAGTATATTGCAAATATAAGTGTACATCCCTAGGTACGTTTTGACGGTTAGTATGAAATAGAAATGTTTAAATTTCTTTGTTATTCTGTACTATAATATGCATGTATTATACAATTAAACCTTCCTCTTCAATCACTCTATCTATTAAAAGAACCGCATCAAAATCCGTATTTAAGTATACACAGACAGTCTATCTATGCATAGGGACAGACAGACAGCGGGAAGCGACTTTTTTTTATACTATGTAGTGATTAATTATAAAAAAGGTGACTGTTTAGGTGTAATGTATTATTTTTATTTCAATATTGAATCTTATACATATATTAAATCTTACATGTACATATGTATATCATCAAATTAGTTATGTAAATCACAATAAACACAATTAACAATTTGAAGTTTCTCATAATACTCATATTTATCTAAAATGGGAAATTATAAACTAAATAGAAACAAAACACTTAAGTAAATAAAAGTCACGCAATAAAATTATAAACATACATTTTATGAGTGGTATTGACAACTTATGACTATCACCAATACTAATAAACTTTAACTAACTATATATTTTAACCCTTTTCATTAAAGCACTAATTATTTTATGAAACAGGAACGACTACTCTCACTCTCGCGAACGCGACAACTTCCGCGGCGGTCGCGGAGGCCCCGCACCCCGGCAGGACAGGGGGCCCCTTATCGGGGGTCCCACCGGCCCCGGCGGGCCAGGCCCCAACATGGGCCCCCGAGGCCCCAACGACCGGTTCCAGAGAGACAATAGGCCGAATAGGGCTCCTCATCAGGGTGATAAACGGCCGCCGCCGCAAGGTGGGTTGTTTTGTTCTCGTAAAATCAAATAATAAATATATATTATTGAAGTGAACTTTTACAAGTCTTTTTATATGGTTAATTTTTACATTTATATTTGTCTGTATCGTTTAGTCTTTAAAGAATTTATAGTGCTTAATCAAGGGCTTACACTAATACCAGCATTGCCCGCGGCTCCGCCCGCGTTCAGATGACCAAAAACCAAATTCGTAGGTTTTACATATCATTATACTCTTACAATGCAGTTTTTGTAATTTTTTCTCAGAAATGAGATATTTTCCCGCAATAAAAAGTATCCTATATGTTGACCCAGATAACCAGCTATCATCATACCTAATTTTATCAAAATCCGTCCAATGGTTTTTCAGTGGTGCGGTAACAGACAGATAAAAATTCTAAAAACTAGATTCGGCCTCTGTATCGATAATAATGTCTATTTCAATAAGATTTTCCAAAAAATATTTCATGTACAGATTCGGCTTAGTTACAATTTTATTATATCATGTATAGATTATTTCACTGCTAAAAGATGTAGCATGATGTAAGTTATCTTTCATTAATGATGATGATGTTCTCCTGACCGATTCCGGCCACGGCGGCCAATCTCATTGTGACGAGCCAACTGCGCAGGAGATATTATAGTGCACAAGTGTACACGCAGACACAAGTGCACTCTCTGTTCCTGTCACTCTCATACTCCAGTGGGACGACCACTCGACACGACCAGTGAGAGTGTCGGCGCAGGACCGACGGCTTTACGTGCTCTCCGAGGCACGGGGGTGAAACACCGCCAACTTTCCCAACTCCGGCTGTTACTGAGACTTACTATACAGAAAGACTCAATAACTAAACTTGGCCCGTCCCGGGACTCGAACCCAGGACCTCCGGGTGTGCAGCCGTACATGCTAGCCACTTCACCACCGAGGCAGTAAAAGTTTTTTTTTTTTCATTAATATTACCTATACGAGTACTTACAAATCTCTGAATCTTCTTATGGATTTTAGGTATCTATATAACTTTGAAAATAGAACCTCAATATGGATCAAACTTAATGAATTATAATTGAATATGATTTTCAACCATGGAGCGTTCATTAGTAATATTAATTCTATCTACATTTGTACTAATATTTACTACTATTTGTTATATTAGCAGTCGGCAACCAGGGCAGTGCCGGTACATGGCAACGCGGTTCCAGCGGCCAGCAAACACCGCGCGGGCCCAGACCCAACCAGCAGCTGGCCAGGCAGGGACAGGGTCAAGGACAGGTATGGGATATGACTTGTTTGTGTTGCCTGTTTTGTTTTACTAAAAGGAATCAAGTTAAACGATATCTTCTATGGTATAACTAAATAAAACTATCTTTTCTCGAAGAGACTCTCGTGAACACGATTGCTGTAAAGCATTCGAAACGTCGGGAATCAAAAATCAAAATAAATCTGCGAATTAATCCGAAAATATATTTTATTTAAAATGTCAAATACTCGCGTAAATCTAATACTTTCTTAAAGTATTGTATAACTAATTTTTTTTATTCCTTTATACCGTATAAAGAAATGAAAACAACTATTGAGATATGGTACATACTATATTTACATGTAGTATTTTACAAAGATAAAATAAATATTACATAATAACATATTATTATTAACAAAAACTCGTATATTGAAATTTATTTCTTACCCTTTTTTTGTTCTCCAAACTTGTACATTTTTATAAAAATATATATGTATGTATTAAATTTTACAATGTTACAATTAATTAGCTCTTAATTATTTATGTTGAAACTATTGAATTATTCTTTGAATCAAAGCAGAAAATAAAATTATTGAGTAACACCCAGGATGGACAAAACCAAACTATGAACCAGAACCAGAATCAAAACCCAAACCAAAACCAGAATCAGAATCAAAACCAGAATTCGAACCAGAACCAAAGCTGGAACCAGTGGGCCGGCGGCTGGGGAGGTTGGGGTAATTGGAACAACCAGAATCAAGGTATGTTCTAGTTATAGCATGGTTTTTAATATATATATGTAGGTAATTCACTATATGATATTTAAGAAATACGTCAAGTTGTAGTTACTAATATATTATATTATTTATTATGTAAGCAATAATCTTTTGATCTTATTATTTTATTTTATTTATTTTTTATTTATTTATTAGACCACCAACAAAGTACAAACTAATCACATTATAACATATATTACATATATACATTAATTATAGGTGATAACGACATTTAAAAAGTAGTACAATGTAATGGCAAAACAAGATTTAGAATATCAAAAAAGAAACATAAAGATTCACAATGTTACAGCTTACAAATAAAAATAAGTTTATAAAAATAATAACAGCTAAAAATATTATTAACAGGTTATGAAAGATCTAAATGAAATAGATATATTCACATACACACATATACATAGACATACATATTCACTTGTATCTACATAAGCGATTATTTAATATAACATGACGCTATGAGTGCAACAATCTTTTTTTTTAAACTAGATAAGCTATCATTAAATATATCAATGTCCTTATTCCTGCTAATTAAACTAAAGAATCTCATAATTCTATTAAGAGGTGAGTTATACCCCAAATTGGAGTAAGTAGCATTTGTTACGAAGAACGCTCGTTTATCTGAACGTAGGCACTTAGAAGGCGCTGAAATTTGGACATGTTTAAGTAGTTGTGGGCAGTCCAGAGTACCATTCACTAGTTTGTATAGGAACAAAGTATCGAGCAAGCATCTCCGGTTAGCTAAAGTGTCAATTCCGAAATGCGATAAATATAAATATACTTTCATTTATTATGTGTAAATAAAAAAAAAATAAGAAAAATATGTTTCGATGTTATAAATGAATTAATTTTCTTAAAGATAAACTTTTATTTTCTTTATATACAAATTGTTACCTTTAAGTGAATTTCATGCATGAATGCATGTTATGTTCGGCATTGGAAGTTAAGAAAATATATAAGACTTGCACATAAAAAAGTTGAAATACACTTAAAATTATTTAATTAAAACAATTACGATTTAATATTTGGTGGTGTTACTTATAAACATAATCAAACACTCAATTTTCCAGCAGGCTGGAACAACTGGAACAACTGGGGCGGGTGGGGCAACCAGCAGCAGCAGGGCGGTGGCGGCGGCGGCGGCGGTGGCGGCAACAGTGGTGGCGCTGGCGGCCAGCAGGGCGGCAACAAGCAGCAGCAACAGCAGCAGCAGTGGCCCAACTACACCGCGCAGCAGTGGTACCAGTGGCAGCAGTGGCAGCAGCAGCAACAGGGCTGGCAGGGGGTGTGTATTGTGTATTGGTTTCTTTGTTTAAGTATGAACACGTTTGTGCGGTTACTTTATTTACTCGTTGCCATGGTAACATGTGGCAGTAGTTTTTAGCTTTTTTTTGACATTGTATTTTTTTAAACTAAAGATGGTTTTTATAATTTATTAGGCAATTGATATGATGTAACTTATATGTTGTTTCATATGAAATACTTTTCATTTGGAATGCTCATGGGTGAAAGGTGATTGTGGGATCTTTTGTATCTAGATAAAACTTTATTTAGAATTTATTCACGATATTACCGTGAACGTGAGAAATCAAAAATCTAAGCAAAATCTGGTACAAAAATAGTATTTTAAATCCAAATATCTTATTATGCTCACTTTGCTCAGTTGTGTGTATACAGCATTACTCCAGATCATATATAGAGTATATACGTGTACTAAATTTAATCCATTTCCGTTCATCTATTTGAGCGTGAAGAATTAACAAGCACTTACACTATGGCTTTTCAACATATCTTAGTTGTAAATGTTTTAACTGTCTCTTGGAGGTCCTGGGTTCGAGTCTCGGTTCGGGCCAAGTTCAGTTATTGAGTGTCTCTGTCAAGTAACTCTCAGTAACAGTCTGGAGATGGATGAAAAATTCGCGGTATTTCAACTCTGGTCTCGCACCGGTCGTGTCGAATTGTCATCCTACCGGAGTATGAGAGTGCACGTTGTGTCTGCGCGTACACTGTGCACTGTAATATCTCCTGCGCAGTTGGCTCTTGGTCTCAGTGATTAGCCGAAGCCTATCAGGAGGACATTACTTATTGTAAATGTAATTATTTGACAAGTACAAGCAACACAACGAATGCTTCCAGTACAACCCTCAACAGCAGCCGCCGCCGCAGCAGCAGGGCTCGCAGCAGGGCGGTGCTAATGCCGCCGACGCCGCGCAGGCCTGGGCTCAGTACTACCAGGTAACACATTAAACAATCAGTACAATACTAAACTAAAAACTTAACTGAAATAAATATTAATTATTTAGATAGGTATGACAAACATGATTTATTAATATCCATACTTAATATTATAAATGTGAAAGTGTGTTTGTTTGTTTGTCCTTCTTTCACGTCGAAACGGAGTGACGGATTGGCGTGATTTTTTGTGTGGAGATAGTTGGAGGACTGGAGAGCGACATAGGCTACTTTTCACCGCGAGAGATTATCTCATTCCCACGGGAAAACACGTTATAATACAACCCAAAAAAATATGTATGGTTAGAATTACTTGAAACTTACGCTCTTCAATAAAATTAAATAAATACATGTTTTAACATTTTTCGAAATTCATCCTTTAAGGGGGTAAAATAGGGGATGAAAGTTTGTATGAAACTACATTTTTAGAGATTTTTTGTAGTTTTAGCGCGAGCGGAGCCGCGGGTTCTGCTAGTTAAATATAAGATTAGATTTTTCCTTCGTGTCTTCTCCATTCTACGTGACATTGGCGAAGTAATCTGTGCTCAACTGGCACACTTTGAAGCCATTACAAGAGAAAAGATTTGGAGATTAGATTTTTAGTCGCTTTCAAATAATTGAGTTGGATGTACTTTATTTTAAATATCAATTTACAAGCACTTTTGAATTGTCAAAACGTCGTCAATTTTTTCTGCATTTTATTAGATTTTCTTAGACTCAGATTATTCTAGCACTCGGGCTGACGTCCATTGTTACTGTGTAGTTGAGTCACACCCGGTCTTCTGGGGCTTTTCAAAGGAATTTATCGAAGTCAATAATTACACCCTAGTTTGTCACACTAACCTTCGTTTATGTGACAGGATAGAACGTGTGTAACACTCAAATCTTAACCAATTTCCATAATCCATGAAATGGTTCTTTTATGTATAATATTCTTTACAATAATGTGATATCATAAAAATAACTTCTTGCTCCTGTAATAATTCTTCAGGAATCTCGCGATTGTTAAACGACGCACGAAGAGCTTGTTCAACTTACCACCTGTTATAGCCAATATCCATTATGTTTTGAACACTGGATTCAAAAAGTGATCCTACGATGTCATTAATACTAAAATAAATATTAAAATAACACAGACTCTCCGAAGAAGCTTTAACATACATTCTGATACCCATTCGCTATCAAACTCAATATTTATTTGCACAACATTCAATTGTAACATATTAAAATTTTATTTTTTTATTTAACAGAGCTACGGTGGAGCGAACATGGGCAACACGAACTCGAACACGGCGATTGATAAGAAGTGATTTTCGGACACACACAGGCACACGCACACGCAACACCCATAACCTAATTATATGACTATACCATCTGATTGCTGGCGATTATTGTATTAACGATTTCCCTGTCCCATGAGTCATATATGAACATTTCGATTGTTTAACTATTGTGACTATTTTGTGGACAATTAAGTTGTTAATATATAGTTGTATTAAGTATAGAAAACTATACCATAGATTATATTATGTTAGTAACGAGACGTATTCTAAAATGCAAGGAAATAGGTTTTTATATGATCGTGTGGAAGAATGACCTTTTTTTTTGTTTGTTTGTTTGTTTTTTTTTTTTTTGTACTCGGAAAATATTATATTACACTACAAGAATATTTCAGTGCAATCTGTATACTTATTTAGTTTGGAGGGTAGTTTGTGTGTGCGGCGTCGGGCGGCAGCAGTAGTATGCGCAAACGTTTTGTTTTAATATCCACGCTGTCGCCATTGTCGTGTGCCACCATTTTTTTATAATTTGGGTAAGGATATAATTTTAAGTCTTAGTTAGTTTCCAACATTTATGTCAAAACGATTAAATCATATAGGGACGTATTTTTATATTGAATGTAGCACTCGGCACGATTGTGTTTCGTTTTATTGGTAACACGACGGACGTAGAGACAAAGTCGCGTTGAAAATGCTTTGGATAAGTTTTTATATAGATTATATTTGAACTTTGCACGTATTTTTAAGTCATTCGACTAGACTTTGTTCTGAAGCGTTCGTTGTAACATTGTAAATAACACTTGAAAGCAGACCTTAATTCGGTGAACCTACTAGGTGTTGCATTTTAAACTTAGTGTAAGTGAGTTTAGTAACGAGTGAGTGAAGTGAAGCGACGCTTCGTGTGTACAAACTGTTTATTTCATTGCATTGAATGTTTTAAATGAATTGATTTTCTTTTTGATGATTAAATAGTCTTAAGGAACGTTTGTTGTTTTATTTTCTTCCTGCTGCTTTCATATCAATTTGTTTGAATTGTCAAAGTTAAATAAAAAATTATGTTTTTTGTATAAAATTACAATGCATAATATGAATTTTATTCTTTGAAAACCTTTTGTTTTTGCATCTTAATGACTATATTAATGTTTATAGCAAAAGTTAAAATTTTATTGACTATATTTTATTAAAGAAAGAACCGTATGATAACTAAATCAGAATAATTTCGCATAAGTTATTTGGCGGTCAATCAAATAAATTGCATCCTCCACGTATAACCTTACTTTTGACTGTACTGTGACTGTATAATTACCTTTTATTCTTTTGGGCGTTATTAGTCTTATAAAAAAGGCCTCGCCGTCAGAGACTTGAATTTAGTAGCTTGTAACACATACTATATTAGTACAGATGCCCAATGTCAGAAATTGGACAGGGCTAATGTTATTTATCTGTGAACCGAAGTACATAATATGTTAAATATGTATTGGAAAATTAATCCCGCATTTAATTAAATATATTGACCGTGACTGATGGTTTTTAAACGTGTTAACTACTGTTTAAGTTGTAAACACGTGTTAAAAGCGCAATCTGTGAATGTACAAACTTGATTAGTGATTTATTTTAATGATCAGGCAAATTTGATTAGAGTCCATTATTTTATTAAACTTCACTTATGAGTTTTAAAATGTAGCTTTTTGGGATCCATTTTTTATTTTTATAAAAAAAAACATGAAATCAATACATATAATGCCATCTATTGACATTTATTTGAAATAATAAGTCTTTGTTCTGGATGAGAATTGAGACCACTTACTCGGTGTATCTTGACGAGAGTGTAGAACATTACCTTATCGAATCTTCAGATCTAGCCACAATATTATAGTATATTTATTTGTATATTTTTTCTCAATCCGTTCCGTCCGTTAAACATCCGTTATAGCGTGAATAAAAAAGCTTATACACATACAAACTTTTATATTTATAATAGTATCATTAAAACTAACAATTTTACTATTATTTTATCGAACATATTTTTTTTTACTACCATAAGATAACTTTTATAGGTAGGTATATTATAGCAGAACCCGCAGCTTCGCCCGCGTTCAATCTACAAAAAAAAACTCTTGCTTTATGTTATTTAACAACTCACCCGCTTTACTCTGATTAGTCGCTATGTATTTATATAATATTATTTGGATATTGTTCATACAAAAATACTAAAATCGCGATAAAAAAATGGGGGGTGGGGGTAGGAGGGTGAAAAATTACTTTACGACCTATTCTCATACCTACCATATATATAAATAAAAATTATTAAAATCGGTCGAGCCGTTTCGTAGGAGTGCGACCACAAACACCGTGACACGAAATATTTATATATTAGAAGATTATCAATTTTTTAGATCAAAATTTAGATAAGGAATAAAACCACCACAACTTGTTTGCACTTTTTTATTTGTTCAAAAATTCTATTGTCAATATATATTTTTATTTGACAATATTGTGAAAAACCCTTTAAATATTACGAGTCGACGCAAGAATGACACTCGACGAGTCATCCCGGCATCGAGTGGAATAATATTATGTAACAGTTAACCTACCCTATATTAGTTCGTTACAACATCCTTCAATAGTAGAATATATTAAAAAATAGAGATTTTTACTCCACACTTAGTAACATCAAAATTGAAAAGTCAACATTTTACAACATATTTAATGTAAAACTAAGCTTTTAAACGTTCGTTTTTCCAATCGACACGACATAAAACAATTTAAATTCTTAAAAAACACTTGTAAGAGCACATGATTTTGTAAAACAACAGCGCCAATATAAAATGGTCCGTTTCCTATTGCTGAAGTTCACTTATAATAATTTTAATTTATCGAATCGACAATATGTACACTTTATAGAACCCTAACCATACTTCCTTCATTCAAAGCTAGTTATTACTAATAATAAAAAAGTTCAACCCACAAGGTACTAAAGTGCACACATTGCTTCGACCTATAACTAACATATAAAATTAATTACTTAATCAAAAGTAAATGCAGACATAAATTTATAATCTAAAAAGATTCCATTCAAGAACGAATGGACGACAAAAATATTTATATTTTTAATAAACATTTGCTTTTAAATAAAAAAATCTATATTTTTGTCTTTTCTAAATTAAACCTAAACACATGGTTTAGTGCAAATTTATATAAAAACAATCACATAAGAAACTCAAAAGTTGTTCAGAATATGTTGAAATTTACAATATGAAGTTACTTTTTAACGTCGAATCATTCATTCACTCCAGTCAAATCTGTTCTATGGAAAGATAACTTATATGTACAAAGGTCTTCGACCGATTGAAGGCCGTTTAGGCGGTAAATGTGTTAAGTTGTTTTACATCAATTGTTGTAAATATGAAGTACAATACAAATCTTTGGTTTATAACTGACCTAATTTTGTTATCTTAATGAATTTAGTGCTGAATCTAATCATAAATATTACAGCTTTTACTGTTACTAAACATAGTACTCATAGAGAAGGCAAGTTGGATACGTTAGACTATAATTAAATATCTAAAAAAATGCAATATCAAAAAAAAACTCTTGTTAATTTACAAAAAAAAATACCATATTTTATTACGATTGTAATAATAGGTATTAATTTTTTTAAATCACTTCTAGTAAACAAATGGTGAATTTCTTTTGTGTTTGGACGCAACTACAGACAAATAGGTTACTGGGAACCGTCGGAAGAAAAAAATGATGACGGACATCACTATAAAGAAAATAAATCATCTGATAAAAAAAAATCTGTTAAGATTTTTTACAATTCTATAAGGCATTGTTTTTATTATTATACTTCTAATCGAGGTATTAAAATACCATTTTAGGCTTCCATTAATGTTTTTTCAATGAGCTCCATCTTATACTTTTATTTTGAAACACGGCACACAACAGTGAAATTAATATGAAAAAAGATAACTCTTTTACTCCATGTTCACTTCCTTCACATCCTCTTACGGACGTTAGCAGAATAAAATTCGCTATAATTAAAATGTATGTTGGAGATTTGCATAATTTTACTTTACAAATATTTTTTGAGATATATTTGTTGATGTAATATTAGCTCTATCCCATCAGTTAAAAACGTGAACTCAAGCCATCACTAAACCACAATTATAATTTGTAGTTCCCAGTAGAAAGTGGTTTTAAAAAATAAATAAAACCAGTCATTCCTATACAACGTAACTTATATAAAAAAAACCTTAATTATGTTAAAAAAAATGAATCCTATTAAAAAAAAGATGACCTCCTTTGTGATTTTGAAAATTGCAAATAAAAATACAGTCAAAAAGAAAAACTCAAAACAGTACTACAAAAACTATTACTATAGCTAGATATAATATAAAACGTTATTAATTCATAACAATGGCGAAATGTGGCACATATATATATATACGAGAATTTATTTAAATGGTGGATGAAAATACTCGAATTTAAGTTATATTTTTGAATTAAATTATCTACTATTATCTCCAAATAAAATATAAAAAAAACGCCATCCGCCATTTTGCTTTACAAAATATTATAATATATCCGATACTTGAAAAATTTGACGTTTTTCATCTAGATAACATAAAAAATTGAGGCCCCATATAGTATTGAAGATTATTTTATATTTTTTTATCACTTTAAAAAAAAAGAAATTTATTTATCTGTAATTTTATTGATTTTAATTTATAATGCAATGTTTCTATTTGAAAAACGTCTTTTAAAAAATTCTTTGGCGCATTGTCAAGTAAATAACAATAAAATCTATTCGTATTCTAAAACTAATTTGTTTTTAATTCGTGAATTAAATTTTAAGATAGAATATTTTTTGTGGGTGATTGGCTATCGGGAAGAATTAATATTACCGTAAAAATTACATAAATATTTATTGTTTGAACGGACTTATTATTATGTTAACATCACATGAACTCTACAATAAAATAATAAAAAAGTCTTTGAATAATTCAATGAATAATTTAAAAAAATATAAAAACAGTATTTTAAAAAGGGCGCGAAATCGATTGAAAAATTTAAAGACTACTACAATGAAGATTATCGTAAATAGAAGACCCTTCCGTCTGTAACGTCTACATAGTATCTTAGATATTTAATAAATTTACTAATCTTAAATTATTAAGGTATACATTTTATTTATACTTCAAACCTCTACTGTCATGGCACTTTAGTTTATCAAGAAATACTTACAAACGACTGCGCTTAATTTTATTAAAAAAATCTTTTAATATTTTATTGGAATGAAGAAATTAAAAAGTGAATATACCGTTTTTTATAACATTTAGACTAAGGAATAATCTAGACAGAGTGTTATAGTACTAAACATGTGGCCAATAAAATTATAATTATGTTTTAAAGTAATTTACATTAATGATGATTTGTTTACTGATTCTTTTAAGAAAAAAGCCTTATTATTTCAAGAAAAGAAACGATCCATATGGCAAAATCGAGAATAGTAACATAAACAGCAAATTAAGCTGCTATTTTGACTTTTAACATTTATTTTGGCGGACTCCGCCTATATAATTCTTTAGTCTGAACATTTAGATAATTTAATAGGAGGATAAAATAAAAATCGAGAAAAAAAAGTAAAAATATATCCTACAACTATAAAGCCTATACATAATCTAGTACAAATTAAAATAATTTAGCCAAAACACTAAAATGGAATTAGTTGATATTTCAAGGAGTTTTATTTCATAAATCTAAAAAAAATAATTAAAAAAAATCGAGATTAAAACAAAACTGAGATTTATTAAAACAAATACAACAACTGGGCAACATTATCACGCACACCATGACGTTTATCTATTAGAAAAATCACAACGGACGGAACCCTAATTCTACGTATATATTATACCCTAAATGAATGAATTTAATTTAGAAATTTTATCAAAGTTGATGGATATATATAATGAAGAGGACTAACAGCTATCACCAGAGTGCACTGCGAGTGAGAATAGATTAATATTTTTTTTTAAGTTATGGATGCATAATATGCATATTTTAAATTCAAAGTTATGCTGTTTATAAAATTAAAAAAAAAGGTGCATAATTTTATTTTAAAGCAGTTTCAATAAATAAAGTAGTTTTATTTTAAATATGTGCACATATTTAATATATATATATATATATATATATATATATATATATATATATATATATATATTTAATATATATATAAAGTCCCAATACTTTTAAATAATAATAAATATCCTTCGATATCTAAGACAATGAGCCATCTAAGTGATGTAGCGTCTTAAATAAAACTTATTTTATTGTTTGGCAGATTTATTTCGATTGCCGGATTCAGTCTTTCCCGTCACCACGATTGCTGTAAAGCATTCGAAACGTCGGGAACCAAAAATCAAAATAAATCCGCGAAACAATCCAAAAAGATAGTTTTATTTAAAATGTCAAATATTTGCGTAAATCTAAGAAAGTGTGATGTAGCATCGTTACTCGTTAGTGACACCTATTAAGATGGGTGGTCATTTAAAGTTATCTTGCAGTTATATAATTGGACTAAAAAGCATTTTCTAATATGAAACAAATCGTGTTTTAAATATTTCTCGTCAATATGAAGCAATTCTGGTCAATTAGCCCTCAAAGAAGTGGTTTATTCGAGGTATGGGTGTGGCAATAGCAAAAATGCAAACACTATTTAATTTTTAGGAACTTGGAAAATCACTTTATTGAGCATTCGTTTTTAGCTATTAAAGTATTGCTTATTGAAATGATTAAATGGTACAAATCTAATATGACATTTAACAATAAAGGAGCCATTCAAGTATTACGTAAAGCAGAATTTTGTATTCAGCCCTTTTTAACGTCCCACTGCTGGGTGTGGGCCTCCCTTCAATACGAGGGGGATCAGACCATCGTCCACCACGCTGGCCGAATGCGGGCGGACTGAGCATGTCTTTCAAAAACTTGCTAGGTTCTCTCAGACATGCAGGTTTCCTCACGATGTTTTCCTTCACCGTAGGGCAAGTGGTAATCATGTTGGAAATGATTCGTACATGAAAATATTAGAGGTGCGAGACCCGGAATATGAACCAGCTTCACTCGGTTTCCCAAGCGAGCGCGTTATCACTGGGCTACCACTGTCCAATGCTCAAAGCCCAAAGCAGAATTTCAGAATTTTAGTACCAGCAGCACCATCCCCCCCCCCCCCTCCACCTTATATAATAATCAAAAATAAGCATAGCAAAGACCCCCGCCCCCCTTTGATGTTTACGTAAAACTTGAATGGCCCCAAAGCCTAAATTTAAATTTATTTAAAATCGCTCTTAAATAGTTTTGCAAAATTAGCAAAATATTTCATCGCAAAGCTCGAGTGTCTCCGTTTAAATTAGTCAAAAATGTCATTATGTAAAATTATGTTTAGAAATATATTTTATTTCATTACACATTTTGATTATATGCCGCACAATTTTAGAATATTTTATAAGATTTTGTACCTAATATTAAAAAATTGCAACTTCATTGCATTTAAATAACGAGATAAACCTGTAGTGTTGCCAGGTAATATAAATATTTTCTAGTGTTTTCACACACAATTCTACAAGAATCACCTAAAAACATTTATATACGTATCATAAGATATAGTTTCGAACAAGAGTCTACAAGTGGCAAAGAATAAAATACATTCTGCCAGACTAAAATATTTATAATCTACACAGTACATCGTTTAGTGTACGAAAATTTAAAGTATTTAACGTGAACATTGAACTATTCAATGTTAATTTTATATTTCGATGTACATTACAATATTCTCACCTGGCAACCCTACACAAAATATCGACAATGCGCCAAATGGAGTCAACTAGAATTATATCTAAATATTACCCACAACACGTTATTTCTTGCATCTGCATTTGCGCAGGTTCTCGTCTGAAACGAAAAAAAATGTTAACACTTCTGAAAGAATGTAATATGTACTAGCAACTCACCCTCGATCCGTTCGGGTTCCCTAGTTACGTACGTTACGTTTAGTATAGATTTCTCAGAAATGAGATATTTTCCCGCAGTAAAAAGTATCCTATATGTTGACGCGGATACCCAGCTATCATCATACCAAATTTCATCAAAATCCCTCCAGTGGTTTTTTTGCGATGCGGTTACAGATAGACAGACAAAAATTCTAAAAACTATAGATTCGGCCTCTGTATCGATAATACTGACTATTTCAATAAGATTTTCCAAAAAATATTTAATGTACAGATTCGGCTAACTTACAATTTTATTATATGTATAGATGTATTGCGTATGTCAGTGTGTGTGTGTGCGCGTGTGTGTACTCACGGCGCTATTGCCCGGGGGCGGCGGGGGAGGTGGGGGAGGGCGTGGCGGGGGAGGAGGAGCGCGAGTGCGCCGCCAGCGAGTGCTGCAGCGCCGCCGGCGTCAGCCACTCCCTGCGGAACGATATATCAAATATTAATTAACAATAATAATATCCTGGTGACCTATTCCAGGTGAAGGATAACATCGTGAGGAATCCTGCATGTCAGAGAGAACCTAGCAAGTTGTCGTATATGCATGCTCAGTCCGCCCGCACTTGGCCAGCGTGGTGGGCTATGGCCTGATCCCCCGAATATTGAAGCTAGAGCGACCATCGATTCGCTCGACGTATGTTATCATACATTTCGACAATATTAGTACCATAAGAAAATACGAGACGGCACTATATGACATTGTCAGCATGAGAACAGATAGAAAAAGGTTTTAATAATAATTAATTAGTTATAATATTTTTTTGTAAAAATTGAGAGTTAATAGTAAACTTAAAAAGCCCTTATCTTAATACAAAATTTTATCCAAATGTTAAAGCCGTTTCCGAGGTACACGAATTAAATTTATATGCATACATATATAAAAGAATTATAATGTAATATTATAAGATAATATACATATATATTTGACAATACGTTTGGCTCAGTTTACAATGACCCTACTTGCTGTGCCAGCGGCCGTAGGTTCTAGACCCGCTGGGAGCATTCATTTGTGTGATGAGCACGAATGTTTATATTCCAGTCATGAACGTTTATTATTTATTTATACTATGTATGTACATATTTAAAATTACATATATGTAGTGTATCAACTATATGGTATCCATAACGCAGATCTCGTAGCTTACCATGGAACTAGATGGTGCTGTGTGTTAATGTCCCAACATATTTATTTTTATATGTATTGTACAATATACAATACAATATGTAAAGCAGCAAGGCATTACTCACTTGGGCAAGCACCGCTGCAGGAAGGGCACGCACGAGCTCACGTACGCGAGGCGGTTGACCCACGGGGGGATGTCCCGGTCGCACAGCGCCTGTACACCAATGATGATGATGATGAAAAATAATGTGCAGTGATATCCGAGTTTGTAGTTTTCCTAAAAACCTAGGTAGGTTTGTCCTTGTAGTTTTGAAATTGCCAGTATTGTGGATTATCCTCGAAGTGAGGGAGACTCAAGCCCAATATCATCTTTCTGCCCGATTGCCCAATCACTTGGGGTCGGCAAAGTACTTATTCTGTACTGCTGATAGGATTTGGCAAAAGTTTTACGACCCGCAGCCTGTCTGACATCAACCCTCCTTGGGAATGGAAAAGACTTAAGCCCAATTATGTAAGTTTAATAGAACTAAATTACGAGTAATTAAATAGAAAATTACTTAAACTGAAGAAAAATATTTTGTAAGTTTGTGAGTTTGTTTGTAGAAAGTAATCTCTAGAACTACTGAACCGATTTAGATGAAATTTAGTAAGAAGATTTGAGACTCTGGGCAATCATTCCATAAAGGGGTGAAAATGGGGATGAAATTTTTGTATGGAGAATCAACATAAAGACGAACCCGAGCGAAGCGAGGATGAGTCGCTAGTACATAAATACAAAATTCAAACCCCTTTTTATACCAAATTAACATGTCTACAAAAGACATGTTATTAGAGTTGAATGAAGATGTTAATCACTCACCAAACAAAATGCTGACGTAAAATGATTGCAATTGTTGTTCATAAGGTGGTATCTGAAATAAGTAAATAAAACTATATTCTTACACAAAAACTACTAAAATTGTCTATAAAAGATTTGTTAGGTACCTACCTATATAATGTATATTTTTTAATTAAAAAAATGGCTGTATATTTTTTATTACTGAACGCATAATTCCATCATTTCGTAGTATTCCATATCTGGGAGGTAGATGAAAAAATTGCTTCTTCTATGACCGCGTATAAACTGCGATTAATTTTCATTTTTTAAAGTTTACTATCGCAGAATGAGTGTAATCACATAAAGACTTTTCAATTCTAAAGATAAGATATTTTCAAAGTACTCGTACATGTACACTGCACAGATAGCAAAGATAACGCTTTATGAAGCCATATTAATTGGGGCTTTTCTTGTTGTTGATGGAGATGATATTCTTAATAGTAATGAATGGCAATGATAACAGTATCGACAACAATAATTGTGATGATAATAGTAATGGTGGTGATAATAACAATCGTGACGAAATAGTAGTGACATCATGATAATAACAATGATGATGATAATAGTAATTATGATGAAAATAACAATGGTGATGATAATAGTAATGTGATGATAATAATAACAATGGTGATGACAATAGTAATTAAAATAATTACAATGTTGATGATGTTATAGAAAATGGACGTGATACAGGTACCAACCTGTCACCGCGGAATTGCTTGCCTAATTCTGTGACCAGCCGCCTCACTTCCTCTTCGCTGAAGTCCGTGTACCCTATTTGTACACTTTGTCTGTTGAAATAGAAAAAAAACATATATTACGTAACATAATTAATTTTCGCGTTACGTTGTCGAAGTTATCTATACTCAATTACCACGCTTTGAAGCTATAACAAGAGAATTGAATTAAATATAAAATAAGAGAAAATATTATATATGAACATTGAGAAAATGAAATCATTAAATAGTAATAATTAACCTTAGAATACGTACTGTATTCAAAGTTTCTGTTAAGTTAAATATGAAATTAATTATGACAAAAATAGAAAGATGATAGAAATTCTAAATTAAAGATGTGATATACTGGTATGTATCTTTATAAATAAATTTTCAATATGCCTGTTTGTCATTCTGCCCCTAAACGACTTGACCGATTTTTATGAATTTATTTTTGTTTATCTGGTGACACCTTGGTTACCTAAACAGCTCTTAGCCATAGTTGAAGTTGTTTTAATTTTCCGCCGATAATTATTTTTTATCAAGCAAATCTCATTTTTATCTGTGACAGGAAAATATCTGCTTACAAGTGACGGATCCACTAGTTTTCTAACAAATTACGTAGTTTAATCCAACATATTCAAAACATCTGCAAATAATTATATTATAATAGATACCTGAAACGAAATTGTTCTCCTAATTCCCTCTCGTCTCTTGGCGTGATCTCGAACACGCCCGTGAAAGCGTACGGGTGTCCGCCGTACGCCCACTCCGAGCCGTGCACTTGCACGCCACTGTGAAACACGCCTACCCCCGCACCGGCTGTATACCTAGACATTCATTTATACTTAAAATCAGACGTTCATGATTTAGAGTCAGGGGTTTGATTCTAAGCCGAAAAAAATTTAGAACGAGATTAACATTTTATTTTTAGAGTACGTATTTTTGTCTAATTCTTCTCAGCCATATATATATTTAGATATGGCGTCTGCGAATTATAAAGTCATAACTGCGAGTATTAAAAGATTTTTTTTATCAATCACATGGTTATCTAGTAAAATGTAGTAAGTCATTCTAAGTATACATATATAAAATATGAAAATTCTAAATATAAATATATAAACATAAATTCTAAATAGAATCGCTCGTCAAGCATTGTCAACCAGATATGCAACCAGAAACATCGTGGTATTCAAAAAAACAAAAGCTAAAAAATCTTCTGGCTTAGAATGTGTAACGTCAAACTAATAATAAAAGCAGGCAAAAACTAAAAATATTTTTTGTTTGTACTTGTAGACCTATCATTTGATACAAGTATCTAGGCTAAATTAAACTATTTACTTTTTATTATGAAAATAATACGTAGGTATACCTACTCCGAGTAGGCTACTCGTAATTACCCACATTAACGTGAAAATATAAGATGGTTATCTATACATATAATAAAATTCTAAATCGAATCTGTACCTTAAATATTTTTTGGAAAATATCTTATCTCTGAGCTAAACGTAACTAGGGACGAACCCGAGCTGAGCGAGGGTGAGTCGCTAGTCTTCTCTATAGCTTAAGCTCGCCTCCCGGTTACTACATTGACAGATACATAGATTTGAGAGGTTACTTATAATATACTAAAAATAATGAAAATAACACGCGTGACAAGAAATGCGGAATGAAGAATTGAACTTTCTAGTTTTCTACGTCAAAAGAAGAAAATCATGAACGTGCAATATATTAATTTACTTATTCGTGCTTGCCGTTTATGAGTTCCGTTGTGTGCTTTACAGCCCAAGTAAAGTCTTTTTTTTTTTTAACGTTGGGAAATGCATTTACGCACGAGGTGCGACATCGTAATCGGAGCCTGATTGTATAATGTGAACATGACAAGATTGGACCAGACAAAGACCGGACCGAGAACGAAACTAGACCGATATTATAGTGTAGATCGGACCTTATAATATTAGTAAGATTGTATTCTTTCTACATAAAATGTATATCGGTATAAAGGTATTAAGAATTAGATATACAGTTGCTGCTATACGAAACAACAACGATATATTAACGATCTAAATTGTTACAATAACAAATCACAACTCTTTAAACACCGTATTATGTTACAAAGTATTACAAGCTCGGTTCATATCAAACATCTATAGTTGAAGTACCTAACACAACCATACTTCCTTAATTATACTTAATATTATAAATGTGAAAGTGTGTTTGTTTGTCATTATTTCACGTCGAAACGGAGTGACAGATTGGCGTAATTTTTTGTATGGAGATAATTGAAAGGCTGGAGAGCGACATAGGCTACCTTTTACTGCGGGAGATTATCTCATTCCCACAGGAAAACACGATATAATACAATCCAAAAAATATTTATGATCAGAATTACTTGAAACTTGGTGTTAATGCTCTTCACCTAATACGTGTATTAGTATTTTAGAAATTCACCCCATAAAGGGGTAAAATAGGGGAAGAAACTTTGTATGAAAACTACTATTTTGGAGTGTTTTTTGTATGAAAACTACAATTTTAGAGTTTTTTTTGTAGTTTTTTGTTTGTTCTGCTAGTTAGTAGGTATAAGCGAATGTACTGGTATATGAGGTAACCTATTCTCTGTTACACTTGAATTTATATTCCACTGCTGGTTTCCCAGATAGAGGCACGTGTCACGTGTGCCCTATATACTTCGTATGATTTCAGAGTTACAGAGTAACTACGATTTGATATAATGAGTTTGTTTTTCTTCAAATTATTATATTCTTAACTAGCGGCTTACCCTCGCTTCGCTCGGGTGCGTCCCTAGCACCGTTTTAATTTAATTTATAACGAGCGGAACCCTAATTATATTTCTAAAATAAAAGTAGCCTAAGTTACTCTTTATAACCTCACCTATCTCCCAGTGAAAGTCCCGTCAATATAGCTCCAGCCGCTTCGGAGATTAGCCGGAACCAACGGACAGACAACAATTTTTAAAATTATGTTTTCTTATAAGTACCTACCATATATAATTTCACATGCATTTAGTAAAAAGCTGTTATTTCATTTATAGACATTGACAGACAGTTCAATTTTATTTATCTGTATGTATGTAGCTACTAGCGGATCACCTTCGCGTCGCTCGGGTTCGCCTCTAGGAAAACAAAAACAAACCTATCTCACAAAAACCGTGCATTTTTCCGGGATAAAAAGTAGCTTATGTGTTATTCCCAACTATAATCTATCTCTGTGCCAAATTTCATCCAGATTCGTTCAACCGTTCTGGCGTGAAAGAGTAACATTCTACTTTTTATATTAGGAAAAATGTACTGTTCCCGTGGAATAGATTTGTTTTTGTTTTATTACGAGTATATAAAGTCATTTTAAATGACTCACCTATAGTAATTTTCAAGGGAAATAAGAATAAAAATAACATTGGAGTCATAACATGCATGTTCGAACTACAAGGTATGACGCAGGTAATTAAGCCAACGACAAGTGGCTGTTAATGAAACATTAGTCTCGACATAACATTAACCGTTATATTGATAAAGGACGCTTATGTTATACAATTGACGTCAACAGTAGTGACGAGATTTTTAGCGTACTATTTATATAAATAAGTAAAAAATCAAGTACCTTTCGTTGGTAAGAGCATCCCTTGGACTGCTGCGGTAAGTATTTTTGAAGTTATACTTCTTTTGGCACGTTTAGAAAGAATATTGAGTGTAAATTTTTACGAAGCGCGCACACACCGATAGCCACAAAGCGACATGATGATTAGCTGCATTACTTTTACAGAGAGTTGTGACATACATACAGGATGAAATCTTTAGCTATTTTTGTTCTGTTACGGCAAAGAAGTATAACTTCTTATATACGTGTGTACATAAGTAAACATACACGTTCTTTATTTTCAACCGACTTCAAAAAGGAGGAGGTTCTCAATTCGACTGTATGTTTTTTTTTTTTTTTTTTATGTTTGTTACCTCAGAACTCCGTCATTTATTAACCGATTTGAACAATTTTTGTGTCGTTTAAAAGGGTATACTTCCAGATTGGTCCCATTTAAATTTCATAAAAAAAATACCACCCCTAAGGGTGGAAAAACAACTAATGATGAATTTAACGTACTTCTAATTGTCATATTGACTTGAAACTTTGCAAGTATTTCTATTTCCGTTGATAGTACAGTGGTTCGGTGTTGTTGACCTGATCTGATGGCAAGGCCAGAAGGTGGATAGGTGGAACTCTTCAACGGCTAATAGTAGATACTTTGAGTTTGGGCTTATTTTGTTTGATTTGACAAGCCTAACACGTTAGAATCCTTACTTTGCTACTACTGTCTACACTAAAAAGGGAAAAATAAAAACTTTTTAACAAAAAAATAAAAACCGACTTCAAACAAAAGCACTAAAAAGTGAAAAATAACTAATTGGTAGTTTTCGTTTACTATACATACCTAATCAAATATTTTCGAAGTCGGTGTGCTTTGCTTTGTATGGGCTGGCACCGATTTCGAAAATATTTGATTAGGTATGTATTTAATAGGTAGGCTTTAATTACTTAGCCAAAGCACACCGACTTCGAAAATATTTGATTAGGTATGTATAGTAAACGAAAACTACCAATTAGTTATTTTTCACTTTTTAGTGCTTTTGTTTGAAGTCGGTTTTTATTTTTTTGTTAAAAAGTTTTTATTTAAATATACGAAATGTGTAGCAGAATAGTAAAGTTTATTATAAAATCAGAAAAAGTAATCGGAAAATTGGGAAATTCGGTGAAAAGTCGTGGTGACAATTGATTTAGAAAAATAAGCGTTCGAGCGTTTGTGAACGTGCCTGGCCGACACTATATAGGTACAATGCCGCATATGCAAGTTAGATTCTCACTTGAGTTGAATCAAACATGGAGATATAACTCACTGGATAAAGCGAAGCGCAACTTTAGTAGCTGTGTACTACAGAAAGTGTGCAATAATATAGGAAACACTTTTAGTTTGATTTATCATTTCATGCATCTACAAACTAGTGACTTATCAGTTCGTCATATAGGTAATCAAGGAAGTTAATAATCAAGTAGGTTTGAATACCTCTAATGTCAAGAGGACAATATTCCCTGAAGGTCATTCAAAGCTATACTTACGGCTTATTGTTAGTAAGATGTAATTTAAATCGAAAGTATCTACACTTAAAAACTATACTATCTTGCAAAATATTACAAGCTTAGTGCATATTTAATACCATTGGTAAAATTTGGAATACGCTTTTTGGAGAGACAAAAACCTCAGTATTAACAAATAGTGTTTCTTTTTCAAAAACACTTATAATCATCGATGCAATTTAACTCGATAACAGTTTTCCCTGGACTAGTGATCGCCTCGTCGTTGAAAATCTACCATAATTCATTAAGTTTGATCGATATCGAGATTTCTTTTTTCAAAGTTATATAGATAGCCTATAAAATAAAATAAAAAAATTAAAACGGGCCCATAGATTCAGAGATTTGCACGTACAGACAAACAAACTTTTCATCTTTATATTATGTACCTAGTACGTACTCGTATAAGTAATATTGATGAAGGTTACTTAACAACATGCTCTTTTACCAGTGAAGTAATTAGTAAGAATAAATAAAATACGCGAGCAGATTCGCGGGAAAAGAAAGTCAATAAATTTTGGCTTTCTGCAGTCCTTCTCTATACAAATGCCAAAGCTCTCTCCTCCGTACAAGCAATATGCTCAAAAAAGGGTTCAAACTTTTCTCTTCACGTATTAATATATAGATGGTTACGTATTAATATATACAAATGACAGTTTAAAATAGCATATACTCACCAATTCGTCCAATACATGTCGTACACGTTTAACACCACCGGTGCCTGGCCCGGTCGCGGGGGCCGGGTCTCGTTCCTCCGCGGTAACAGCGACATGCACGACGGAAACATCGTGCAAATGCCGCACGACTGGAATAATAATTAAAATTTAAACTTTATTATTAAAAATATATATGGGTACTTTTCTAAGGTTATCAAATCTATTTAGGGTTAAAAAAAACGTTCTGATGGTTCATGCCTTCATCACGTTATAGAAGAAAGTTTGTTTTTATTTTATAACTTTTGCTTAGCAAAGTTTTGTATTTCATCGCAATCCCGTCCAAATTAAATAGCAAGATACTGCAATGATCAACGAAAATAAAAAAGGAAAACAAAGACACCTCCTACAAATTAAGCTTATCTACAACTTTCGCCCTTCAAAGCGAAAAGAAAAAAGAAATACTAAATCATAAAGAAAAAGTATCCAACAAGGGCGAAGTTTTCCTGGAAAATTCATAAAGCATTTGGAGCCGTATTGCCTAGGCATAAAGTTGGAAATCAAAATGCTAATGAGCATAGCTAACAGTTGCCGCTAACATTAATGCCTAATTTGCAATTAAAATCTATTCCGTAATTTACATGTACCCACGATTGTTTCTTTTATTTAATATGATCATTTTGTTGGTAATATCATAGTCACTTTAACATTGGCAATGACTTACATTTTTGGAAAATGTTTATATAAGATAATAAAAGATCCATGGAAGGAAATTTTCCCTTCGTAATGAATCCGCCCGCGTTCAGATAACCAAACACCAAATTCTTAGGTTTTACATATTAGTATACTCTCACATTGCAGTTTTTGTATTTTTTCTCAAAAATGAGATATTTTCCCGCAGTAAAAAGTATCCTATATGTTGACCCGGATAACCAGCTATCACAATACCAAATTTCATCAAAATCCCTGCAGCGATTTTTCTGTGATGCGGTAACAGACAAATAAACAGACAGACAGATAGACAAAAATTCTAAAAACTATAGATTCGGCCACTGTATCGATAATAATGTTTATTTCAATAAGATTTTCCAAAAAATATCTAATGTACAGATTCGGCTTAGATACAATTTTATTATATGTATAGATAAATTATTATAGGCAAAGTCCAACGAGCGTAAACTTTAAGGACTGTTTTGACGATGCTATAAATAAAATTTAATTGATTATAAATTATTGATAATCAAAACGATGTCAACACATTTTCTCGTAATAATTGATATCGTGAGCTTTGCAACGAGATGATATTACTCGTATATAGAACGATTTCACGCGTGGAGTTCATGGAGTATGTTTTTGTTATCAGCTTACATAAAAGTCCGTTTTTTTTTAAGGTTCATGAGACTAGGCATTTGAACAGAAAATACCGTAGAGCTCAGATATGGGCACAAACACAAATACCACATTTCTTTAACTGTTGGTTATTCATTTCGAATAAATGTTATTTCTGTTGTCAGATTGATGAGAGATCAGCATTACGTGCTATCAAATACATGAGATTGTGCACACCGCCAACTTACTAACTACTAACTGCAGTATACTAAAATTTTGTGACACAAAAAAACAGTAACAATTTAAGCCCGCGTCGGGACTCGAACCCAGAACCTTAAAGTCTTCATCAGTATAAGATAGTCCGACGAGTAGTTTATACTACCAATATAATAAATATATAATTGATATGAAAGTTAAGTTTATTTTTCCTGCTTTCACATGGAGATAATTCAATAGATATTTCTGTGTACAAAACAGATCGTCGTAAAATTTGGCACACGCATACCTACTGTAAGATGGACAGTGGCTTGGACAGCGTGTCGGATTTTTAATTAAAAACGCGTATTTCGGATTCGAAATCTTGAGTTTGTGGCTTCAGTTACATAACTTTGTAGAACAAAAACCGTTTGCATATTGTATTATTAAAATATGCATCATATTCTTATGAGAGAATATAAATAATTCATTATGATCGACAAAGTGGGCTATTAAAAAATAATTAAAACCGCCTTAACATGAACTTCATTATATATGTATTTACTCACTACATGGGTCACTTGGACCCATATAGCACTTTTATGTACTGGAATGAAAAGTAGCCCGAGTCACTCTCCGATCCCATACATTATATTCATGCATAATATCAAATCAATGTGTTCCGTGAAAGGAATACCAACAAACCAATGAAACACAGGCACGTTTTATTTATATTTCTTAATATTACTAAGTAGCTTAACAACGCGCTTGCTTAGAAAGTCAAATAAAACGGGCTCACACCCTTTGTCTCATAACCCAAAGATTTTCATGAGTGAATTATGTTTAATATTTGATTAAATACCAGAAGATAAAAGGTGAAGCAAAACATCGTTAGAATATACGCATGTCTGAAGGAACCTAAATCGTGTTCAAAAGACATGCGAAGTCCGACAACCTGCATTTGGCCAGTGGATTGGAATTGCCCAGCAGTGGGATGTTAAAAGATCTGATTCGTTATAATATTTTTAGCGGCTAATAAATACAAAAGTTATTTATACGTAACGTTATTCTTTATTAAGCGTATTACTTAAGGACGCCTAGATCAAATTGGTATTTTTGTTATAATGTATGTAATATACCGAGTAAGATTTTTAGTAACAAAAATTTGGAAAATTTGCCCGAAAACTTGAGAAATTAGGTAAAACCAAGTGTCTTATTCTATATAATCTTGAACTCAAATCTCAAAGGTCAAGAAATTGAATTTTTAACCCGATAAATACGCTGTTACTATATTTTCATAGAAATCCATGATATTACAGAAAGGCCTTTTAACGTATATCGCAATATAAATCCTACGAGAAATACCTCCATATTTACTAACTTTGTACGTAACAAAGTCTGTATAATTTAACACTTAGCGACCGCGCAAGTTAGTTACTTTACTTCTTTCCTAACACTCACGTGTGCTATTACTATATTACTTGGAGTTACCAACTTTTATTATCAGCGAATTGTTCACATTTTCATTAACAATTAGTTACTTTATATCCCACATAACTAATCTATAAATATAATAAAACTGTAGAGGTCGAATGTCTGTACATAGAAAAAAAATGCAAAAAACCGAGTCAGGGACCCCCCTGACTCGGTTTAAATTCGGTAAGCAGAGAAATAGAATAAATCCAGATTTTTTCTCTGTCTGTTTGTCTTTTTGTACGGGCTAATCTTCGAAATTGTTGGACTTAAATGAAATTTTGCATGGTGGTACCTTATATCGCCGGTCAACATTTTGGATACTTTTCATTACGAAAAATTATAGAGTTCCCGTGGGATAGTTAAAAATATAGTAACTTATACAACTTAGTACACAAAAACTACTGATTGGTTTTTCATGAAACTTTACAATAATATAGTTCATATATCAGAATAATAATTAGGCTGCATTTTATCCCGGATAAATATACGGTTTCCGTGGGATAGATTTGTTTTAGACAAACACTAGAGGCGAACCCGAGCGAAGCGATGGTGAGCCGCTAGTTTAATAATACTTTTACACAGCCATTTATATTTCTAATTAATTTTATCAATCTACAATGACTTATCAAAACATCACTACAATATCACTACTTACAAAAAAATTAACTATCAAAATTTGAAGTGTCTATTATTGTAATGCATAGAGAATAAAATTTAGAAAAATATAGTCTTGAAAAAACAATACATACAGAGGAACAGGAACTCCTCCTTTTTGGAAGTCGGTTAAAAATGAAGCAATTACATAGTTATGTTTTTATAAAAACAGAAAAACGGCAATAAAATTATTAATGGTCCAAAGAAAAAATCATTCATTAGATTATTAACTAGATGAAATAGGCAATCATAAAATTACGAACCAAGAAAGCTTCAATTTGTAGGTATTTTGTACTAGACTGACCCTGGCTTCGCTCGGGTGCGATTTTTTTGGGCCGAACCCTAATTCTTTTTTTAATTTAAAATAAAAGCCTAACTAACTCGTTATAACATCAGCTATCTGCCAGTGAAAGTCCCGTCTAAATCAGTCCAGCCATTTCGGAGATTAGCCGGAATAAACAAACAGAGACAAACATTTTAAATATTGCGTTTTTCTTGTAACTACCGTATGTAATTCTAAATTCATACACATTTAGTAAAAAGCTGTTATTTTAACATTACAAACAGACGCTTCAATTTTATTTATCTGTATAGATACATAGAAGTTCATACTATATAATTGTTTGCCAAACCAGATTACATCGATTTCTAAAAAATATTTTTCTTCGTTATAGGATTTTTTCAATCGTTAAAAAAACTTAATAGTTATTAACTGAAAGTATATTAATTTCAATCGAAATTAAAGCAAAGCTATATTTAAAGTTTTCACCAAATATGAAATTACAGAATTATATGGGATAAAGAAATGGGTCAATGATAAAAGCGTTGAAGAAATAATACTACTCGTACTTCGGTTTTGGCCTCTGGCTACATGCCTGACATTTCCATGAGGGTACTCAAATATAATAGATATTTGTTTTCTGTACAAAGCGGAGTGATTGTTCATTTGGTCATAAGTTTATCATGTAAGTATGGTTTAGTTAGGACATTTTAAATGGAAGTTTTTTAAATAATACTCAGCTTCCCTTTAAGATTTGAGTACATATTAGTTTTTTTTCTGATGTAGTGAAAATTAAAAAAAAAATACTTTTGAAGTGAAAACTTCTATAAGCAGGTTTGGATGAGGAGTAAATTCATGTAAGTCGTCATCGACATGGTCACGTGTTCACACTAACACTCATGAGTGCCGGTAGATGTCAAAACCAGATAAATCAGGTTTAATTTACAAATTTTAATTTAAGATCAAATAATTAATTTGAATATCCAAAAATAACAACTGTTTTTTTATAGTTTTAAGTTTTCACTTCTGTCGGCAGTTTTCATGACTGCTTTTTTTAATATATCAAATACTATGGACTTAACCCCGCTTCGCTCAGTGAGTCGCTACGTGCCTTTTGCGAATTGAAACAAAACATAGATTTTTTTATATATGAAATAAAATATGTTACGTGTGTATTTATTTATTTTTGGCAAACGATCAGCGCCATCTTTTGGACAAATTCTATTACTAACAACAGCCTATCTGTATCTCCAGCCATTTCAGCGCGAATGAGTAGCAAAAATATAAACTTATGCGTTTATAACATAAGTCTTAATATATCTAACAGTAAGCTCAATTCACTCATTTCAGTAACGTTTCTTTTATACCTCCTTCTCACTTGGTTCGATAATATTTTATGGCTGACAGTAAATGCTCTCCCTACGCTATTGACCTTGAGTTCTATGGTGTTATATCCCTTACGCTCGTAATATGACTGACCCATTCAGCCCATAACAAACCCGACGACATAAAATATTACTGCCTGATGGTAGAATTTTTTATGCACTCCAAGACCGAGATTTAATTAAATCTATGTATTTTTAGAACAATAGAAAGTCATAATATTTTGACGACACGTTTGGCTCAGTTTGTAATGACCCTACTTGCTGCGCACGCGGTCGCGGGTTCGAGTCCCGCTCGGGGGCATTCATTTGTGTGATGAACACGAATGTTTGTACTCCAGTCATGGATGTTTATATTTATAATATGTATGTATTTAAAGTTATATATGTATAATGTATCAACTATCTAGTATCCATAACACCAGCCTCGTAACTTACCATGGAACTAGATGGTGTTGTGTGTTAATGTCCTGACATATTAAAAAAAAAAAAAAAAGTAAATGAAAGTCCCTACATACATTCTTCCAACGTTAAAGAAACAGGGTAAAGGTAACGAATAACGTAGAATATTTATGTACTTAATACTTACATATCTATTAAAGCATACTTAATGGAATTCGAAAAAGAAATGTGTGAAATAACATGTGTTTAAATAATAACACCAAGTCAAATAAATAGCTTTTCAAGGCCTAACCTTGGTTTAGCTTGAAGGATGGCTTTACAAGGCGAGGATTCGAAGAATCAAATTCCAATAATTGACTGTACTTAATTTAAAGTTGACATTTAATTGAAAATCAATATGCCTGAACATAAATATATAAAATCCGGTTGGGTTGGTTGGTAAAAATGCAGACGGTTCATTTCCTTATTACTCAGTAATCATTTCGATAGAAAAAACTGCAAGAGCTTCGACATTTACATCGCATACAAAAAATCTCAAAATATCACGTACGTGTAATTAAAGTTCCCCTCTAATTTTAGCCGGCTTTAAAAAAGCAGGAGGTATTATGGTAATCCCAATAATATTATAAATGCGAAAGTTTGGATGGATGGATGTTTGTTACTCAACCACAACAAAAAGGCTGAACAGATCTGGATAAAATTTGGCACAGTAATAGATTATAACAGTCTGGAGAAGCACATTGGCTTTTTTCCGCACTTTTTATCTCGGAAAATTGTACGGTTCCCGTGGGATAGAGGCACATAGAGTTGTTTTTTCAAAGATTTTCTATTCCATATTAACCGTTAAAACGTACTGTATGCTAGCCATTGTCTATTTGTTTCAATATGTTTATCGATTTCACAAAGATAGGACCTTTTTGGATAGTTTAAATTTAATAATTCTATAAGGAAGATCCCGATGATTTCGCGTATAATTTTCTTCGACATAGACAATACCGCATACAAAGGCAATAAGTCAATTTTATTTATTGTTATATTGACTGTAATTGAATTGAATAAACACGTCAAGTACTTATTTCCAATTATAGATATCGAGCTGATCTTACAATGAATTAAAAATATTAGTGGTACCTATTAAAAGCTTATCATTAGCCCTTCTAATTCAAGCTTATTAGATTTGTTACAAGTCCAAATAACGGTTTGAAGGTCTAATTTTTAATGTGCTGTGTAACAAAGGCGTGTTTTGTAATGTCATAGTAACTAAAATAAAATACAACTAAAATAATCCTTTTTAAGAATTCTAATTATACCGATCGATCCAGAATCAAATAACACGTAATAGTATTTTTAATATAACCAGTACCACATCCCGTCTGTATAAATATTAGAAAGTTTGTGAGTATGGAGGATGTTTGTTACTCTTTCATGACAGAAAGGCTCAACGGATCTGGATGAAATTTGGCACAGAGATAGATTATAATCTGGAATAGCACATAGGTTACTTTTCATCTTAAAAAAAATCCAGTTCCCGTGGGATAGATCTGTTTTTATTTTTCACCAAGGACGAACCCGAGCGAAGCGAGGGCGAGTTGCTAGTAGAATATAAACTAGCGGTTACAGTTGGGCAATTTTTAGAATTACTTTTAGTTATATAGTCACAATTGCTTTGATAAAATTGCAATCTTTATTAATCAAATTAATCCACATTGGTTTTACGGAACATAAAATATATATTTTTTTAACGCGTAAACCGACTCCAAGGCTCTTATAGTAAGAAATAATTGTTTTATTTATATTAGGAAAACTCACGTCTTACTACACAATATAAAGTAGCCTTGAGGTTTACAAATTTTTTTTACATATATTATGTTTATGATTGTTTTTAGGAACTTATATTTAGTTACTATATTTCGCGTTTGTTAAAAATTACTTAATTAGTTCTACTATAACTGGCATTTGGTAATAAAATTTCCTTTTTCTTTTACCTTCCTACCTGAACTTTATCCTGTGCATTGTACAATGTTTTAAATGAAACTTTTTAACTTAGATTTAAGTGTTTAAATATGAAATTATTTTTACATTAAATATATGTAACAAATTTAATAATATATTTAAATTACTTTATATATTTTATATATTGTACAATTACAATAAAAATATTTTTGGAAATATATATGACTTCAACAACAATTATTTGTACCAACAAATACCTTTTCTGGGGGTCTTGTTATATAAATCCTTCTTTTCATGTCAAGAGCACTTAACTAGCACTACTGCAGAACCGAGCACTTTAAATACCAAAAATAAAAATGATTTATATAAAATATGGTACCCAGTCCACAATATTAGATTAATATATGGTGTCACTGATATTAGTTATAAAAACCAGGATATTTAACAAAACTGTTCCAGCCCATTCACTTGAACGGAATACTTGATAAGATAGGTACTTCTACATATTATGGCTCTGTCAATTATTAGGCATGGTATTATCAGGATTTTTAATCTATTTTAATCTACAAAAAGGCTCTCCTTATCACACACATTAACAATCTATCGAGTCATCCATTGTTTACTTTTTATGTTACAGAGATTATTTGTGCTGTTTACATTTGGATATGATTGTGAAGAATTGTCATTTGTCTGTCGCTAGTACTATGCAATTATCAATGAAAATTTATGGATGTGCTTGGAAGTCAAAAGAAGTTGTGCATAAAATTTACTAAATAACAAATCATTAATGAAAAAAGTGAAATAAAAAATTGCTGTGCACATGAATAAAAATGTGCTAGCTACATTAAAATGTTGCAAGTCTTACTAAGTTTGGAATATCGTGGGGCTCCTCCTGTAAGATAGTAGGAGAGTTTAGGAGGGGATCCCGATCATCGCCAGGCCGGTCCGGAGGTCCCCGGTCTGAACGATTACGGCAGGCATCACATTTCTTCATTTCTATACATACTTCTCAACTGCGGACTGCGAATATGTCCACCAGCTTAATAAGCAAAATGTATATTTTTGGTTTATTTCATGACTAATATTAAATGCTATTTTAAAGCATTTTAAAATATTATACTTACTTAAATATGTGATATTTACTTACATAATAAATAAATTACTAAAATTGTATTAAAAAGTCTTATAAAGTATAATAATTGCATTATACATAGAATCTTTCATTAATTACAACATTAATTTATAGCAAAGTAAAATTAGATCAATATAGTAATAATGAACTTTCAACATATTAGAGTTTACTGACCCCAGTGACTGACAATTTTATTACATTTGCTTTATCACATGTTACTCAAATTAAATATTTATATTGCTGTTCCAATAAACACTTCTATTTACCTCATCATCACTATTAATAATTAAAGATGCTACTTCCATGTTCCAACTTATGACAAAATAACTAGGAAATTATATAAGAAGAGACTAGTTATAGAACTAAGGCTACTCAAAAAGGAATACGAAGTAAAATCTACGTCTATTTTCGTTAGATTATGATTACTATAAAGAATTCTATGATCTAATATCAGGCATGAAGAAAATTCGATTGTATGCAAATGAAACAACTGACAATTAGCCTAAATAAGTCATTATATTAATAACAACGCAACGAGCATGTGAATCAATGTGCTGAGATTATAGCTAGACCGACAAAATACTTAAATGTTATGTTACTTACAAAAATACGTAGAACTGTGCGTAGTCAAGGTGTATTCCATAGAATTTAAACTCCCTCAGTTATACAGCTCCATCATTGGATTGGCTTTAGAAATTTTAATAATGATTACATAAATATAGAATTTACAATTAAAGAAATACGAAGATTTCGTAATTTGTAAATGAACACAATGTGCTTACTTCTTTACTGACAATACTGATTACTGACATTTTCTAATCTAATGCAGCTGTCGTCAACTTTTCAATAATGTACATAATTTTAAATATAGGTAAGTATAATTTGTTATAAATAAATTATTTTATTGTAATATTACTTTATTTTTCATTCAGTTATTATGTACTTTTCAAAAAAAACTTTCATAATGTAAATATAATACCTAGTATTTTTTTTTAAATCATAAACTCTCGCATTTTTAAACGTCTAAACTAATGTCAGCTGTTATAGTTTATCTACTTCTACACGTCATCTTGTTTGTCGTGTCTGTCAAATGTTCACAAATTGTAGATTTTCGTAAATATCGTGAAAAATAAAAAGCAAGATGGTAATTTCAATTAAATTTTTGTCAAAATATATATTATGTTTTACAGTGAACGATTTAAGTTGTTTATATGACAACAAACTTTTATAACGCACATTTGTAATATCCGGCTTATACCTAATTAAACTATGTTTTGCATGTGTTTTAGGTGCTTATAGCAGCAACGGTGTGTACAAAATCAGGAAAAGGTAAAAACATTGATGATCTAAACTAATATGTTCCTGTTAGTGTTTTCAATTTAATAAAAAATATCGTCTGATTACCATTTCAGCCCTAGTGTCACGTCAGTTCGTAGAAATGACTAAAGCACGTATTGAAGGGCTATTAGCTGCATTTCCTAAGCTAATGACTGGTGGTAGGCAGCATACATTTATAGAAACAGAATCTGTCCGGTAAGCTACTCAACTAGATGAGAGAAGTTTATTTTAAAGATTATTAATTAACATTATAACATAATATTCACATGCATCTTAAGAATCTAAATACTATCTGTGAGTGAGAGTCTAAATAATAGTGACCATATCAATTACATTTATAATATTTAATTATTGCGATCTAGGTATGTCTATCAACCTCTGGACAAGCTATACATGCTCCTGATAACTACAAAAGCTAGTAACATTTTGGAGGATTTGGAAACACTGCGATTATTTAGTAGAGTGGTAATGTATTATATATATTTTTGTAATACAATATGAATGAAATTAAAAAATCAATTAACTATTCAAAAATTAATATTACTCAATTGAACAACATAATGATTGCTTTTGAAGATAAGCAAAAACAATTTCTCTAGTGCTTGTTGTTGAATTTTTTTTTAAGGTACCAGAATATTGCACTCAATTAACTGAAGCTGAAGTTTTGAATCAAGCCTTCAACTTGTTGTTTGCGTTTGATGAAATTGTTGCACTTGGATATAGGGAAAGTGTAAATCTTGCACAAGTGAGTACTGAATATCATTAATATTACAAATTATAAAAATATAAGTAAAATTATATAAAACTCTGAACTACAGTACACATAATACTATACTAGTGCAGATGTCCCATAATGCCATGCAAAGAAATTAGACATCCCTAAGTATTCCCTAAAGGTTTTTCTTTGGGCTGTTTTGTTTGCTCAAATAGACAAATGGTGTTTTTTTTATAAATATTACATACTTATATATTAAAATATGTAAAATTCATTTTGTATATAATGCCATCTGTTGATATTTATCTATACTTATTTTTCTTGGTTCCCCATGAGAAACTATGCTCAGAACTTAGTAAACGATATTTTTAATTGAATTGTTAATTAAATAGAATTCATTAAATGCTTCTAAGTATAAATTAGATATGAAAATTAGACTTTTGTTAAATAAAGTTGTCATTTTTGTTACAAATTAATTTAAAAATGTAGATATGAAATAATTATCAATATTGATATCGACCAAATGTTCTACTAATGTGTTTGAATCTCAATGCTTTAAGTAGAAAATAAATGCTTTTATTTTATTATGCCCTATTTTTTATAGGTACGCTCATTTGTGGAAATGGATTCTCACGAAGAGAAAATATATCAAGCTGTGCGACAGGTGAGCTACACAAATCATATTATACCACCTTCATTTACTCAACATCTTACACATGTGTATATCCATATAAATAGTTATTTGGTTCAAAAATACCTATTGAGTTATACCATCATTATTATATGTAACTCTCATCATTGATTTATAAAATACATAAAATACTAGCCGGACCCGCGGCTTCGCTCGCACTAAAACTACAAAAATATCTCTAAAAAGGTAGTTTCATACAAACTTTCATCCCCTATTTTACCCTCTTATAGGATGAATTTCGAAGAAAACTAAAACATGTATTTATTTAATTGTATTGAAGAGCGTTAATGCCAAGTTTCAAGTGATTCTGATTATAAATATTTTTTTGGGTTGTATTTTAACGTGTTTTCACACAACATGGGAATGAGATAATCTTCCGCGGTAAAAAGTAGCCTATACCACTCTCCAGCCCTCCAACTATCTTCACCCAAAACATTACCCCAATCCGTCACTCCGTTTCGACGTGAAAGAAGGACAAACAAACAAGCAAACACACTTTCACATTTATTATATTAGTATGGAAGTACAACTCATGTAACTAGCGTTTTATAAACAAAGCTTCTAAAACATTAAGTTTTCGGTACTATATACATACTTAAAACAAGATTTTACAAATTATTTATATTTTTTTTATAATTTGTGTAATCTTCATTTTTATATTTATGTTGAATAAAAACAAATATAATTATTGAAATAAAATACTACGTTTATCCTTCTTATAAGACTCAAGAACGTGAAGCGAACAACCGTATGCGAGAGCGTGCGAAAGAACTTCAAAGGGAGAGACTTGAGGCGGCGAAACGAGGTCAGCCACCTCGCTCGCAAACTGGATTTGGTAAGTACATACAGACATACATACAAATAGGTTTATATTATTATTATATAGATACAACACTTTTATGTATTACCACTCGGGTTCGTCCCTACTTACGTTTTAACGTTTAGTATAGATTTCACTGAGATAAGATATTTTCCCGCACTAAAAAGTGTCCTATAGTTGACCCGGACAACCGGCTATCATCATACCAAATTTTATCAAAATCCCTCCAGTGGTTTTTCCGTGATGCGGTCACAGTCAGACAGATAGACAGACAGACAAAAATTCTAAAAAACTATAGATTCGGCTTCTGTATCGACAATATTAATGACTATTTCAATATGATTTGCCAAATGCACAGATTTGGCTTATAGTTACAATTTTATTATAAGTTTTAATATTTTTGTTTTTGAATGAATGAATGATGAATGAACGTTATTTGCAAAACTTTGGTAATTGAAATAAAAGAAAACATTCTTTTTACATTTCCTTGGTAACATTACTAGTATCTTTTTTTCTTTCTATTTGTGAAAACAATATGAAAATCCTCAAAAAACACAAACGCATCGCGGCGGGAGGCTTTAATTTACGTATATTGTTGTGATGAACCGTAGAGATTATCTTAAGTCCCAGCCCTTTTAGAACACGAGTTACATTAGCAATGTATGAAACGCGACTCGTACTTGGCCTATATATTTATTATTTTCCTTTAGGAAAATATATATTTTTTTATTTTCCTATAAGGAAAATATATATTTTTTATTTTCATATAGGAAGCGGTTTCGGCAGCTCTTCGATGTCGTCTGCCGCGTCCGAACCTATCACTGAAAAGATTCCGACTACACCTGTTCGGGAAACGACGTAAGTTTTTTGTTATTTTGGATTGACCGATTTCAAGAAAGATGTGTAATGCAAGTGTATATCCTCCTCTTTTACTTTTGAAGTAGATTAATAATGCACTTTTTATATTGAATATTTTTTGCTACATTTAATGTTAGTTTTATAATTTACATTACAAAAATATTTATCCATCTATCTAAACGTATAATAAAACTATAGAGGTCGAATGTCTGTACATAGAAAAAAATGTTAAAAACCGAGTCAGGGGGATGGATGTAAGGAGAGAAATAGAACAAATCCAGTTTTTTTTTAATTTTTTGTTTGTTCTGTTTTTTTGTCTGTTTGTACGGGTTAATATCTGAAACTGTTGGACGGATTTAAATAAAATTTTGCATGGTGGTACCTTATATCCCCGGGCAACATTTTAGATATTTTTCATCCCTGAAAATTAAAACAGTTACCGTGGGATAGTTAAAAATTAAATGTGGCACTCGGAGACTGCCGCGGTAAAGCTATTGCATAGCATTTTTTATCAACTTATGCAATTATAATTATTTATTTATTTTATTAATGCAGTATTTTTTTTTCCTTGACTTTCTTCATTAATAAATGCACTTTGTTTATTCATATTTAAAACACTTTGTACACAAATTATACGAGTACAGATATTCACTGTTGTACATAGATGATAAATACCTATACACCTATATACTTTCTCACAAACAGCTAATTACGGTAGTTTTCCAATACAACCAATGCCACCTAAAGGCTATGTGAACTTGGCACCCGACTTTGGAAAAATTGATCTTTTTTAGGTTTATTTGAACGATTTCGGTTAGTAGTAGATAGTAGTGAAGCTAACTTCGTTTGTAATAGTGCCAAAAAAAAATACAGACAACAAAAAAAATGTCATCCCCCCGAAGTTGGTAAAAAAAATTTTTTCCGCTTGATTCGTATAGAACAACGTTAGTAGTGGTTTGTAGTGCAATTTTTTTCGATTGTAGTAAAACAAAAAAAAGAAAATTTTTTTCGAGTATTTTTGCAGAACGATTTTTACTACATACATTCATTGTTTCGTTTGTAGTACCATTATTTCATTTGTAGTAACGTTTATTTTGGTTTGTAGTACCATTACTTCGTTTGAAGTAACGTTAATTTCGTTTGTAGCTATTTTTAAGTAACCTTATATTCGTTTGTAGTACCATTATTTCGTTTGTAGTTGTTTGTAGTAACGTTAATTTCGTTTGTAGTACCATTATTTTGTTTGTAGTACCATTATTTCGATTGTAGCTATTTGTAGTAACCTTAATTTCGTTTGTAGTACCATTATTTCGTTTGTAGCTGTTTGTAGTAACGTTAATTTTGTTTGTAGTACCATTATTTCGTTTGTAGTTGTTTGTAGTAACGTTAATTTCGTTTGTAGTACCATTATTTCGATTGTAGCTGTTTGTAGTAACGTTAATTTCGTTTGTAGTACCATTATTTCGTTTGAAGTTGTTTGTAGTAACGTTAATTTCATTTGAAGTACCATTATTACGTTTGTAGTTGTTTGTAGTGACCTTAATTTCATTTGTAGTACCATTATTTCGTTTGTAGTTGTTTGTAGTAACGTTAATTTCGTTTTTAGTACCATTATTTCGTTTGTAGTTGTTTGTAGTAACGTTAATTTCATTTGTAGTACCATTATTTCGTTTGTAGTTGTTTGTAGTGACCTTAATTTCATTTGTAGTACCATTATTTCGTTTGTAGTTGTTTGTAGTAACGTTAATTTTGTTTTTAGTACCATTATTTCGTTTGTAGTTGTTTGTAGTAACGTTAATTTCGTTTGTAGTACCATTATTTCGATTGTAGCTGTTTGTAGTAACGTTAATTTCGTTTGTAGTACCATTATTTCGTTTGAAGTTGTTTGTAGTAACGTTAATTTCATTTGTAGTACCATTATTACGTTTGTAGTTGTTTGTAGTGACCTTAATTTCATTTGTAGTACCATTATTTCGTTTGTAGTTGTTTGTAGTAACGTTAATTTCGTTTTTAGTACCATTATTTCGTTTGTAGTTGTTTGTAGTAACGTTAATTTCGTTTGTAGTACCATTATTTCGTTTGTAGTTGTTTGTAGTGACCTTAATTTCATTTGTAGTACCATTATTTCGTTTGTAGTTGTTTGTAGTAACGTTAATTTCGTTTGTAGTACCATTATTTCGTTTGAAGTTGTTTGTAGTAACGTTAATTTCATTTGTAGTACCATTATTTCGTTTGTAGTTGTTTGTAGTAACGTTAATTTCGTTTTTAGTACCATTATTTCGTTTGTAGTTGTTTGTAGTAACGTTAATTTCGTTTGTAGTACCATTATTTCGTTTGTAGTTGTTTGTAGTGACCTTAATTTCATTTGTAGTACCATTATTTTGTTTGTAGTTGTTTGTAGTAACGTTAATTTCGTTTGTAGTACCATTATTTCGTTTGTAGTTGTTTGTAGTAACGTTAATTTCGTTTGTACAAATGAAATTTAACGTTACTACAAATGAAATAATATTACTACAAACAATGAATGTACGTAGTAAAAATCGTTCTGCAAAAATATTCGAAAAAAAATTTTTTTTTTTGGTTTTACTACAATCGAAAAAAATTCTACTACAAACCACTACTAACGTTTATCTATACGAATCAAGCGGAAAATTTTTTTTTACCAACTTTGGGGGATGACATTTTTTTTGTTGTCTGTATTTTTTTTTTGGCACTACTACAAACGAAGTTAGCTTCACTACTATCTACTACTAACCGAAATCGTTCAAATAAACCTAAAAAAGATCAATTTTTCCAAAGTCGGGTGCCAAGTTCACATAGCCCCACCAAAAGGCGGGTTGCTGAACTAAAGAGACAAGCGTGATATTTCAAAAAGTCATTAAAAGTTCTGGTATTTATCGATAGATGGAAAAACTAAAAAGTATCACCGCTGTGCCGGTCGGAGTGGGGGGTGTCAGGTTTTTTTCGTTACGGAATTTCTGGATTCGGTCCCCACGCTCAAAGCCCGCGATAGAAGCTATGCAATAGCTTAAAAACTATAGTAACTTATACAGTTTAGCACACAAAAACTATTGATTGGATTTAATGAAACTTTACAATAATATATTCATGCATCAGAATAACAAATAGGCTAGTTTTTATCCCGGAAAAATGTACGGATCTCGTGGGGTAGATTTGTTTTTAATCATCTATTCATTTTAGGAGTAACACATATGCTACTGTTGGTAATTGGACTACTATTATAAATACATGTGCCCATGCCCATGTACATGTGCGTGCGTATGTGTGAGTGTCTGTTTTTTATGTTAAAGTGGCAAGGATAAATCGTTAATAAATAAAGTAAATGTCATACATGTGTAAAAAGAAAACAATAGAATATAGTTTGTAATCTTTATTGTAAACTATATCTGAAGAAAGGCTTATATTATTATAACAAATGTGTGTATACCGGGCAGCAGCAGACAGTCGACGTCGCGGTCGGCGATGAAGCTGGGGTCGCGCGGCGCGGACGCGGACACGTTCGTGTCGCGCCTGCGCAGCGAGGGCGACGCCGCCGCGCCCGCCGCCGCCGCGCCCGCCGCCGCGCCCGCGCCGCCGGGGAAGGAGTGAGTTGCCTCTTATACTATGTTTTTGCTGCCAACTTTATATCAGGTAGAGATATAGATAGATATCAGGAGATTCCAGGTTCGAATCCCGGCAAGGTCGCCTTATAGGGTGATCGGAGCGGGAATGTCATAAGACAACCATTAAGTTCAATTACATTTTAATTCTGCACCAATATAATAAGATATACTAGCTTAAATAATAATTTAAAATAGGCTAATTACATCACCATATTACTAACACCACAGCGAGGAGAGGACAGACGGAAATCGTCACGTAACGAAAGAGCGTTAGCTTTATTATTTACTAAGAGCATACCATGTGATAAGCTCAGTTTCTAGTAACCCTACTTACTGGGCCAGCGGTCGCGGGTTTAAGTCCCGCTGAGGGCATTCATTTGTGTGATGTCTACGAATGTTTGTCCAATCACGTGTATTATATTTATAATATGAATGTATTTAAAGTCATATATGTGTAGAGTATCAACTACCTGGTATCCATAACACAAACCTCGTTACTATGGAACTAGATGGTGCTGTGTGTTAATGTCCCAACATATTTATTATTTATTTATAGATATAGATTGGTAATAAATTTTCCCCTAAGTGTAAAGTTACTTATTTAAATTTTAATAAAACATCTCTTATATAAAAACTTCCCTATTCAAATTAGAGTTAAATTACAAAATAAAGAAAATAATTAATCAATTCATTAATACTTATTAAGTTTTCGCGGATTAATTTAGATTTTTGATTCCCGACGAATTTCGAATGCTTTACAGCAATCGTGGTCACGGGAGAGACTGATAATGTAAAAATCCGAAAAGATAGTTTTATTTAACGGTTAATATGAAATACAAATCTTTGAATTTCTCGGCTTTTCTGTTCTATAATATGCATGTATTGTACATATAAACCTTCCTCTTGAAACACTCTGTCTATTGCTGAAAACTGCATTAAAATCCGTTGAGTAGTTTAAAAGATCTAAGCGAACAGACAGCGGATGCGACTTCATTTTATACTATGTAAAGATGTCAAATATTCGCGTAAATATAATAAAAAAAAAATAAGTTGTGTTTAATACTTTATGTTTTTTCAGTGTGCATTTGCGATTCGAAGAACGTTTGAACTTGTCAGCCGGTCGAGATGGAGATATACAGAACTTTGAGCTTTCAGGTACTTTGATGATTCATTTAATGACATTTTAAATATCAATGACATTATATATTTTTAATTATATATATAAATTGCATAAAAAATGTGTAAAAAATATTTTTCTTAACAAAATATGAAAATAAGCTTTTTAAACTATATCATAGCTTTCCAAGACTAGAAAAAACGTATTCATACCTTATTATACATTATATTACGCGATTAAAAAAGAACTTTTTTAATTAAAAAAAAACGTGTGTGTACTTATGTACGCACGTTAGAAGTTATACTTCTTTTGCGTAACATAACAAAAATAGCTAAAATTTCATCCCATATGTCACAACTCTCTGTTTGTGAAAGGAATGCAGCTAACTTCATCATGTTTCTTTCAATTAACTTCATTATGTCGCTTTTTGGCTGTTGGTGTGCGCGCGCATCCAAAAAATATTACTCTCATAATTTTTTACAAACTTGTGTCAAAAGAAGTATAACTTTAAAAACACAATTTTCTATAAAATTAAATATTGTTTCTATCAGAAGAAATATTAATTTAATGTAATTATTTATTGATTAAAATATGTGTACATTTATTTTAAAAAAAGGTTAAAAATATCAGACTAAGAAATAGTATAAACAGAGTGTTATAGAACTAAACATGAATCCAAAAAATACATACAATATAAAAAATACATATAAAAAAAAATCAAGAAAAAAATATTTATATAAAAAAAAATGTATAAGCTAATACATATTATGCTATCTCTCTTCCAAAATAAAGAGAACTAATGCTTAAAAAATACAAAAGAATATGGTATTATTATTTATATTGTTTTCTTAAGAATTATAAATTAACGAGTAATACATGTATATTTTTCCCTTACCCTTTAACAAAGTAAATAATCTGTGTAATGAATTTGAGAAAAGTAGCATAAATAGTAAATCAGGCTACTATTTTTGGCTTACACATTTATTTTGGCGGATTCCCATTTTTTTTAATAACTAATAACCTTGTGCAGGTTTGTTGACGCTGCGTATAAGTAACGAGCAGTTCGGAAAAATTCACGTCCACGTCGATAATAAGGACTCCAGGCCCTTGCAGTTGCAAGTAAGTTAATATTTCAATATATTACGTATTTAGTCCTTATTGACGTCCCACTGCTGGGTGTGGGCCTCCCTTCAATACGAGGGTGATCAGACCATCGTCCACCACGCTGGCCGAGTGCGGGCGGACTGAGCATGTCTTTCGAAAACTTGCTAGGTTCGCTCAGACACGCAGGTTTCCTCACCATGTTTTCCTTCGCCATAAGGCAAGTGGTAATCATATTAGAAATGATTCACACATTAAAAATATCAGAGGTGCAAGACCCTGGATTTGAACGGGACGGAACGGGAAGATGCGTGGGCGATAGTAATCAGACTACATAAATAAATACTTTTCCCAGAACCTTTTCATTCCCTGCGGACGTTGTAGTACCCAAGTCTTACAAAGTCAATAATATCAATACAGGCATTTATTCCATTTCCCTTGTATATTTTATTTCGATTTCTTCTGACATTATGGAAATAGAATAGTATTATTTAATAACTATATATAGAAATATTTGGGTATTCTCTAAAGTGTTTTTGTAGAAAAAACTACGACGTTTAAAAAGGGCTGATTACAATAACTCTGTTCCAGACTCATCCAAATGTGGACAAGGAAGCGTTCAGAACGGAGGGCGTGATCCGTCTGAAGCAAGCGCAGAGGCCGTTCCCTCTCAACAGCGACGTGGGCGTGCTGAAGTGGCGGCTCACGCATACCGATGATAAATCTGCTCCATTGTCTGGTATGTGCAAATATAGTATGTTACAGTCAAAGTAAAGAATGGATTAATATTGATAATTATTGCAACATATTTTCGTTGATCTAATAAATATTACAATTCACTGTGATTAGACAAAAAAGAATTAATACTTTCTTAGATTTACGCGAATATTTGACATTTTAAATAATTTCATTTTTTTCATTCATTCATTTTTTGTAAAATTGTGGGTAGGCAGTGTCTATAACAAGTATATATAACGCCTTTCAGATGTCTGAAACCTTAATCTCTCCCCTGACCATGATTGCTGTAAAGCATTCGAAATGTCGGGAACCAAAAATCTAAATGAATCCGAGAAACAATCCGAAGAGATAGTTTTATTTAAAATGTCAAATATTCGCGTAAATCTAAGAAAGTTTTTATTTGAGTCATTTGATTATTATTATAACAATTCCAGTGAACTGCTGGCCATCGGAGGGCGCGAGTGGCGGCTGTGATGTTAACATCGAATACGAATTGGAACAGGACCATTTGATTCTGTCAGACGTCAATATTACAATTCCTCTGCCGTGAGTATATTATGCCTAGAGTTTTTTCTAATTTGTTCTTTATATTGTCATGGTATAAACAATTTATATTTATAAAATACTAGCAGAACCCGCGGCTTCGCTCGCGTTAAAACTACAAAAAAGCTAGGTTTCATACAAACTATCATCTCCTATTTTACCCCCTTAGGGGATGAATTTCGAAAAATGTTAAACACATTTAAGTGTATTTTTTTTACTGCGGGAAAATACCTAATCTCTGAAAAATGTATAATAAACGTTAAAATGAACTTAGGGGCGGACCCGAGGAGCGAGGTTGAGTCGCTAGTGCCAAATAAATGTAAAAATAATACAAATCTGTTGACATTACTTCTGACGTCACATTTTGTAGAACAAACAAACCAATGTGCCACTTTACGTAATTTTGAATTTACCGTGCAAATATTGCGTTTTTATATAATAAATTAATAGATAGAATTATTATAAAATTAAATAATACTAGGCGTATAATGTTCGGTCGGTTAATATTTGAAAAAAAAATGATTATCGAATATTCTTTATTTTAAAGGAACTTGTTTTTTTTCTTTAGATTTTTTTTAAGTAACTATAAACCACTATAAATTATCCTAGCTTTTTATTATAAACGAAATATTAAATGAATTTAAAATGTTATAGATCTGGCAACCCATCAGTGGTCGTTCATCAGTGGGAAGGCAGTTATACACAGAAAGGACGCTCAATAATCTGGAACATTCCATTGATCAATAAACAACAGAAAACTGGAACTTTGGAATTCACGTAAGGATCCTTTTTAATTTTATTTTTTATAAATGAAATGACAAATCATCTCGTCGTAGTCGTACTTCTAATATTACAAGGTTATTTTTTATTTTTTTCGTTTAAAAGAATTAACAGTCAATTAGCATGACAAAATTAATTAAAGCCACGGTCCTTAGTGAAATAAAATATAAATACAATTTAAATAAAGCTTATGTAAGCATGGTAATAAAAAAAAACATAATATTTTATTAACCAAGGTGCGATGTCTGAATAATAACAAACTAAACTTTCGCATTTACAATATTAATATAATAATAATATGGTAAATAAACGTTTCAGTGTAACACCCGCCATTCCAAACGATTTCTTCCCGCTTGCCGTCACATGGGTGTCCGATACATCATTGGCCATGCTCACGGCTACTAAAGTTACTCAAGCCGATAATGGATCACCCGTTGATTTCTCTCAAGATATAAGCTTCCATCCGGATAAATATGAAATTGTATAAATATTTTAACTATAAATGTAGTATTTCAAAAAAAAAAATTTTTTTCATAGGCTAACTTTTTGCGTCATTTATTTTGTTTTATATTTTAGGCAGAATGATGTGTATGCCTTTGCCAACTATAATTAAAGTTAAAAAAAATAAATATGAAATTATTTTATATTCAATATTGAAAAACTATTATCGAATAAAAATTTCAAGTAATATTTGTGAAATGAAACATTTGTTATTTTATTTAAGTTATACACACATTTTATGTTTATAGGTTTTCAATAACCATTTTCAAAGTGTTGATTTAAATGTATACTACATATTTATAAGTATTCCATAAAATAACTGTAAAATATAAATAAAATTGGGTTTTATTTAAATTTCCATACTGCGACATGATTGTGTTAGTTTTTATGTCTGTATTGTTTTATCACACTACCAGTTATAAATATTTTGATAATTCTCCTTATTATGAAGGGCTTAGACAAACCGATGAACTATATTTAAATGAATCTTGTAAGTTCTCGTTTTTTTTTTAAATATTTGTTCCTCATAGCGTCAAGAAACAATTTTTTTTTGGAATCCAGAGTAGGGTTTTTTCATTTTTATTTCCATTTGTTGTTTTTTTTGAATTGAAAACTTCTACAGGCAGGTTTGTTTGGAAGGGGAGTAAATTCATATAAGTGGTCACCGACATGGTCACGTGACGTGTAACGCTAACACTCAGTGCCGATAGATGTCAAAACCAGATAAATGTAAACAGTTTTAATTTACAAATTTTAATTTAAGATCATCATAAACTTTATAGTCGATTTTTGCCTCTTCGGCTTGTGCAAATCGGCAGATTATTGAATTGGACACTTTTCAGGATGTGACTAGCCTACCACACCTTAATCTGACGGTTTCAAGTATTTCTACCTTATCAAAACATTTTTTAAATATTTTAATCGGCTTCCCTAGACGCGCCCCTTTATATAGAAGACTTATATTATGGTGAAAGTACTCAATAGAGTGCAAGGTAACCTCTTTTATGTTAATCTGCCGCGCTCGAGTAACTACAGAAAATCCCCTCTTGGGCTCCCCTACTACTATTTTTGTATTTTTTACCTGGGTGTAAGGATTCCAAAACATAAATAACAATTATTATTAATTGTAATTTACAGTTTTTCCAGCATTAAGAGGTTATCATGTAAATGCTAAAGTGATAACTGAATTTGGTTATCCGTGGATAGCGCGTGTAATTCACTCGAAGGAGAATAATGTGCCGTATTTATGTACCGCCTCCTGTATAGATAAAATGATATTTATAACAGCGGCCAGATGTGTTTATCTGTAAGTATTTTCGTAAATTAGGTTTTCAGTTATATTTTGAATTCTGTTAGTAACTATCGAGTACCCTTGCTTCTCTCGCGTGTCCCGAGGAACTTAACAGACCCTATTTGTTACTACAGTCTACAGATCATAGTCATCATCTAGCCGTTTTAGAGTGAAAGTGTAATAAACATACACACATTCAAACTTACACATTTATAATAATAGAGTTTTTTGAACCGACTGCGCGATGCAAGAATGTGTGAATGTGTTTATCAGTCTATGTAATATTTGTGTGTTTGTTTCTATGTGGCGTTCTAGAAACCAAACGCGTGGGCCGATTTTGATGTATGAATATACGTCGTTATATTTGTCATATTAACGCGAGTGTCAGGCTATATAAAAATAGTAAAAAATTAAAATGGTGGATTTTTGGCGCTAATTTGTGTCTTTAAAAAAAATCTTCCAAACCAATCGAGTGGGGTATCGAAATAAAAGTTTAAACGATCACAAAAATTTATACAATTTTAAACTTATATGTTTAAATGTCATTTAGGATAAAAATATAAAAACAAAAATCCAATATATCTCGCGGCAAGGATGAAACGTGTATGTCTCCGACTGCAAAATACTATATTCCTTCATCTTGTTTGCATCTCTTTAGTTGGCTTTTATGCAGTCGGGCTCTTTATTTTTATAATTTATATAATATAAGTACAATCGTAAAACACTATAGGAGATTTAAAAGATTTCAATGGGACTTAACTGTTAAAAAAGGTGTTTCTTTTCAACCTGTCAAGTACATTTTTTTTAATCTAACATTAATTTACCACACAAACAAAAACAACAAACCTACGGTGAAATTTGCGAGGCTCAGCGTTGCTCCTGGAACCTACTTCGCTGATAATACATACTGTCGGGGCATCGTGGCTTAGTGATGATGTAACGGCGGCCGCTGCATTGAAACGGAGATGGTTCCGTTGGATGTATATACGTGATGTGTATTTAGCCCTTTCGAAAACTTGCTAGGTTCTCTCAGACATGCAGGTTTCTTCACGATGTTTTCCTTCACCGTAAAGCAAGTGGTAATCATGTTAGAAATAATTCGCACATGAAAATATCAGACGTGCGAGACCCGGGATTTGAACCCGCCTTCGGTTTCCCAAGTGAGCGCGTTACTACTTGGCTAGCACTGCCTTGTAGGTGATGCGTAGATGTATTTCCCAACATTAAAAGACATAAATTGATATATTTTTTTGTTTGATATCTCTTAATTGTATCACAGCCTCAAAATAACTTACACATCGATTATATATCAAAATCAAAGATTAAAACCAAAAGCATTCATATTACCATCAAATCCAACTAAACAGTTTTATGATGATATCGGATTTATTATAGTACACGATGACTTGATTGGAACTTGGGAGACAATCGATGTTTATAGTGAAAAACGCACCGATAATGCTTTTAAATGGTTAGAAGATATGGAATTCGAAGAATACGAACATAGAATTGTTGGATACACTAGTGCAAAGGTTAGATGAGATATCTACACCAGCGGTTCCCAATTTTAGTTACCACGGAACAAAAATTGGGAATTATTCTGGTTACTAACCGTAACAAACAATCCATAAAAAGTGAAAACGCCATCTATGAATAAAGTGTTTAACAATCCCATCATCTGATTGCTGATATATATTTCAATAATAAAGGCAACATTGATTTATACGCGCATTATTTCGTTTCACTTCACTTAGAATTTTTTTTAAACAATTATATATCTTTTTGGGATCTATTTTTTCAACTTTTGTTAATTTAACACAAATTATTATAATATTATATCGAACACATAACGTCATCTATTGCCATTTATTTAAACATTTTTTTTGTCGTAATGAGAATTGAGACCCCATGCTTATACTTTGTATGTATGGAGAAATTTCTGAAATTACTAAAATATATAGTAGTAATATAAGCTATTTATATTTTCGATAAAAATGTTTTATTGCCAAAAATCCTATTATTGTTAATTCGAAAAATAATGGCCGTAGAGTTACTTTATAGGCTATTGCTAATTTGCTAGGCACCATATTTTTAGTTTTTATGTTAGTTTTTGTTGTTATGCAGAATTTGATAATTCATCGTCTAGTGCTCTAATAGAAAAAAAAACCTAAAAGTTTTATTTAAAAATGAAATAAAAATTGAATTGTGACATAATATAGTAATTAAATTATTACAATGACTGTTTGAATTTAAACAATATTATTATTTTCAGAAATCCAAATCAGTTTCAGTTTGGCATAAAAAATATGAGCTAACCGAATTAGATGTGGTAGCAAACATACAAATATGCTCTGATATATTGCCATTTGACAATTTAATAGTCGGTTTTGAGGTCCCTTGTTACCATTCTTGTTCATCAATTAAATTTATTGAAAAAGATGAGCTCTGTAAAAATTATCATGGAGTGGAAGGTGGGGCATTACTTAATTTGAAAAGCAAACAATTATTTGGTATTGCCACTTGGGGCGCTTACTACACCAAATATGAATTACCTGTAGGCTTTGCTGTTCCTAATTCTGATAATTATTTTGAAGACTTAACTTGTGCTAAGAAGATACGAGATAATAACAAAACATCTGTGTCTGAAGGATTTTATCAAAGTTTATGTAACTAAGGCATGTAACAGAAATAAAAAAATGCAGAAGAAAAAAAATGCTTTAGATTTTTTTTGTAATAAATTTATTTGCTTACAAAAACTACAATATAGACATAACATTACATTAAATTATTATTCTATATTAAAGTTAAATTTAAATACAGAATCTGAATTAGAAAACTTAATGCTTTTTGAATTCTGTATTTCTGTATTTGAACTTTTATTTTTGTCTATGTCATCTTGACTCGTTGATTCAGTGTTATCATCAATGTTATTTAGTACACTAGAATCAGTATTTTCTTGTGGTACATGGAAATTAAATTTAAATGAACTATCTCCAGTCGTCAAAAAGGCAGATTTCCGCAAAAAGGTAGCCTTTGGCTGAGCGGGGCTATCAGAAATCTTAATTTTGCTTGCCACTGAAAAGATATGGCAAAAACAAATTATAATTTCATGGATATTGAATGGAAATATTACTTAGTTCTCTTATTACACAAAATACATTACAAAAAATTATTAAGAATTTTAACAATGAATTCAGCCTACCTTATGACTAGGTTTAACATTATTGGTTAGCTAGGTATTACTAAGCACCTACTTTTTGCAAGTTTTTTTTCTTCTGCAGCCATTTTTGCTCTGTAATCGCCAAAATGTGTTCTCATAAGTTGTCTTTTGCGTATCATGGGCTGATTATTATTCTTTAACACAGTAAGTACTTTCCAAGCTTCTTGTACTGAAATTAGAAAAAATTTAGAATGTTACATATGAAAAGAAAATATATTAAGCAAATAATGATTGAACATAATATTATTGCAGATTAATTTTGACAGATTTAACTCCAGCCACTGTTATTAGTGAAAAAAAACCTTCTAGGTAAATACTAAATACTATTTAAATACATTTTGTTAAGTTATATATTTTGATTATCTAATGTTATGACAATTTTGTTGGTATGTATAATACATAGATAGATACATGAACTTTAATTACAAAAAGTTAGGATATAAGTGTAAATTATTTCTTACTAGGTTGATTCCCCATACAAACTTTCATCCCCATTTTCACCCCCTTAAGGGATAATTTCTGGGATTCCCAGGGTCTCAAACTATCTTTTTACCAAATTTCATCTAAATCAATTCAGTAGTTTCGGAGCCTATTTGGTACCAATATACAAACTAAAAATGAAAACTTTCAATCATTCATATTCAAATAAACAAATATATTCCAAATTCAGGTTGTCTATTTGAATGGGCTGGGGCATCTATACTAGTGTAGTAATGTGTCATTTGTGGTAATAGGAAAAATCTACACTGATGGAACAATATGATTAGTTATTTATTTTGCTTCTTGTATATTTACTAAAATTATAAAAATTAATATCAATTTTACAACTCAGTACAATTATTATATTTTTTTTATACAATTGTACAATTTAGAAATAATATGGATAACTACTTACATTGCTTTTCATTGCCTTTCTTTTCTGCTAAAGTCCTTTCAAGCTGTTGAATGCACCAGCATAATTGCAACTGGAATTCTCTTATCGACTCTTCAGGATTAGCACTGTCTGTTATATCTTTATCTGGTTTACAAGACTTCTGAATAGTATTCGTCTTACCCTTGTTATGAAGCTTAGTAGCTTTCGGCATATTTTCGCACTATTAGCAAATCCTTTTATATTAAGCTTAAGACTTTAGATATCTGTATAGATTTAATTCTAAAATTAGTCTCTATTGTTATAATTTAACCTTTTAGAAAATATTACTCTAAACAAAATGAAACCCCACGTTATGTTTGTACTTTTGACAGTTAATTGTCAAATTGAAAAATGTGAAATGGCTTCAATGGTGAAGCAATAACTATTGTTTGTACCATAGACAAGATAAAAGACAATACCTAGATTTATTTAATTTATTTAAATTCAAATATCAAAATAAAATGCACCTAATAATCAGTTTTGAAAATTTTATTTTACCTTTTTTATTGTCAGAAATTGCATTTACGCATACCACATCTGTACAGCGGGTAGCTATGTTGACTCACCAGTTAAAAACGCCACTTTCCAGTTTCCACTAAAACAACGTGTCCCAACTATCAGGTACGTTGACTGGCAAGTCAAGGCCGCTCAGGACTACTATGCACACATATCCTGGATTACCAGGCGTTAAGCTGAGTGAAGAACTCAGCATCACGACAATGTAGGCGCACATTTACGGTAACTTTGAATGGCGTTTCAATATTTAGTCATTGTTACTTATTTTTGAATATGATATTAGAACAACGCAGATTATACATAATCTGTGTTGTTCTAATATCATATTCAATAGTAAAATCGTTTTAATAAAATATTATTAATACTTTAATAACCCAATTAAATAATAATAATTATTAATGTAAGTAAGATAAGTTTAACTAGTTGCTAGCTATTTATAATCTATATTGCAAAGAAACACAGATAATAAAAGTGAAGATAACCTAAAAAGTGTCACTCATATACATAATACAAATTGACAAGATTTTTTGCAGAAAACTGAAAAGAGTATGCCGCTCGGTAAATTCGGAAAAATTACTCTTTCGTGGTAATTAATTGAATGATATATATTTTACAATTGTTCAAAATTCTCGTTGGTGAGCTCTACCGTATGTTGTTTTATTTTATACTCAAATATCTTGTGAGATTTAGGTTACTTTTGTCGAACTTTTTATTTCATTTCATGAATGCTCACAAATTTTACATAGCATACTAAAGCATATTTTGTGTTAAATTATATGTTTGAAGTAAATTATTTATAAGTACTACATTGTTATATAAAATATTATTTAATTTTAGAATTACTTATTCAAAAATACAAGTTATAATACTAGAGAGAGAATTAGTTACTGTGGCGATATCAACTATTGAACTATAAAACATTTTCAGGTTAGTAGTGACCGTAACAAGTCTATCTCTCTTTGTGGTTGCTAAGAACTCTATTAATTCTCGTCGTTTGGAGAATATGAAAGCGCGTGAACGCATGCGCAGGTCTAACGAAGGAGACTATCCTGATCTGTACAGAAAGTTGTGAGTGTAAGTAAAACAAATATGTATAAATACTTAATATTTCCTTTTCTTTAAATTATTGCAACAGTACTAACATTTGATATTTTGGATTAATATCTGCTTCATTTAAATTCTTTCAATTTAACTTTAATTCCAATTTATAGTCAGCCTGTGTAGTTATTTTTCTGACAAATCTCCTTTGTGACAATAACAAAGTAATTGGTGCTCAACTGGCACGCTTTGAAGCCATAGTTATTGTCAGGTCCAATAACTTACCAGTATAATTATTTTAATCATATTCATTAAAAATATTTTTCTACCATATTTAAATTAACCTCGGCAAAATTATACTAAAAGTATTTAATATTCTTGTATTTATCTTTTTTCAGGAAATTTATAGTAGAAATAATAATTAAAAAAAAAAGCTAGAAAAATGGCAGTTCCACAATTAGATCCAGTAAAACTGCAAATGGTTCAAGAACTTGAGATAGAGATGATGTCAGACATGTACAATAGGTTGGTCAGTGCTTGCCATCAAAAATGTATACCAGTCAAGTACCATGAGCCTGAATTGGGTAAGATTTTCAAATACTAGCAAGTTTTTTAAATTGCACCAGGTCGTATAAAAAATTATAAAGTATAAGTACTTATATAAATCATAAGAAACACCATAGCACAAAATATAATATTTTATATAATTTAATCTCTCATCTCTCCTCCTTTTCTGGGATATATTGCAAATAGCTGTTCACTGCTCAGTTGTGAATATATTACTAAAAACCATGCATACTGGCCAGCCAACTTATAAAATAGCATAATAAAAACAACTACTTTATAAAAAAATAATAACCATATTGATAATTTAGACATTCTTTCAAATATTTTCTTAAAGTAAAAATAAGTTTATTATTTTAAATACAGTATTAACAAAAATTCAATCATAAATCCCTGATATCTTACAAGATTTTTGAATGTCAACAGGAAAAGGGGAATCGGTGTGTCTGGACCGTTGTGTGGCAAAGTACCTCGATGTTCATGAACGCATCGGCAAAAAACTTTCTAATATGTCATCAGGAGAAGCTGAAGATTTAACGAAAATAAATCTTCAAGAAAAGAAATAGTAGAATCGACTTTGGATATTGTATTATTTTAGCGACAGATACTGCAATATTGTGTAACTGTTACATTATATACTTTTAAAAAGAAGCAACAAATTACAATAATGATTTAGTAAAAAAATATTATGTTATTTTCGAAATTAATCAAAAGACAACAATAATTCAAGAGAAATTATGTCAACATATTATTTGAATGTTTGGATTACAAATAGTTGGTTATAGGTTCGCTGAGTTATGTTTATGTACAAAGTGTATATACAATAAGTTCCTGTAAACAAAATATATATCTAAAGGCCAACCAAAAATAGAGTATTTTCTTTATAAGAAAAGATAAATATAAAAGTGGATTTTTAGTTTGGAATCATTATTAGTTATTTTCATTTAAAATGGATATTAGATTGTAGAAATAAATAAATAAAAATGTTTTGACATTCATTTTATTTATCCATACTACCTATTTTCATTTTCTATCTACATAATTACTGACCTTACAAAATCAGAATACATAATTCATATTTATTCCGAGAGCTCGCGACGAATTTTGGGAAGGTCCTTTTGGCAAGTTGAAATTGTGAAAAAATATAATTTCGTGAATTGGCGAGTCCAGTCCCGCGAGTCTGGTATAGCTTTAGCGGTTATTTCGCTACTGCGCAGTATACAACATTTGCAAAAAAAATATCAAAATTAAACATATTTTTGGCAACTTGATTTTTATTTAATCCTTTAATTTAGCTTTCATATGATTCAAAAAAAAGAACCCCAGACGTTTTTGTTGGTTATAAAGTATTGCCAGACCTCTCCAAAGACTCATTTTTTTTATTCCAAAAAACATACTTTTGGCAATCTGAAATTTTAATCACGTATTTATTGACTTTGAGTAATTTTCAATAATATTTGCAAACCGCCAGACGAATTTAGCGGTTTTAACCCTTCCTGAATTCACGAAACTATATTTTTTCACAATTTCAACTTGCCCAAAGGATCTTCCCAAAATTCGTCGCGAGCTCTCGGGCTAACAGTAAATTATAATAGAGAATGGACTGATTGTGTTTCTTGGCTAGTTATAAAAAGCTGTGCATACTTTTAAAATAAATTTATATAAAGATAGCGAAATATAATTTATTAAATTTATATTTTATATAAATTTAAATATTAAGCCTTTATAATAAATAACCTAAAAATGGGGGAAAGGCGTGACAGAAACAACGAATATACGGCCTAACGGCTACTTTATTAATTTAAATACGATTAATTTAAAGATATATTCAGAACATTTTTTTATCACACTGTTATAATTTTTTACATTGCATATATTATATATTCAAATTGGTAAAAAATACTGGTATTAGCCGCATGTTCGCTTTCTCTCTTTCTAGTCAATTTCATAAGTGTATTGCTCAATGCTCAGTCCATTCTCTACTCTATGTCTTTGGTAAATAATAACATGACGATGTTATTTATTTCACAACGATGGAGGTTTAAATAAATAGGTTTTATTGTAGCTAAGTTATAGTCATCATATACATTAAACACTGAATATTTTATTTAAAATAAAACAATGTAATAATATTTTCATATTTATTTATATTATATATCTACACTACTTTATCTATAAACTAAAATTTAATTTATTTTAATTTCTCTTGTATCGTCCAATTGGCCAAATCCATAGCCAGGTCGATAGCTTTTAATGAGTTGCACTAATATGAATATGTTAGCACAAAAGAATATGACGCTTTTCAACCAAATTAAAAGGAAAACCTCTCTATTTTTAAATTCTAATAAATACGCGTAAAACAACCACCCACCTTGAGCTGACAACCACAGAACGAACAGGCGCAAAGCCTTGGCTGGCTTCATTTTAAAACTATGTACGACTAACGGCAAAAGAGATAAGAACCAAATAAAGTACTGTGACGTCATTACACTATTATACGTTACAAGAATAAACGGTTGGCAGAAAAGTGCGAATGGCAAAGTCTCAAATTTTGTGCCAAATGTTAAACTTACAATAAATATGAGTATGACCTTGAAAATTAGCAAAATTGTCTTGACGACATCGAATGAAAGATGATCCATAGTCAAATAGGAATAATAGAAAAGTATTGAGAAATTGTGCTTTGTGTCTTTTCTAAAAAAATGATATATATACGTTTCGAATAGAAATTCGTAGCCGTACAATGAGTACATGACTGATGAGAGAAATGTAAGAGTTAGAATGCAACTTGCCATTAAAATTGTTTGTTTTAGATTTGGTATTAGCGATATGATGCCAGCGCCTAATCGTGTGTTACGGTTTATTCTGTACAAGCCCAAAGAGTAATACATGGGGTAACTAAAAGCTAGGGGGTAGAGACGTAAGTGTATCGCAACTCCTAAGAAAAACCCCGACAGGGCGTATTTAAATAAGCTTTTAACCACGTTAGTTTGTAAGAAATATATTGACAGAATAACAAAAAAACAAGGAATCGAATCGGCATTCCCTCGAGTGGAAATCGCGATACTCATAGGATTGTACAACCAGAATAAGGAGCAATATGTGGCTATTCTTGACGCCTTTTTTGTGGGCCCTAACTGACATTCCACTAATTTCTTCAATGCTATCGCTACAAAGATATCGAACATCGCGAATAATATTTTCCCGGCTTGTTTCCCTATAACTACTGTGGGTAGGAGCATAAAAGCTATTATGGGACTATAGCGGTAAGTGTGTCTTTTGTATGGGGAATTCCCGTCGTATACATGTTTCGCCGCGTCTGTAAACACTTTATAGTCTATATCAGTGTATGGGACGTCATAGTATTTATCGTGATACGTGCTATACATTATAAGTATCATTCGAATAACGAGACCTATATTTAAATGCTTTCTAAAGTCCTGGTTTATGAATCTTTTTAGTATGAACAACATTTTAAAGTCTTGTTTTTAGTTCTTTGGCAGCTGATGTTAAGCAAGTTTTGAATTCTTGAAACTCTTTAACACATTCGTCTTTCTTTACCGAGTCCTCTCGTAATAAAATGCATCGGGCGTATAAAGATCCTTGCTTCGTGCACTTTGCGTATATAAGCGGATATTTCGCAAATCTTTCTTTCGCCCGTTTGACAGATTCCATAATCTATTCAGCGGTCTTCGTGGCCAACGGCCTTCTTATGTAAGCAAAAGTCGTCGGTGGTTCGGATAAATCAGGTTCTTCTCTTTCTCTAAAGAAAATGTCGTATATGGGCTTCGAAAAGAATATCCCCAGACCGAGTACTGTAAATGTTATTTGAAAAGTTCTTGGGTAACGATAAATCCAACTTCTTTGTTTAAGTGTTTTGATTCGTTGACGATTTTCCATAATTAACTGTAACAAATAATAATTTATATCAAGCATTAATAGTATTTTTTTAAATATGTATAATCTATACTATTATTATAAAGAGGTAAAGTTTGGTGAGTTTGTGACATTGAAGAGGGCAATCTTTGGATCTAACTGAGCCCGATTAGATGAATTTTGGTAAGTAGATAGTTCGAGACCCTGGCAAGGACATGGGATACTTTGCATCCCGGAAATCATCCCTTAAGGAGGTGAAAATGGGGATGACAGTTTGTATTGGGAAGCAATCTAGGGTGTGTAGCTAGTTATATAATAAACTACAGAAACTTTGTAACATACAAGTTAAAAGGATTATTACGTAAGTATAATAATTATAGGTTCGTATAATTCTTGACATTTTATAAGATATGTTTGACTTATAATGTGTATAAATTAAATGGATAACTATGTAAGTTTCCTCAAAGATATTAAAATCTATCAAGTTATATTTATTTAGATAAGTTTATTTTTAATAAGAAGTATTTAATTAATATGAATAGGTGTGTAGATCAAATAATTAAACTATATGTACATAAAACAAAATTGTACTGAGGTCCAAATGGTACATTAAATTATAAATAATTTTTAAAATTATAATTATTTAGAGGCTGTTTGTTCTACATCCTTAGCCAGTTTTTTTCTATCTGTTAAAAAAGTAACGGTTGTCTATGCAACTTTTTTATTCTACAGGTAAACATACTATAAGCTCTATACAGGTGTTTGTAATGTCAAAATAACAACTTTTTACTAAATACTTAAGAAATTATATACGGTACTTGTACGAAAAACACAATTTTAAAATTTATGACCGTCTGTTTGTTCTGTCTAATCTCCGAAACGGCTGGACCGATTTAGACGAGACTCTCACTGGCAGATAGTAGATGTTATAAGGAGTACATAACTTGGGCCACTTTAATTTTAGCTCGAAAAAATTATAACATAGCTATGGACGCACCCGTGCGAAAAGAGGGAAAGTCGCTACTAAGAAATATATATATATATATATTATTTCAATCATTTTCATCTGTACGCGGTACTATATGGCGAGGGTGACATAAGACATTATTAAGTGGCTTTGATGTACGAAATCGACAAACGTAAGCGAAAAAACCACTAAGTAGATTATCAGAGTATCAGACTAATTACAAATGCGGAAGTATGTAAGTTATTTTTTTGTATTAAAATTATAAATTACTAGCGGCTTCGCCTCTAGAAAAACAAAAACATATCTATCCAAAGGGAACCTAAAATTTTCCGGGATAAAAATTAGTCTGTGTTATTCTGACGTATGAGCTATATTATTTTAAAGTTTCATTGAAATCTATTCAGTAGTTTTTGCGTGAAAGAGTAACAAACATCCATACACCTCATCTATTCATCATATATCCAGACATCCATACATCCTCATTCCTCACAAACTTTTGCATTTATAATATTATAAGTAGGACAATAATTCTACAAGAATTGAAGTATAGCCTGGAAGCGATCACTTCATTCCCAAGACGTACCATCTTCTATAAAACCATTAATTGTATCTAAATAAGAGAAGTAGTAAGTAATACTCTAATATTAAATTACAATTTAAAAGCTTGTGAGTGTTTGTTATTTCTTCACACTTTATCAGCTTATTGAATTTAAGTAAAAT